GGCCAGCCTTTGTTAGTGCCATTGTGTAGAGCGCATTATACGCTAAGTGGACACTTACACGAAGTACAGCTTCTAAAAGTACCTAAAATAATGGAACGAAGCTGAAAAAGTCGCCGGCTTATAACGTCTTACCTGTCTGTAATATGTGTACCGTCTTTCACTTGGAGGCGAATTTTATATTTGTATAACACTATATGCGATGAATTCGAAATCAAGATAGGCAATATCATCACTAAGAGGAGTACGTACTCTCGAAGGAGGGATTCCTGATTCAGCGCCACGCGTTGTGTTAGCTTGGCGTACAGGGCAATCATTAGACAAGTCATTAGATAGCTGAATATCTACCTAACCTAACCTTACCTTACCTTACCTACCTAAACATACCTAAGACAACCAGATCTAGCCACGATGGGGCACTATCATGTGCGCAATAGAGCAAGGTTTTAGCGATCGAGAATGCCCATAAAACTGAGACAAATAGGTTTGGCTTAAGTCTCAATTCCCGGTACGTCCGGAAACTAGTCCTGGGGCCTAGGCGGCTCTTTGAGGGAGACGTTGAAAGATCGTGAACGTAGGATTAGGATTAGGCCTCATACCAATTTTTTTTTAAAAAAAATACCTATCTTTAGTCTCTTGACTTCTATCCGTTCTTGACGTATGTATGTTTAAATATCCGGGTTTGTTTTGTTAATGGACAAGAAAAAAGAGGTGAAGGCCTGTGGGAATATACGAGGACGCATATTATCAAAACGGCTAAATGAAATTAGCTGACGGATTAACGTGACGCGGAGGCGGCGGCGGCGGCGCAACGAACTTAAGGGGGACAAAATTGCATGATATGCTCTCGAAGCGCAGGGCGCTGAAGACTTGCGAATGGATGGGGAATGGGACGGTCATGCAAAACTATTGCGTCGAGTAGAATAAACGAGCCAGTTAGAAGCTATTTCGTTGAGATATAACCTTGGCGACATTGATGTCCGAGCTGGAGGCGCTTAATTAATCAGTTTTTTAGAACTTTCAGGTGCTCTCGGGGCGCGTACAGTTCGATTGGGGTGATTGAATGGTGAGATGGCTATCAAAACATTCTGTCTACGAGTTGATAATCGCCTATTCTTAGTCCTTTCTTAGTCCATCCTACGCTTGAATACGCACATGTGTACTTACATGCAGCATGCTGTGCAGCAAGTGCTAGCAAAGGAGAGAATATGATGGGCTGGGCGGATATGTAGGTATATGAGCGGTGAGTAGATGACAAAGTAGCACATTCTCGGATTCTTTGATATCTTATGTACTCTCACGATATTCCCCCAAGAGTGGAAATTTGTTGGTATAGGAAATAAGCATCATAGATCAACTGATCTGTATGTATGTACGTATGTTATGCGCGATGATGTTCGTCCGCGCGGTAGCGAGGGGTGAAAAGGAGGGGGACATTCTATGGAAAACTAACCATTTCCGTCGAAGCAAGAGTCTGCGAAGCCAATCACAACATCCATCCCAAGGCTCTTTTTAGCTTGTCTCAGTTCTAATGATCCCAAAGGGCTCGTAGGGCTGAGAAGGGAACATTCGCAAAAGCTGGAAATCTACATGTAATACTATGTTAGGTTAGGTTAGGTACGTACGTAGGCTGGCTCAATTGTTCGGAAGTTCTAAAACTCCTGATCTCATGTCAGTCAAGAAAAAAAAATTATATCGAAAAGCCACAATCCCGTATTAGTCCATTTCCACCCAACGACGCAAGCTGACGGCAAATCGATCTTCCCATTCCCTTCGTTCCCCACTGCGTCGAAGTAAGAAAAATTCATGCGCGCCTCCTGCACATACCGTCTATCAACTCTGCAAGCTCTGCAAGCGTTCTGCGTACCAGTACTTTGATTTGCCAACTCGTATCACAGTAAGTCGATGTACTCCGGTGTTTGGAAAAAGACGCCTCTCATCAAGGCCGTTCGGAACTAGACCTTATGAAGTCCTGCGGTCTAGAATACTTGGCTTGTACAAGTCATATTCGTATAAGTGGTGCGCGCATACAAGTTATGTCTGGTGATATGAGTTCAACGTTCGATCTCGGCGAGGCTCTAGGTTGATGAGTAAGAGTTGCTTGCTGAACAATCAATACATGCTTCATCTTGTTGCGCTGCCCACAACGGGCATCGTCCATCTAGACGGTAAAAGTGGATTTCCACCAGCGTTACTGAGGCATCCCCTATTGCAGCGCTTGGTACGGTTTAATATTACAGCATCCATTCCGGTAATGAGAAGATGCGCTTTGTGTTGTCGTGACTAATTAGCATATAGGTTTTTGATTAGTGATAGCAATGTTGTCACTAGCCCCATTAGACTTCGGTCTGTCGTGGATATACGTTTACCTACCTACCTTAGGTAGGTACCTATATATGGCTTTATAAGGCTGAGCGTCCCCATCTCAAGTATCAACTTACCTGGTTAATGAGGCTCAATTTGGAGTTATGGCCGGCCCGTTACTATTTGCCGGCAGCAGTTTCACGTGGGACTATTCTGAATCCGTGCGAAATTGCCATGATCGGACCGAAGACCGCCTCCTGACAAGCCTTGGTATATCTAATTCGATATAGCTTACGACGTACGGAGGCCCGGGAGAAACCAAGTACGAAGCAAAAGAGGTATAGATGTAATTAAGGAAGTGAGGGTCGAGGTACTGAGTATATGCTATGCTATGCTCAGGTTATGGACTATGGTACGTAAAAAACGAATCGTTCGATGATCATCGCATTACTATGTACTATGATCTCCTCAACGACGAAACAGCTGTGCAAATCGAATGGAGAGTAGGTAGGCTTATTAGTACAATACCTCCCAAACCTAACCTATCTGCCTACCTCTCTACCAATAATATATACCCTACCTACTTTATACACCATGTACGATATATGCACACCTACTAAATCCGCCATAGGTAGTGTGGGCAGCTGGACAAGATTATCGGGGTAACTTTGTTTTTGACGCATCACCAGAGATGTGCAAGCAGCGTTTTTTTTTTTTTTTTGTTTAAATCTTGTTTAAATGGATGTCGGTTACGTAGGTAGTACTGCAAGGCGGGTGACATGAAGCGGGTACACCCACCTCCTCGCCTCTGAATTTGTAGGAGGTAACATACCTAAGATGTAGTTAGACGGCGCTCATGGATATTATGTATGTTAGGTACCTATTAGCTGGACACTTCCAATCTTTTAGGTATACTGCCCAATACGCATCAGATACTCGACATCATACGTAACAAGGCAAGAAAAATAACTGCTAGTCGATTACAACTATGATGAATTGTTTGTTTACTATGTAGATAGGTAGATAGGTAGGCACCTATGGTCCGTGATGTACGACGTGACAAAGTACACCCTTAAACCAACGTACATAACATGTTCAGGGTTACATTATGTACCTATCCTACTTCTTAGTAACGTATAAGTGTACCCCAATTCTCGAGATCCAGTCTTTCTTTAGGTAGTAGGAAAAGAAAAAAAATAATTGAACAGGCAGGCTGTAGCCTGTAAGTAGTGCAGCCCTGTGCCGGGCTGGGAGTTACATCAATCCCACCCACAGCATTTATGGGTATGCCAGGTAGGTACCTAGTACCTAGATACCTCCTACATGTACCTTTTACGATAGGTACCTAGGTACATTGTACTTCGTACTCCCATGTACATTAAGTACGACGAGAAGACGAGGGATTGTAGAGCATTTTTCGATACACGCCCTAACCCTGCCCCCCCCCCCCCCCACCCCACCCCACCCCTAGTACGTAGCCAGGCAGCCAGGTACCCAGGTACCCATTTCCCTTATTCCCGTCTTTTCAACACACCCCCCTGACGTTCCCTGGCCCAGCAGAGGACCCACCTGAAGTACTTTTGTATAACCTCAATTCCAAGGTACCTAGGTATCTAGGTACTGTGTACTTTAATAACCATGTAGCCCTAACCTTCCCTAACCTTCCTGGGTCCCGCTTCATGAACTACCCTGTATGTAAATAAGACGCTAAGAGACATCCCTGCAACTCTTCTTGAAGGGCTGAGAGTGGAATTGGGGATCCACAAGCAGACTAGGCAAGTACATACATACTAGTGGTGAAGTAGAGACTGTAGGGCTTTTTCCTACATAGTAATGTTGCGGGTTAGTCCTTTCTCGAATCTGGTTTTAATATGCACCTAAGTCGCCCCTCTTCACCTCCCCGTTGCCCTTTCAAAAGATGAGAGATAGAAAAGAGAGGAACAGGTTGTCGATGGATTCTTGCGAGTGTTAGGTCGAACTTCGAACAATTTTCTATTTCAATATCGCCACTCACCTTGTCGTACATATTCGGTCTCAGAGCAACATACGTCTTTCTCTTCGTCCAACCCCTATGCAGATGCAATTCTTATACTCGCCCCAAGTCTGCGTATAGCCATCATAAGGGAATATCATAGGGGAATACCAAAGAGAAAAGCAAGGGGGCTAAATTCGAAATTGGAACCATTGGTCGACATTGGTCGATATTGGGTCAACATTGGTCAACAAGCTGATCAACCAAACCAAAGCTCCTCCTACAAGATACCATTTACCTCGCCCAACTTTATTAGTATTCAGCTATATCCTCCATTCTTGTCATCCACCACCAAGGTTGTAGCTGAGCTGAGCTGAGCTTCCATGACAAGAACACAATAATCTCGACTTCGACCTCGACTACTTTCTATAGAGGCTTTTTTTAAACTTTTGTATTTGCTTCGGTTTCTTTCTCCATTGGGGCTCATCTCGCGGGGTGTTATCATCGTGTTTTTTATATCTTACATTTTTACTACTGTTATGACCCTTTACGTTTTTCTGCTATTTTAGAATACCCTCGCACGACCATTTGTTCTGAAGTACGAGTCTCCGACAACACACATTTCGCAACCTTCGCACGTATATCACATCGGCACTGCCGACTTCGAATATCGCCACCGCCATCTTTACGACATCCCGCTTCTTGATTTAGAACTGCGCCATCGTCCGTCTGCCTCCTGTGCACCGTCTTTGCCAGCTCCACAAGCACATCAGATGCTCTAGCCTGTCCTCCTTGGTCCGCTATTCGTTCGGCTCGGTAAATTAGGACACGGATTCCGCATAACTTCAGCTACTCACTGTTACTACTAAGCTGTGGCAACATCGTCATTGGCCTACGTCGAACGAGATCAGCTTTCGTTTGCTCGAGTATTTGGAAGGGGGAATATAGAATGGATATCCCGAGGTGCGCTCCAAGAGGGCCGGGAGGCTCGCCGCCGGCCATATACATCGAGGAGTCGAGCCACTTCGATCATCATTATGGAGGTCCGGGCCGGTCTCATATGCAATCGAGATTCCAAACTTCTCTAGCCTCTTCTACTCCTATGCCAATATCTAATAGGGTTCGTCTCGCTGAAGACGACGCACCGCCGCCGTTACCTCCTCCGAAATACTTGCCCGGGTTTGGACAGCCAGCACCTACTCGACACGACCGCATTCCTTCGATTGATTCCAATGCAAGCTGGGATAGTACAAAACAGGAATCAGAACACGATCGGCTTCCGTATGGTAGGCCTGACAGTGATCGTGGGATAGGACGACCTCATAGAGACGAAGGCTATCACAGTCTCAATTCGACCATCTCATCATTAGGGTAGGGATTGCCTGTTAAATTTAAAGCGATATGCCAGTCGAAATGAGACGCTAACTGCCAGGCTTGCCTTCAGATCCCAGGATTCTCTCCCTAAGAAACTCTTCATGTCTCACGATCAGTACCAATTTAACAGACCGAACAGCAACGACTACGACAGTTCGTTAATTAAAAAGTTAGATTCCAGACGAACATTCGACAACAGGACCCCGCCTCGACGGTCTGCTCTTAGTGCTTCTGTGTCGGGCTTGGCTGCGCAAGAACAACAACAGCAGCAACAGCAACGTCTGTATACCTCTCAAATAACACCTCTTTCTCTCCCTATCCGGCCGAGTAATACGTTGGTAATCGACTCCCCCGGTCGTTATACGGACACTCCCCCGCAGTCTGCACTCTCCCCGCGTGGGCCCTCGTTCTACGGGGCTTCGAGCAGTGAATACCGTTCGCCCATTGAACCTATGGATCTAGATCGATCGCCATTTGCGCGGACGAGAAGGAATAACAGTGGTTCGCTACCCGATGATGCAACGATATCCACACACAGCAGCTACGACAATGCAGATGATAATGACTTTCCGATGGAGGATAGGTCGCAGACTGAGGAGTACATGTTGCGATCAGAGCACCAGGCCATTGGGCAGAAGAGACGGGCTTCCTCACCGCCTGGAGATGACGTCCCGATGCAGGGCATGGCTGGCTTGTGCGACCCGTTACGACGTCGTGAGGGCGCATCCAGGGCATCTCCGACCCCGCGTCTCTCCGGCATCCCTCCCGCTTCTATTCCTTCCGTTCCATCCACCACGCGAAGTGGATCTTTTGCTTCAAATGCCTCACTTACGACTAACCTGTCAAGTCTTAATTCTTATACTACTGGGAGATCACCTGGCGGCTTGTCTAGTGGAGGGCTTTCGCCTGTTGACGTCATTTCAAATTCGCCTTATAGCATCTCGAATTCTCTCAGTCACTCGCCACGCTCTTCGCTTGCACGTATTCCCCATCAACGTAACATGAGCAGTGAAACCAGGCGCCTTGCATCACCCCGTAAGGTGAGCGAACTAGCTAAATCCGGTATTTCAAAAATACCTGGTGGTTACTTGATGTGCGAATGCTGTCCTAAAAAGCCGAAAAAATTTGAGACGGCAGAAGAATTAAGGTAAGTGGTTATTGAACCCCCCTATAATTGGATGATTATATATGTTACCTCTCATTTCTACGAATAGTTGGCTTATTATTTATTTTTTTATTTTTTTTAGCGCCCATCAGGCAGAGAAACAATACGAGTGTTCGTTTTGTGGAAACCGCTTCAAAAACAAGAACGAAGCTGAGCGCCATCAAAATAGCTTGCATGTAAGGCGACATAGTTGGTCATGTTCCGCGCTGCATAGTGTGCGATACCACCGCGCGTTTCACGAGAGCACCAATCGACCTGGTGAAGCAGATACATGTGGTTACTGCGGAGAAGAATTCGAGCGCCACGGTGGTGTTGGGCGTCCACGGCAGCCAACGGACCAGGATTGGGACGAACGACTGAAACACCTTCAAGAGGTGCATAAATTCCGCGAGTGCAACTCGAGTAAGAAATTCTACCGCGCAGATCATTTTCGACAGCATCTTAAGCATAGCCACGCGGGGACCAGTGGTAAATGGACTAATATGTTGGAAAATGCATGCATGCTCGATGAAGAGCCACCACAACCGTCAAGATGAGCCAATTGAACTGACCATCAGCGACGGGGTTGGGTAGCAATACTGCGCGGGGTTTTCGAGAGGGAAAAAAAAAAAAGAATCTACAAGCTGTGGATGCGAATTATTAGGGTTTCGTTGGTTGGGGGGGATTAATGTGTCCATCGACGCACAACAACCGACGTACAATTGGGCGGTGGGATGAAAGGGATCAGTCGAAAAAGCAGGAGTAATCAATCAATCGTGCGCGGTGCGCCTCGGAGTCTCACCTCATCTGGGAGCGGGCTGGTCTTCTTTGCCGATCTCCCGCCCGTTGGATGCATCCTCACGGAGATAAATTAAATGGTCGGTTGCGGCATGATTACCAAGTCGATGCCTTATACGACAGGCCTAAACCGGATGGTAAAAGTCTTGGCTCTAGCTACCAATGTTCTATATTCCATATTCAATATTCCAGCCGAGGCGAGTAGGCGCTACTAACGCGCATTGGGATATAGTAGGGTGGGATCCCACGTTGTCAATGGCTAATTTACGAAACGTAAATGCTCGCTGACGGCACCGTTCCATTCCAACGGGTATTTGTGGTTTAATAGAGCTTATAAGGAGGTGTGGTTCGTCAATCTCGATTTGAGCCTATCAACAGTTGAGTACCTCTTATAAGGTATTTATTATCAATAGGTAGCAATAAAATTCGGACAGAAATGAATTGACGATTGATTAGGTTAACCAAAAAGTATAGATGGTATATATTGTTTAACTTCATGATATATAATAATTATTTACCAACTTATTATACCTGATAATATAAATCTGTGGTTTGAAGAAGAATATAGTTGCATAAGTACTTAGGTAGTAAAGTAAGATTACCTAGGTACCTTAGGTTAGGTAAGTATGCATGTCATCCGAGTCCGAACGTGTAAGCTAAATGCGTAACAGGTGCTGACTGACATCCTAGGGCCTTACTAGTTGGGACGTTGTTAGTTGAGGCCATTCTCTGCTCGGTCCTTGCGAAGGGTTAGTTATCTCCTGCACAGGTAAAGAAAGGGTTGCGTCATTATGACTTTTCGGCTTTTCAATAATATTTCTTTCGTGGTAACTTGGGGTTATTTTTATTTTATTTTATTTATTTATCTTTTCGAAGGGGTTTTTTGGGGGGAGGGAGGGTGGTAGCAGGGCGGGGAAAGGAATGGTATAAGACTTTCTATCGCGGGATTCGTTTATAATCCTTGCGGGCATAAAAGAGAATATTCATGGTGGAGGTAGTATTTGACTAATATCACATATGTATGTCCCCAAAGTCCCATGTCAATTGGATGGGAATTTGGAATTCCCGAGTTGTATTATTAATAGCTTAACAACCTAGCAGCCCAGCCAACTAGCGTCGAAAAAACGGGCACTCAGCATGATCACATGATTCAGCCCTACCGGAAGGATAGGAAAAGTCTAAACCAAAGATTTTTAACGTTTTGCACAGCCGCTAGTGAACGCCACATGTAGAAGATACGAGTTACGTATATATGTATAATGTATATTAGGTACCTACCTTTGGAGGGCCGCATGGTCCCGTTTTTCTGCCCTCTTCACCCGCACAATCTACGGGCGGCACAAATACGGCATTCCCGCAGAAATCCATGTAAGACGGCTATCTGACTCAGGATAGTGACATAGTCGCAGATTTGAAAAGGCAAGAAAAAAATCTAATTAGGCATAGTTCGATTACTGGAAAGGTTACAAGTGATCCCTTTGTCATAACATATCCTATTATTTTCTAATTTTTTTTTTCCTCTTCTAATCTAGACCGGGTTGATCGCTGCTTTTGACATCAAATTCCTCCTCTATCATTCCAGGCACCGCCCAAAGAAATTGACGCTACAAATCAGGGCATTATGTTAACTTCTAGGGTATCCGGGCCCGACAATCTTCACGTTGGAGGGTAATCTCATACCCTTACTCTTCCCCACATCATATATATGGTCACTTATTGGCCTGAGAACTGAGAATATGAATATGAGCTGATCTAAGCATACAGGATTTGGGTTCTGAATATCGAGGGACACCGTAATCAGCTTTACGAACAGAATATCACCCATGTGCTCTCCGTTATCAAGTTCTCATTTGATAAATGGGGTGAGGAAGGAAAGCGCTTTAAGCATATGAGCATCGACATTGATGATGACGAGGACTCGGATCTACTGGTTCATCTCTCGTCCGCTGTACGCTTCATCCGCGACGGACTCCATCCGCCTGTCAGTGGTACCAACACAGATGTATCTGCAGAGTCCAAAGATGACAGTAAGACCCCAGGCGGAGTGTTCGTACACTGTGCGATGGGCATATCGCGTTCCGTAAGCTGTGTTATTGCCTATCTCCTTTACCAGTACCCTCACCGCTTCTGCGGCAAGCAATTTACTCCTTCAACTGCTTCGGCAGCCCAGCGGCGGCAAACCTCCAAGGAGGCCGTAGAGAGAGCTTTGGAGTGGGTTCGTCAGACTCGTGACCGCGCCGGCCCCAATGCTGGGTTTATGCGCCAGCTCGAACTATGGTGGGAGATGGGATGTCCGGCCGATGATGACAGTGCTGTGGAGCGTCACCCCATATATCAGAAATGGCTGTACGAGAGGATGTTGAAGGAATCTAGGGATGTACATCAAGCTCCAGAGGCCGAACGCATCCGGTTCGAGGATGAAGTGGATCTAGGGAGCGACGATAATGAAACCGGCGCAAACGAGAAAGGTGGTAAGGAGATCCGCTGTAAGAAGTGTAGGCGTATTCTCGTCACGCCGAAGTTCGTCGTATCCCACGGCCCTACTACTGGGCGACCGGAACCTTCAAATTGTGCCCATGTTTTCGTCGAGACGCTTTCCTGGATGCGACCAGCGCTAGAAGACGGTGCACTGGAGGGGCGTCTCTCTTGTCCTAACGCCAAGTGTGGCGCCACGGTTGGTCGTTTTGCCTGGCAAGGCTTGAAATGCAGCTGCAGCGAATGGGTTGTCCCGGCATTCTCGCTTAACCGGAGCCGCGTTGACGAGGTGGCTCCCCGAGGCGCAGGTGCGCCTGCGATCCGGCAGCCACCTGGACGAAACGGGAACTTATGACATGGTATACTTTAGCAAGAGCCTCATTGATGCTTGACATCCTTGTCTGCTACCGTAAGACTCGTACCCATATATCCGCCAAGTTGGCGGCCTATCGCATTGGATGAGACAACGATCACGTTGGTTTCTTATGCCCGTCGTCGGCCTTTTTAAAATTATTCAATAATAAGCACGAGCCAACACATGCTGACGCTCAACCTCACACCCCTTAACAAGTATCTTACCTAACCCGCCGCTAACAGTCTAAGGATTAATTTTTGAACAGTAGGCGGTTGCACCTCTTTCTCTGACACCTCATCTCCTCCATATACACCCCTCTTCATCGCTTATCGCGGAATGTACTTCGCGGAATGTACCTCGATCGGATATCACATGTATTGTAGGGTGTGTCGCTCACCAGGCCGTTTGCCTTTGAGACATAGGGTAAGATGTACGCCACTAGCCTTACCGAATATACACTTCGGGCATAGGGCTTACCCCTATCTCAACAGACCTGGGGTCGTAACCTTGCTTCCCCATGCTGGATTACGATCTTATTACCCGAAAGATTCCTAAACCAGCAATGTAAAGGCCCTGCGGCGTTTCTCAGTCAATTTGCGAAGCTTGCATTTCGAATTCTATCCCATCTCTCGTCAGCCAATCGAGTCGGGATTACCTAGTCCACGCCTCTACGAAGCTCTATTTGGCTCCGTGCGACCTCCCCGAGATGGATTATCCAGATTGAGACCGACAGCTTGTTTGCAACAGAACTGTCGGTGTGGATAGGTGGGATGCTTTCAATCACCGCCATACCTCGCAGCCGCCCTTTACAGTGACACTGCATTACAAGAGAAACTTGTGACGCGGGGGCGCTCATCCCACAAAGCCACCGGCTCTTCTTGCTTTGCATTCAACAATTAGGGCCTCCAAAAAACATACCTATTGTATATGGTAATTAGATCTTGGCGGGAAAATATACTGACGCCCAAGCAAAAAGGTTTCGGCGCAGTAAATTGGTATACGAAAACCACATGTCTAGTTCGTATTACATTGAAATGGCATATATCGAGTTAGACCATCGGCAATAGCCTTTATCGACAAGATGTGTCGCTCTTGAGCTATCCATAAATCGCTCTACCATGGAGCTCCCCACGATACAGATCACAATGGCTGGCAACAAGTAGGGTCAGCTCTGCTGACGGAGCCGACGACAGTTACGTTATTCAATCATGTCAATCGAGAAAAAGCTGTTACCGGAGATATTCCCAACAGGAATATTGAAGTTCCTAGCCGAATCGAACGCATCTTAATCACAATTTTATTTTCCCCCATATACCCGATCCTCTTATTGTTAAAAGCCGACTATAGTTTTTTTTTTTAACGCCATCGTAATCTCTTTTCTCCTTTATTCCCTCATATCTAGGTATATACCTACACAGCGATAGCTTCTTTTGATAGATAGAAAGACAAGAAAGATAGAAAGAAGCCCGTGCGCCGCGTATTTGATAAGGGAAACGTCAAGAAATCGTATTACGACCTTTTCCGGAGAAAGAAAAAACAAAAACCATGAGGAAGGAAGCGATACCAAATATCCCTGCTTGTTGGATCTACAGATACCCCACGGACCTTGCTTACCTGTAATTCATTCATGCAGGAACGGCGATAGGTGACAGGTCAGTGTTACGAACAAGGCGGCGGCTTGTGCCCCCGCGTCAACAACATACATACAGGTAGGCAGCGGTTCCCCGTTCACCGATCCGGCGGGTTGGTGAAAAGAAAAAATATGATAATTGACCGTGCCAATGGCGATGATGCCGCTATTTGCGTAAGGGGTAATGCAAGAGAATAATAATTGGAAACTTCGATCGCTTCGAACTTTGGGCAAGGTATGAGTGATAATAGCTAAGAGAAAAAAAAGGGGCTTTTCCATTTATTTTATTTTTTTCTCCTTCAGTTTATGGCATGGCGTTGAGCGGGCAATGCCCGCCGCGTACCCCAATCTTACGACGCTCGCGCAGCCGCACACAAAGCACGCGCAACCCCCTCCCATTCCTCGAAAAATGAAGCCCATAGATGACCCGAGTTGCGCTCCCGCTAAATACCAATATTAGGTACGTTAGCTACCTAGGTTAGGTAGGTACGCACATAGAGAGACCAGACGGAGGATCTATCTACATAAGGGTTTAGCGCGTGGCGTGGAATGACGCGCAGGTAGCAGTATGTAGGTATGTATGTATGTATGCGCGTATGATGTACGATGTATGTATTAGGGTAGATTAGGTATAGGTATGGACATGTAGTTTACATGCATGCTATATCCTACCGTAAGGGGTAGGTGAGGGTAGGTAAGGACGTCGTATGTTCTCTCTCATAAGATAGTGGTTCCTCCATGAAACATACCTAATATGGCGTAACGGAATGATTCCCTATATCATACACACTATTCTGCACGAGAAGGTCCCGGCGTACTATTGATAGCCCCTCCTCCTCCCATCTTCATTGTCGTCGCCTCGTCGTCATCAGGAACCGGCGAAAAATACATCCCGATTCGGCTAGACCGTATATTGGGTTCGAGAAGCCTCTTTCGAGCCGACGCGCCTCACGTGAACGATTTCTGGGGCTACGCGGTAGGTACAGAGCGCCGGCTTATGTTATTTGGGACCCGGGACCTTATTTTCCTCTCCGTGTGGAGTGTGTGGGATTCCCTCTCAGAGAATAAGCAAGGGAGGGGGGGGGTTATTAGTAGCAGCGGCGGCGGCAGCGGCGGCGGCAGCGGCAGCATGGATTTAGATGGATAGCACTGCTTGCTACCAATTACCTAACCTTGACTGACTACCTACCTAGTAGATAGGCGATTCCTTCGCCCCGGGGAGATTACTCCGACGCGGGCGGAAGTTCGAACCGGCCTGACTGGATTCCGGCCGCTGCAGTCAGCAATGAGAAAAAAAAAAAAGAGCACACGCGTATGGATTACCCGGCGAAGTGGCACGACAGGAAAAAAAAAAAGCCACATAGGCTGGGATGGGGTTATGCGATATGCGATAGGTATCATATATCGTATGGGTTCTATCGGCCACGTATACACGCATAGGTACCTAATATTGGGGGGAGTTTCCGGGTGGACGAGGAGAGGGGACGCGTGATGAGAAATGCATAGCTAGATGTTGAGAATCGGAAGGATTTGGTTTAGCTAGCCACCTACCTACCTAGGTACCTGATATGTATGTAGATGTTCATGGTGGAAGCAGTCAGACAGGAAAAAAAGAAATAGAAAAAAGCAAAGGTACAGGAATACCGTTTTAAGAGCTTGTGTTCCCGTGACGAACGCCCCGGAATCAGGATCGTCGAATGATCGGGTGTTGAAAGTTAATCCTTAGCACGATCTGTCGGCAATGAAGAGAGGAGGTATGTGCCTAGATTTGGGGGTTTGATGTATAAGGCATTTCATCCATCTGGCTTTTTACTCCAGATACGCCTTTGCTCATACCGTCTGTATGTATGTATTGTACATGAGAGTAGGTACCTATGCAGTATTAGCTATACCCCGGGTCACCAGCTGGTGGTTCACAATGGTTGGGGGTCACGTCAAGGTGATTACATCAGCAGCCGAGGGCCTAGTCCTCACTGCATTAGTTATAAGAGACCCAATATGATGGTTTGATAGGTACTACCTACCAGGTAGGTAATCGGTAAGATTGCCAATACTTCGCCCTTCATCGCTATCAAAACAACTTTTGCAAGTGGTTCTGCGGCGTACCGAATAGAAGTACACTACATAGGTCCGAGAGGCCACCGAGTTAGAATTAGACCGAGCCGGCCGAATCAGCAAGATGGATAGCCTCGTTATGTTCGGCCGTGTTTTTTTGGGGGGGGCGGGGGGGACGAGGAGGCTCTTCATGGTACAACTGAAGTGAGGGTCAAGGAATGTACCCTAAATAAATCAGCTTTGAACGGGCCGTTGCCGGCAGGATCTTCAAACGATCTGACTTTTTGGGGGCGTACAGGTTGGCCTTAAGTCCGAACTCACCAATAACGAAAATACCAGGTACCTAAGCTGTGTTATGTTTGGTACCTAGATACCCACCTGCTTAGCATGTAACGTGGAATCTCTGTGCTTCGTTCTCCCCGTCCTCTAAGTTAGTAGACATGCCGCACAGATGACACTGCAAGATCACGTTGCAGTACCTAGTAGAAGTAACAACATCTGCCGCTGTTCCAGGTTGTTCACATCACGGAGCAGGCGTCTTAGGCGTCTACATAACCTAAAGAGTAAAAATGAATTCGGCTGCTCCGAGTTATGGTAATGCTGTTTTGCATTGTTGTTGCTCTTCGTCCGTAAGGGCAAAAAAAGAGTCTTGGAGTAACTCCTATTGGCGGAACACACGATGTGAAGGATTGGCGATTGGGGGGGTTTTTTACTGTATTAGGTATCTGTGTACGTGACACTTCAGAATCCAAAATTGATAACAGCGACCTAACCTAACCAAACGCCATGTTTAAGGCTTAAAGTAGAAACATTACATAAACAATCTCCTTTCGACATTCACGGGATCTGGCTTACACGTAGGTAATAAAGTTGTGCTACCCAACCTCATCTTATCGCCGCTAGAGGTTACGCTGTTAGCAAAGGGAGCTAGGCGTTAAGACGCGATCATTCCCATTTCGTCGATAAATATAACCTCAAAACAGGAGAAAAAAACAAAGTTGTCATATGCTTGGAGCCGCGATAGACAGACATGCAGTGAGCAAGTGGGAAAAGTATCGTACCTAAGGTAAGATTTGCTAGACGGCGTGTGCTTAACACCCGACGTATTCATATGTTAGGTACCTACCTAGACCTAGGTACCTTAGGTAAGTTTATCGTACAGTCCAAAAGGTCAAAAAAGGTCTAATCTTAAACCATAGCCGATGGGTGGCTTTACTAACCCAGCCATTCCATTCTATTACGCCATAAGGCTTAAGGCGCCAGCCCTATGCAGCCCAGATTCGGCTCGGCGCAGTGGTAGAGCCAGCCCTTATCATAGAGAGGTACAATATGAAAAGCCCCGAGATAAGGTTGGTTACCTTTTATCTGGACATCCTAATTTATTCAATAGCCTTTCATAAGTACCTACCTGATACCAGGTACCTAAGGTAGAAAATACGACAGTCGGAATTCACCCACGTTAGGTATTTAGGTACCTATGTGTTGGTGCTTGAAATAACCGGCTCCATTTACTTACAGGAATAACAACGGAAGATGCCGATCGTTCGGACTCGGCTGCTGTGTAACCTTAACTAAGGTTGCGGATCCGTAAAGCGGAGACAATCCCGGGAGCTAACACCTGTTAAGCGAGCCTTTCGAGATACCCGTGCTGTAATAGCCTATCGATTCTGTAAGGATACCTAACCTAGGATTTGCAAAGTATTGTTACTTTCTCTAGCCATACCACCTGAAGCGTTGTTAGAATATACCTGTAGTTAGGCTAGGTTTTAGAAAACGTCAGCTTGCGAGGGTTAGATCTCGATTCTGTCCTCTGTCTAAAAGTTTGGCGGAATGATACTGATGGACTAACCTAGTATATTCAACTAGGTACGGGTAGGTAGGTAAACCGTCACATAATGTAAGCAGCTGAATTGGAGTCAAATATGTAGAAGATTAATGGCTTCTTACACGTCACATTAGCATCATCCCGTCTGCAAGCTCTGTCGCCATGCGAATTTAATCAATACATCCAAGCAATTCTGCACGATTCCCGTCTTGAGACTGGACCGTGTAAGAGCATTGGACAGCTCGTAATCAACAAGCGTAGCCAACTGCAGCTTTGAAGTATACGGCTTATACCTACTTGGTCAATCCCTGTCCACAGGGGGGTGTTAATAGCGATGGCATGGGCGAATCATTTGAACCGATTAGTATATGAAGGATCGGAGGGGGGTGTACTACCTTAATCTAGAATGTCAGCGCTAACATGCATCCACATGTAAGACGGCCCCGCGTAAGTGGACAAAGGGTGGTCCGGTTAGCCATGCCGAACCGGAAACGTTCGAACAGGCGAGCGTCCTCTTAACGTCGAAGCGAATAACTGAAATAGCCAAGAAGAGTAATATTGCCGTGCAGCAAGCCTGGGGTACATGTATTTTCATCGATCTGCGGTATCCGGCAATGGACTTTTGACGTACGTGTGTGATATACTATGCAGGACACTGGTCTTTTAGTGAGAAGTAACCTTACATTCGGGAGGCGGCTTATGTCAGAGCCGACGCTGTCATCGTAGTTGTAATCATAGTAGATGCTCACTTTAACCAGACGACGAGATCTAACGAGAGGTCCATGAGTGACTGATAAGACAACCAGTTGCGACAAAGAAAAGAATAAAACATAAGATGGGTATTGCCCAAGGCTACCTTTCCGGTTACACGAGACAGTCCGTGGCCGATCGCCGTGTTAGATCCGGGCATACACGACGTAGCATCCCCTAAAGATTGGTAACGGCCGAAGAATATCAAAGTGCCCCACCAATCCGTACTACCCATCGTAAGGCTGACGCAGAATTGTACTTTGATACCATTTGCTCGAGGAGAGCCCGAGCAAAGCCGAAGTACATCAGTTTGCGAGCCCGGGATCTTGCTGCACCTTGAATGTTACCTGTCCTGTAACCCCAAAGCGTTGAAAGCACCGCGAGTATGTCCAGTCAAGTTGCAGAAACACAATGAAACCAACCCCCCTCTCCCTTTACCGTCAAAAGCGAATATAAGTAGGCTATACGGTTGAGCTTTTCTCTAAAGAGTAATGCAATCCCCCGGATGCAAGTACAGCTAACGCATCTCTCGTGACCTTTCTGGAAATGTGACCGGTTGTACGAATGATGCATCTGTTCACCAAAACGCGGGAGATTCCCAGTAGATCGATCCACATTCGGGTATTAAAGTGTTACAACGTTTTGAATGCCTTATCGCTTAAATGGTATCATCAGACCAGGTGCTGTGTGTTGTCGATGCAATGTAAGCACTAATCTTCTTACAGGAATTACAGAGAGCGACGAAGTTGTTGGCTTTCATGAGAAAGTTTGCAATGCTTCATGCAGCTCGCGAAATGTTTTACCAACAGTAGAAAACGGAGGGAGCGAGGCGCCTCAAAATTGAAGCCTGTCAGACCCCTATATGGGCATTCAAACATGAGAAGAACCCTATTGTTGAGAGGCCGTATTTAGATCATATTAGCTACCAGGAAGAAGTAGTGTCAGCCTTGTAAGGCAGATAGTCTAATAAGCTGTCAGCTTGTGATGAATTTTACCCCGTGCTGCAGTGGGCAAGCTATCCGGGCAAGCTAAGCAGAACTAGGTAAACATGGTGTAGTTAATAGACTGGTGTGTCCCCAGGGATGAAGAATGGGGTGCTTATAGAAAGTAACATTCTTTACCGCAGTAGTTTGCCGACCCAAGATAACGACACTTCAGCTTACCGCACGCTCCACGCCGATTAAGTGAATATCCAGCCAATTTGGACTTTCGAGTACTGGGAACCTTGAGGGTACTTAGGCCAAATGTTGTATCTGGGGTTGTAGTAAATGAGATATAAATTTCATTAAGCATGGTTAATGTATCGAACATTTACAAGTACCTATCCATAGTAAAAATGTTACTTCTCTGCGTAGGTAGGTAGCTTATGAGTTCCCCCCATTGGGTGATATGCTCATGGGCGTAGTAAGGGTATGGGCTAGAATTGTTGTCGGGGTCCAACGAGCCCGGCTTGCTTTAATATACTCACCCACCTGCCGAGTTGAGGTTCTCCATGCAGGTAAAAGCCACCTCACAAGGGATCTTTAGGGACTGAGGGAAAATAGTTAGGGTTACTTAGGCGTTCCCGGTTCCTTTTGGCCATCTCCGCAGCGCGCTTTCTGTCCAGTCGTTGCTGGTAGAAATTCCTGCATGCTGTCAGTATCTACGGCTTGTATTTGAAGAGAGGGCCAACTATAGACTTTTGTAATGTAAATACCCGGGGCTCTTCGTCTGGTTTTGGTGGAGTCTTTTCATCCGGTTTGTCCTATATCCGTAAGCCAACATGGTTTTAAGGCGTAGATAGGAAACCTACCTCGGGTTGAGAATTTGGCTCGTCTTTCTTCTCACTTTCCTTCTTTTCCTTCTTTTCCTTATCTTCACTATCCTTCTTGGGGTTTTCTGATTCCTTCCCCTTCTCCTTCCCCTCCTCCTTCTCCTTCTCCTTCTCCTTCTCCTTCTCCTTCTCCTTCTCCTTCTCCTTCTTTTTGCGCTGCTTCTCCTCGTACTCTTTCTTCACACGTTCAATTTCATCTTCCATTTCTTTCTTCTTTTTGGCTGCGACGGCATCATGGTCAATGACAGGGGTGCAAAACCCTCTATCTTTTAAATGAGCAGGACAGACATAAAAGAAGTCCTAGTAACAGAGCATCAGGGAGAGGTGCTTAGAATGTTATGATAGAACAGCAGCCCACCTTATTGTCCGGGGTTATGAGCACACTGGTACTGGGCTTAAAGCACACCTCGCATGCTTTAGCTGAGGTTTCAGCTACTTTCCTATGATGCCAAGTATTTGGGAAAGACATGACTTTATTTTTCTTCAAAGGGGGGGATTAAGTGAGTACATGAAAGAACGTATGTATAAAAGTAGTTTGTAATTATGATTATGATGACAAGGCAAAGAAATCATAAAGGAAGGCAATTGAACGGGCCAATGCTGAGAGAATAAATGTGGGGTCAGACGAATAGATACATAGGTACTACAGTAGATAATCTCAGGAGACATGAATGTATTTGTACAATTACCTAAGGTGCATCAATAAGGTGGTGCAGTTACATAAGGTTACAAATTTATACTGCCTGAGGCCTACCTAAAGTAAGTGCAGCCTTGTAAAAAGTAGGGGTTTGTTTTAGGGAGCCCCAGTACGTCATAAGTTTAACGGTAACAGACTTTAGCGTAAAACAAATTCGCCGACTGCAAAAACAACAACTGAGCATTGTGAACGTCAACTTTCCCAAAGTAAACAAGAACTTTGCAACATTTTCCCATTCTAATTTCCAATATCTCCCCTAGTACTGCGCCCAGGTGTAATTGCCCCAACAAGTCTCTTCCGATATCATGGCCAATGGACTTGATGTCCAGAAGCTGGACTCCGTATTCAAGTCGCGACCAGATATTCTACAAGATATTCACAAGGCTGCCGGTATTTCTCAACCCTTTCGCGTCAGATATTGCCCATGCTTTTATCTAACCGAGCTATATAGATTCTCCGTCGCAAATCCAATTATTTAACAAGATTGCAAATTTCATTTATGATCAAATAGGAGACCACACAGCTGGTTCGTCCTTAAAGCGACGCCGCGTCGATATAGAGCCTTCCCAAGATGGGAATCCACCTCAAGTTACGGAGACCAGTACAGTCGAAGACGTGTCCAATGAGAATATTCTGCTGGAGATAAAAGATATATCCGTATCTATCCCCCAGCGTAAAAAGTTTGAATTATGCTTTACTCCCAAACACATATACGCCCGGATTCCTGGTGCTACCGCGGCGCCCGCGCCTGGAATTGTATATGCGTGGAAAGATATTGGTATGCCATACGCGTCATATGTTGCAACGATTTAACATGAATGCTAATAGTCATATAGCGTATGCTTTTTACCTTCCAGTACCCGAGAAATCCCAGATTCAGCACAACTACGTCTTATTTCCACGAAACGCCCTCTCCTTCTCTAAATCAGGCACGCCGACCCAAGATCCGTTGCTCTTCACCGTATCAGCCGGTGCGCCGAAACCAGGCACAATTGGTGGCCCCAATGCTGGCGCAGCTTCTGCCGTCTCAGACTCGTATACCACCCTGTTTAACTGGGCTCTGAATAAGTGTCTTCAGGCGGCTGGAAATAATGTGCAAATAGTTGCTGCCAATCCTGCGAAATTCCACAGTAAAGTTCGGCAACCACACCGCCCAAAGGAGCCAGCAGTCTATGTTAAGGCATTCAGGGGCTCAAAGGACGGATACTTATTCTTTCTAGAAAACGGAATCTTATGGGGTTTCAAGAAGCCGCTACTATTTATACCACTAGATAAAATTGCGGCCATCAGCTACACAAGTGTATTGCAGCGTACATTCAACATGGTAGTCGAGGTGTTCACGGGCGAAAATGGGGACAACGAAACGACCGAGGAGATCGAGTTTTCTATGCTAGACCAGGAAGATTATGGAGGCATCAACCAAGACTACGTCATGCGCCACAGGCTACAGGATCGAAGCATGGCCGATCAACGCAAGGCGAAGAGGGAATTGGCAGAGAACGCCAAGGGAAAGAAAGATGCCGAAGGGGAAGGGGAAGGGGAAGATGCCAGTGCACAGGCCGGAGAAGACGGCATGACGGAACTTGAAAGGGCACAGATGGAAGCCGAACAACAACTGCAGGATGAAGAAGACGAAGATGAGGAAGATTATGACCCTGGGTCTGAAGGTGAGAGTGAGGGTTCAGGGACGAGTTCCGAAGAGGATGATGACGAGGAGGACGAAGAGGACGACGACGACGCAGAAGAGGACGACGAGATGGAGGACGACGGAAATAAAGGGGAGGAGGAGAAATGAATTTATACATAATGGTAATGGCGATATACCGGAGCCTGTTGTTTCGGTGAGACTTGGGTATAGATGAGCTCAGAAATGCGATGTCTTCGACCTCTGAGAACCTCGCGTCTTGGTGGCTATAGCGTGGATTAACTATCGGCAAATCTATTCGGGATTAGCTTATTAACCCGATCTACACAAACTACTTCCAACGAGCCCTATTAAATCCCTGCCGGATCGAGAGCATCCCGTGGGCCTATTCTCATTGCTATATCACAATACGAGAGACAGGCTGATTATAATATAGTATAATAGGTACATACTCAATTCAGTTATGCTAAATATAGCTGACCCATAGGACAGCAGTAAGGTCCTATATATCAAACTCATTTCAGGGGGGCGGTGTCCTGTAGATGTTGTGGCGGGACATTTGCAAGTGGTAAGTTTCGCTGCCCTGTAACTTGCAAATTCCCAATGAGATCCCTAATCTGCCGGCTCTCTTCGTCAGTGAGCTTGGCGTCTAATGCGCCAAGGTTCTGCTCGAGATACTTGATATTCCTGGTCCCCGGAATAGGGAAGAAATCGTCTCCTTGAGCCATAATCCATGACAAAACCAACTGGCTCGGCGTGCGACCCTTCCTTTCCGCAAAGGCTCCAAACTTCTTGACTAGCTCCAAGTTCTTCGGGAAGTTCTCTGGGCTGAATCTTGGAAAGCTCCTACGATAGTCATTAGGCCCGAAATCGTCCCGAGACTTGTAGCGGCCAGTCAAGAATCCACGACCAAGGGGCGAGTAAGCGACAATAGCAACCCCAAGTTCTCGGCATGTAGCAAGCAGATTGGTGCCATCTTCGCTTTCGATTTCGAGCGACCAGGGGTTGTATTCAACCTCGACAGCCGTAATTGGGTGGATAGCATGAGCACGTCGTAGCGTACTGGAGGAGCACTCAGACAAACCAAGATATTTGATTTTGCCTTCCCTATTCCATTAAATCAGTAGCCGCACTTAACTGTTGGGATGTCCTTTTAATAGTACTTCTTGAGCTGCACCATGGCTTCCACGGACTTCTCAACAGGGGTGACATTGTCGAAGCGATGGCAATAGAACAAATCTATACTATCAACTCCCAGACGCTTCAAAGACCTCTGGCAGCTGGCGATGCAGTTCTCGGGCGTGCTGTCGACGTAAACTTGCGGGTTGGCGTCGCCGCCATACTCGAGGGCCCATTTGGTAGCTAGGAAGATGTCTCCGCGTCGCTCCGGGTGCAGCTTGAACCATTTGCCCAGGAGATCCTCGCTGTCGCCGTAAGCGAACGCGCTGTCCCAGAATATCTCGCCGAGCTCCCACGCTCTATCGAGGATCTTAAATCGTTCCTCGTCGGAGCTTTGTATGTATTAGGTAGTTAGCCCACGAGCAGGCTAGGATGTTGAATTGATTTTTACCTACATTACTTCGCCTGTTCCAACACTGAGGCCCATTAAGCCGAACCCAAGCCTGGGAACAAGAGGGCCGTTTTTCCCTAGCTGGCCGGTCGGGAGCGCTTTAGGAAGAGACATGGCGAGGGTATTATATAAACTTGAGGTGAGGGGTTCCTTCAAAATCGGTTCCAAATTCAAAGTCGAAATTCTATCAGCCAGAGCTTCGTGAGGCAGTTGCTAAATAGGTATCTATCCATCTTCCCAGGCCGCAAAACTCGAGGTGGGAGAGCCCGTATTTATGTCCTACATCTCCCCCTTTCGAACAGTAATTAACACCTCATATTTCCATACCACGACTCCCTCATAGACAGCCTATAATCGAAAAAACGTCTGCGTGTTGATGGTATCTACGATGACGCGGCCGGGGATAAAGCACGCTACAGCCGCGACGTGCCCTAGAAAACCCGCAAAACCCGCAGGCTACATGGCGGAAACGCGTATATTTACGATGTTGTACGCCCCTTAGATGATGTACTTAGTGTGCTATATCAGTTGGCGGCTCTTGTCTTTCGTATGGAATAGTCTCTTGCTTATGTCGGGGTCCTGCGGGCGCTTGGCTGAAAGGAGACAGTCGGCTGGTGATAACGGCGACGGTTGCATAAACTCCGAAAGAAGAGTCGAAGTTTATCAGCCAATATGGGTTATTAATGAAGGTTTTCTTCTTTACTATGTTAACGTTTGACGCTTATGTCTTTTTTTAGGAAACTTGTTGACGGTTCATATCTCTTGGTTTTTCATTGCTTCCTGCTTCTTGCTTCAATGGCTACCTATTTGTACCTACCTGAGGTAACTGTAAAATTTCGATAGATTACTTAACAATACCCTTTCCGTAACAGCTCGACTACATTACGTTCTAGTACGCTGAGCTTATACACACTTCACGTCAATAGAGGTTTCGTGAAGTTAGGTAAAAAAAAACTCTTTATATCAATGTATCAACATGGTTAAAAGCCTAGCGTACTAGCCCACTTGGCAATGGAAATATAGTTTGCGACATATTACCTTAGGTACCTAGGTATGTGTCATTCAGTTCCGAGAAATAGATCTAGAATGAGTTGAAAAGGGTAAAAAAATTAGAATATTAACAAATCTTAGAATCAATACAACTTAATTGTCCTGCCCTACCTTAGGTACCTCATTCTATATGTTTAAGAGGAGCCATGTATTTAAAGACTTGAAGAGTTCCAGGTGCGTCTTTTGTATCCCTTTGTGTTGACTAATTTTATATCTTGAGTTATATCGTTGACTTAGAGAATGTAAGCGTAGCTGACGTCAATAGATAGGCTGTGACAAATTTGGAAATAACCGGCAATTTATCTACTATTTGAAATATATGTCGCAAATTCAGGGGCTAATAAATCGTACATATGAGCTGAACTGTCTAGGTAGATGTTTAACCCCGCGCTAAGGTTTATCCAATTCACCAAAACTCATTTCAAATTTGTTCAGCACTTATACATAGTACTCAATTGCATGTCTTATTCTTCCACAACTCTTTTCTACATTTTTTTTATTGATATACAAATTCAGATAGAGGGCGAGTAGATGTCTTTATGTGGGTAGTCAGGATAAGGTTACTACCTCGGCCTCGACGGTGGGTATATTTGTGTGCAGTACTTAGTAATACCGCGGAAGAGGGGTGACCGCCCGCGACGGGGTTCCTGTTGAATCCAATGGGCAAGTTACCAAGATTGTATTCGTGATTCACTAACTTCAATTGGTCAGGCATTGATGCACAAAATCAGCTGGTATAAATTTGACGTCGCGGATTATGCAAGACGTGCATCGGGTTACTCAACAGCCGATCCGACGTTGTGCAATCCCCGTATCATCGTATCCGTATTCAGCAGAGCAAGAACCTCCTATTGGTGTTCGAGTCACTACCATGTAGGTACTTTTATACGCTACTTTGTGCACTTTTATACATATATGCTGGGTTTCTAGTTTGTAGATCATTCTAGATATACCGGCTGTGGATGATCCGTATACTATCTACATATAGTAATAAGAATCATGGAGTGATTTCAACCCGGAATGGTTAGCTTTACCGGTGATGGGCCTCGCTACGCCATGTGCCACGTGGAGACGTGAAACGGTAGTAAGATATAAAAGAGATGAGCGGGCAATATTAGGTACTTTTTAGAACAAATTGCCGAGAATGGTGAAGGAGTATAATTTATATAAAGTCGACTGCCTTTCCGACAGCTCGGGCTTGTGACGCCTATGACTCTAACACCTTAACGACGACCACATTCGAAATGGAGGCCATCCAGCGTGTTATCCCCCAGGGGTTACCAGTATCTATACAGGTGGTTATTGCCACCCTGGCACTTGGCTTTATCTACTCGCTAGTCACCGCAGACCGACCTTTTGCTGGATTTCCAGTTATAACAGTTGACGGACATAGTCCAAAGAAAACTTGGTTATGGCACGGCGGGAAGGCCGTAGCCGAAGGCGTGAAACGGGTATATAGTTGCCTAAGCATACTCCTATTGAAAACATCATGCTAATTTATTTAATAGTTTTCTGGGCCGTTTCAAGTCATCACAGGGACGGGTCCAAAAATTATCGTACCGAATAGATTCGCCGACGAACTTCGCAACCACCCCTCGCTAGACTTCAACAAAGCATTTGCTAAAGTAACCTACCTTCTTCATGTCTCCCCTATTGTGAGGTCTCCAATCAACTGACAACTTCAGGATTTTATGGTGAATTATCCAGGCTTTGAGGCTCACCGTCTAGGCCTACACGATGGGCATCTGATTCAGGAAACGGTACGGGTGAAGTTAACCCAGTCACTCAACTTGATTACGGAAGACCTTGTAGATGAGACAACGGCGTCGCTCCACGATGTATTTGGTGATAACAAGGAATGGACCACCAGGTACATCAGAGATGATATGCTCGAAATAGTCGCTCGTCTTTCATCGAGGGTATTCTTGGGAAGGGAGCTGTGCCGAAACCGGAGATGGCTTGATATCTCCAAGTCGTATACTGTCGACTCGTTTCTCGTCTCGCGTCTAATGAGAGCTGTCCCTTCGTTTCTACGTCCTCTCGCTTATATACTGATCCCACAGTCGAGGTCCCTTCGGAACGCTGTCAGAGACGCACGAAAGCTTATCACCCCCGAGGTGGAACGCCGCAAAGCTGTAGTCGACGCAGCACGTGCAGCGGGCGAGAAGCCGCCGAAGGTTGCGGACACGATCGGTTGGATGTATGAAGTGGCTCAAGGCCGAGATGCCGACTACGTCGCGGGACAGCTTTCACTAACAATGGCTGCTATTCACACGACCACGGAGGCAACTTGTGCAGCACTGCTTGACATCTGCCAATATCCCGATGTGGCTCAGCAACTTCGACAGGAAATCATCGAGGTTATTGGCGAGAATGGATGGGCAAAGACTTCTCTATATAAGCTCAAGCTTATGGATAGCTTCCTCAAGGAGGGGCAGCGACTCACACCTATGGGTGCAAGTATGTCTCTCCCCAACCCGTTTTCCCCTGTCCTGGCTAATCATAAAAATCCAGCTACTATGCATCGATACGTAGAGAAGGACGTGAAACTTTCTGATGGAAGCGTGTTGCCGAAGGGTGCCCGCATCGTAGTTGCGGGCAACTTCATGGACCCGACGATCTATCCCGAGCCCGAGAAATTTGATGCCGCCCGGTTCCTCAAGATGAGACAACAGCCCGGCCAAGAGAACAGTTGGCAGTTCGTGACCACCAGTCCGGCACACACTCTTTTCGGCCACGGTCAGCACGCATGTCCTGGACGCTTCTTCGCATCCAACGAAGTAAAGATTGCGCTGTGCCATTTATTGCTGAAGTACGATTGGCGGTTCATTCCGGAGGAAGGTCGACCTGCCCCGCGTGTCTTCGAGGGTGTTAACGCCGTTGACCAAAAGGCGAGAATCCAAGTGCGGAGGAGGAACGCCGAGATTGACCTTGATGACTATTGAACGGATGATTCTGTGGAATACCGCATTCCGTCGAACTGTTTCTAGATTGTTTGTACCCTTGAAAGTAGAACCAGTTGTTTCTGAGAGCTTAGTGCCGCCATAGATGCCCCCTAACACAACCAGGTGCGCCATTAACACCCACGTATCATATAATTTATTCCCATACATCTAAGTGTTTAACCTCAATGTGACAGCCAATTGAATATCACTCTTCTAAAAGAGCTCCTAGATCAATTGGGTGTATCATATCATCAAGCCCCTGAAGAGACCGAAGCAGAAAGCGAGATTAAATTTTGTGAACCCGAAGGCAGTGAATTCAAGAACGGAGATATTGTCATTGTCTATACGGCTGACAGTATTATCCAACATAGTAGACTAACAAGAGAAGGCTTGCTAGCCTATACCATTCTTGCGATTATGCCGATGGCCTCCAGGGCATTGGGCTAAGCACAATTCTTAAATTGGCAAAGCATTATAAGTCCCAATAAATGACTCTTATACTAAACAATTCCATGTCGAACCATCACAGAAAACTCAGCAAACGGCGCGCTGTGCTCTTTTGCATCGTCAAAGACACTTTCCCAAACAGGGATTTCACGGTTCCTCCAAAATCTTTCTCCTATATAAACTTCCACCCAGGAAGAAATATACGCTGACCCTTGGAGTACCTAGTGGTACTCTGAGGTCAAACAGGTACTTAAGTAATAAATGAAAGATCATCAAGATGGGAGAGGAGATCATTGCCCGCAGAGATGAACTATCTACGTAAATTGAGAAAGGGGCGAAATTACATGTTATTATGGTTTAAATACGAGAAGTATAGTTATACCTACATTCTTTTCCACCGGGGTCGGCGAATCTAAGGTACTAACTCAAGTAGGGAATAGAGTATTCTCAGGAGTTGGTTGCGAACGAATGTAATTCATATTGATGTATGATAGATATCTCTGAGAGTGCCGAGTCAATTGCCTTTTACCTTGATCCAGTACACCTACTCCGATACCTTCATCTGCTCAACATCTCGTTCCATTCTCCTGACCTCTCGGTCCTCTCCCTCGCCAACCTCTGGATCAGCGCCCTCTTTTTCACCGCCGCTCTCAGCACTCCTCCGCTGCTCCTCTTCCTTCTTCTCCTGCTCCGCCAACCGGTCCTCTTCGCGCCTAATCTCCCGCAAGTCAATGTCTTCGAAGCCGATACGCTTAAGGACCGGCGCCGTCGCGTGACGGTATAACGTGTGGCCCTTGACTAGATCGCCGACGTCGACGTTCTCGACCCCCTGGACGTCGAGGACGGGACGCAAGCCCGCGACGCCGAACTGGATGCTGCTGCTCCGGTACAGGAACGCGAGGATGTAGTCGTTCGCGCTGTACGCGTTGACGACCCTGCCTGCGACGACGGACCGGATGCGCCGCCAGTCCGCGGAACTGCTGGGCGTCGGCGCGCCGAGCATGATCGCATTCTCGACGATGCCGAAGGCTTGCCTCTTGGCGAGCTGCTGCAGGCATACGTATATGACCTTGGCACCGAGGGAGTACCCGATGAGCGTGACGGGTCGCTCGCCTTGTGCTTTGTTGATAAGCGCGTCGGCGAGGACTTCGCCGGCTTTCTGGGCGCGCTGGTTGGCGATGCTCCAGGGGTTGTCGATGATATGACTGGCTTTCTGCGCTTGTATGTTAGCGTTCTAGTAATAACTACCTACTGCTTATAATTTTCGAAAATATCATGACGACTATTTCGAGAGGAGCGAATAGGAGAATTAGGGCGGGACGCTGCATTGTACTTACCACTAAGCCTAGCGGCCACAAGCCAGCGGACAGCGCCGCGAAAACAGTACGCTTAATGATCTCAGACTTCGCGTAGGACCACGCTGCCGAAGTGACCAGTGTTGTAAGCGCGTTCCCCAGATTGATCAGCGCATCCAGTTCGAACCGTAGAGCGAATGATTCTTGGCCCGAGCCGATGCATTTCCACGGCTTGACTACATCGTCTTTGTCGTCCAGCCAGCCGGAAATGCCAATGGCGATCCGCAGACGACGCGCTTCGATCTCGGTTTTCCCCGGCCTCTCGATAGGTACGAATGCGCAGTCTTCCACGTCCCGAGTATATTTCTCCACTGGGATATCGTGAGTGAGTAAACGCCGTCGAATAAATAAATGTCGGACTGGCGGGCTCATTCTATAGACCACTAGATCTAGAGGAGGTCTGAAGCGAGTGCCTCTACCTACCTTACCTAGTTTTCAGGAGGCTATGAGACAAAGAGCTGGGTAGTTCACTTACTAGCTTTACTCGTCATTTTAGCGCCATAGGCCCCGAATAGACCACCTACCAAGACACCACTCCCCGCTAACGCTCCCAGGTAGCCCGCCGTAGCGGTAGCACCGAGCCCGATCCCCCCCAGCACGGTACCCAAGCCGGAAGCTAGGAGGGGAGCAGCCAACCCGCCGGTAATACCGATGAGGGCGGCGCCGGCGACCCCCGCGACGCCCATCTTCCATCTTCGCGCGGTGCGGTTCTCCTCCGCCCTTTTCTTCGTCTCATCGTCGGCCGACATCTTCTCGGCCGCCGAGAGGAGCCCATGAGCGACTTTCGTCTCGTCCTCCGCGAGCACCGTGGCGGAGAGGCCCAGGCTCGTGGTTAGGTGCAGAAGAAGGACCCGGGAGTAGGCGTTGTAGTGCTCCAGGCTCAGCAGGAGCAGGAGCACGGAGTGGAGGATTAGGATTCGCTTCTCCTTGGGAATTTTGCACAGCGCGGTTTCGACGGGGGGATACGTCTTTAACAGCGCTTTGGCGATCGTATCCTCGTGCTCGTCAGCCTCGACGCCCTCTAGTCCAGGTTCGGTTTCCGAGCTCGCGAGTTCTGGATCGGCTTGCTTTGATTGTTTCGCGGCTGTTTTCCTGGAGTTGACGACCTCCCCGACGCGGAGCACGACCGCGTCTCTCCAGCCATCGAAGAACTCCAGCGCGCTCGCCTTGAGCGTGACCATTTCCTCTTTGCTAACCTCCTTTTCGCGTTTCGCAAACTCGGCCTTTTGCTTCTCAAGCACCTTTTGCGCCCTCTTCTCTTGTTCCTCGTCGCTTAGCATTTCAAGATTTTCCGATTCACTGCAATTGTCACTTGCTAGCGCAGAAAGGTGGTCGTCTTGAGAACCCGTTTGCTTGGGATCAAAAGTATCCACGAGTCGTCTGCGCATAAGCTCGGTAATCTCAGAAACGAGGATTGTGAGTGAGCTGCGGTCTTCGTCCGTTTCTAGTACGCTTGTGAGCGACTCGCCTTCCTCGTCCTGTTTCCTTGGATCGTCTCCGTCACCGCCGCCCAAGAAAGTGCTGGCTTTCTGGAACATTGACGCCATTTTCGCGCACTTGATTAGTCAAAGGTTTATGGATTATTCTTGAAAGTTGGAAGCAGATTCAAGATAAGATAAAACCAGGTAAAGCAGACCTATTATTTTTTTGTTACTATGTACCTCTGTCAGGTACCTAATTCGAAGAGCTCCTACGTCATCAATCTCAGCTTTAGCTTACAGCTCATATCCCTGTCAGTAGGGTTTTGTTTACATAGCAGGTACTTCGTTGCCGTAGTGTCTCTCTGCTGAATAACGTAATTTATGATAAGTTTCATATATTAATGCTAAACGCAAACCTTTCGTGATAGATATCTTAGGTACATACAGTAGGCGGTTTATTACCTAGGGGTACCTTAGGTAGTTATGTGATGTAGATAAAATGGCTTCGGCAGACTGAGATATGGTAATGTGGTATAATGTCGTCAGTCTCAAAACAAGACTACCTAGGTACCTATGGGAGAGTACATATATGCATGTAACCACTCATATCTATCCGATAGATGTATATCTACCTTAGTTACCTGACATGCAAACGGGACGATAATTGACAAACCGAGTCTCCAGATAGGGGAGAGAAAAAAAGAACCAAAAAATAAAAATAAAAATACCATGCGAATATTCTAAAGTATATACTACATAAATACCTAAACGACATGCCCTACCTGTTTTAGCTCCAGGTAACTAACAAAATAACCTTCATATACCGGAAATATATTTCTTGCTAAATCAATCAAGTCAATATTGACTTCGCCCTCCCCTAGAAGAACATGTTATATAAAAGCTAGGAACCAAATGACGTTCCAGGATGTTTATCAATGAGCACCTCCCTGATGGCCGCCTCCTTGATGGCCGCCTCTTTGATGGCGGTCGAACATATCTAGAGTTTAACAAGTCAACATTCCGTTTGAATTTTATACCTATCTATCTCAAGGGACACGGGGGGAGGGGTGGGGTTTAAGGTAGGTAAGTAAGTAAGTCTAGGGAGGCTACTTACGTTGGAGCCGTTCGCGAAGAGCATCTCTACGGCGTTTACGAGGCAGAGCTAGCCCGTGCCTTGGAGGGCGGGGGTGTCCGAAATTTTGCATCCGTTTTATAACCCGGTTCGCAAGGCCTTGAGGCTCCCGTTGTGGCAGCCCGGGTATGTTATTCGCCGGCCCCTGGCCTGCGCCGGCGAAGAATCCGAATTGATTTGGCGGCGGCTGCAGAGGTTGCGGTATCCATTGTAATGGGCCACCACCGGGTTGAGGCGGTTGCGGTGGTAGCCACTGCACTGGACCACCAGGTTCTTGTGGTGGCGGTGGCGGGGGTTGCGGGGGTAGCCATTGCACTGCGTCAGGGGGAACCAGTGGTGGATTTATGGGACCAGGTAAAGGTGGTGCATCGTCCATTGGAACGTCAGGCCCGTCGAAACCTGCGAACGGATCAATATTTTCGGCGTTTTCGTCAAAGCCATCCCACTCATCCTCGTTCGGATCGACCCATACAACACCACCTTCGCCCACGCCTCCACCTCCACCGTCTGGCACTGCGTCATCTTCATCGTCTTCGCCGCCGTCGTCGTCTTCGCCATCTGCGTGCGCTTCGTCTTCCCAAATCACAATCTCTTCGACATCTCCTTCCCTTGGTGGCGCTAATGGCGGATCGGCAGGAAGATCCGGGAGAACGTGGTGTGGACGAGGAGCGGGCGGAGGAGGACCAATAGGACCGAGGGGGTTGGGTCCTGGAGGTCCCAGAGCATCTGGAGGTCCTGCAGGTCCAGGAGCGGGCCCAGGAAGACCAAAAGGACCGGCACCCCATGGAGGCGGTGCGGGTCCAGGAGCAGGTCCATGAGGTGCAAAAGGATTCCACGGTACTTTGACAGGGGCAGGGGCCGGGGCCGGGGCCGGAGGTTCCACGTTTTCGGGATAAGGGTACGGTCCATATGGGTTTAAAGGAGGGGCATTGTCTGGCTGAACAGCATCATAGATACTAATATAACGAAAACATTCATGTCAGTAGTTTGATACCTTGTTCATAGTATCCACGCTCTTCAACCCGAGAGGGAAATTTGGTAATTACGAAGGGGATTGAGCGGGATTGGTTGCTTTACATACTAGAACATAGTCAGCTGAACGGTCATTCAAGTATATATACCCGACGAAAGCTTTCCCAAAACAGGAGGGCTAAGGCTAGGATATGATCTACTCTTATCACATACCAATGTCTGAACCCAGTTTCTAATCATATGATCAGTTTCTCCAGGATATCTTCGCACTGAGCCTTCTTTCGCCCCCCTCATTAAAGTATCTAGTGGTGGTCGCTCTTCCGGGTGATGCCTCATACATTGCGTAATTGTTCTTCGGAGGTCTTCGTCTATATAACCAAGCTCGGGATCATCCATGAGCAATGCCGCATAGTGAATCGGTTCTTCCGCGCTCCGCTGTGGCGGGACCGGCGGGCGAGATACCGTCATGAGCGTCCATAAGGTCTGTCCGGGCGTTAAACCGTTTGTGACCTTCATTATAGTATCCAAGGAACTCTTACCAGCGCAATCCCCCATACGTTCATAGGTGATCCGTAATGCCCAGCTACTCTTTCTTCCGCAAGTTCCCAACCCGACGTGGTTTCAACATTTACGTGATCCCAATCCGTTCCAAATTGTTCAGGGGCATAATGGCCGTATTTCCCGGTGAACCGATGTCGAAGATAATACTGGCTGTATTTGAATAATCAGTATGAACCCAAAGCATGGAACAACGGTGCAGCTTACTTTCCCTTGTTAGGCTTTATTATTCTTGCACGTCCATAGTCCGCAAGCTAAGCTACAGTCAGCATAGAAGGAGACGAGTCAAAGATAAGTGTATTATGTCCAAGACTACTAGCCTACCTTCAGTCTAGGAATTATAGCATGCTCGCCGTCTCTAGCATTTCTATCTGGGCCGCCGATGAGGACTTGGTAGTTTTCAGTTAGCTTCATCTCATACAGTAGGGAAAATTAGGAGAAAGTCTTCTTACCATTTTTAGCGTCGATATCAAAATGGACCAATCGCCTCCCAGCCCATCTCTTACGAGTGGGTGGGACCTCTTCATAAAGGTCATCTCCGGTACCTTTCCACTGATCAGGCCCGCCTTCGGGATTCGAAGCAGCCGCTTCCTCTAGCGCCCTTCGTATCTTGGCCGGATCATGTCTGTCGTGTCGCTCAGGGTGGTACATCCGCGGAGGAAACCTTGAAAATCCCATCATGTCAACGTAAGTTACCCAGGGGTCGAGTATTACCAAATATTTTTGAGTAAAGAAACGGGGGCTCTCGAGATCCAAGAACTTACTCCAAGCCAACACATGCCCTAACCACTAACAATCTCATTAGTTATAACACATCGTGATTGGAGGAGGTAGAAACAGTAGAGAGCAAAGACTTAACATACAGCAAAGCCAAAAGGACCAAAGGACACGATTTGGAACCCTTTTTTCCTCTCTTGGTAAGCTGGCCTTCTCAATTCTTTGGATGAGATGCCCCAAGTCGCCATTGCCCAAATACTCTAGGATGATATAGTCGTGGCGGGAGAGTGGGTTCTCAGGATCGTTCGGGTCACGGTCACGGATCATACGGTCGATCAATTCGTCCTTTTCTCTCATCCTTATCCGGTGAAGCCGAACCTTGTCCTCTTGATCTTCGGGGTCGTTTTCAAAAGTGTGCCTCCGACTATCGTTCCAGCCCGAGTAGAAACGATTATCGTCTAAAGTTTCTACATCCGATGGAGGTAAGGAAGGTAGATCGTCGTCATCGTCGCTCGAATCATATTGGTCTATGTATTCGTACTCAAACGGCTGAACGTTTGCAGCAATGACATGAGCCGGATTGACCATCTGGACACTATGAGCCCCGCGGGCTACTTCCTATTTGCGCCATTAGAAGATATCCTATAGGTAGGTACCTAACCTTATGCTTGTCGTCACTACGTACCTTCATCATTCGTTCTTCGCGACGGATTTCCGGGCTAAACCAGCCCTTGCGACCAATCTTGATGACCAGTTCCTTAGGTGGATTTAGGCGCGCGAACTTAATAGCTATACCATTCGCACCATAGCCCAGCACTTTCAGAGCCATAAGATTTCTCGGGGGGTGCCTCTCAAAAAATTGTATAGCATCGCGACATCTCTGCCGGATATCGTTCCTGTACGGCTCATCCCATATATCCGACGTATTAAGTACGAACGGCGGCCAAGTACTTTCCCAAGCGTCATGCTTGTACGGGGTCCGATTCCAATTTTTCTTTATGACATAGTCTCGAGGGTTGGCTTCTCCTGGCCTCGGAAACGGTTGCTCCGCCCACTCCTCTCGGTCTACACGGTATGATCTAAAGCCCCCTTCGTAGGCGCCGCCCTCTTCTCGATAACGTGCCCAGAGGGCGTTCACAGCTCTATAATGTTCCGAAAACCCTTCGGGATTCCCATATATGCCTCGGTCAAAATCCTCCGGGTAATCGTGCATCACCCTATCCGGGTCGTCCATTTTTCTTGATTACTGAAGGCCTGTAGCCGCGTATTGGATAAACAATTTTGAGGAGCAATACACATATAGAATTTATTTGGTATCGCGGTTTCAAAAATATGGCTATACATATGTGAAAGGCCATAATCGCTATTGTGCTATTGTGCTGCTTGCAGCAATCGAACAACTGGTAGACAAAGAAACTCAACGACCAGGAAGGATCAATTTTCTCGGTAGTCCCACGTAACCGCAGTCTTAGAGATTATGAAAGAAAGAAATTTATAAAAGAAAGGAAGTTGTAAGGAAAAAAAAGACAAACAGCACCTCTGCCACGAATTTCTGTAGGAGGTAGCTAATTACCAACTCTACCAGTAATTAATTGGAGGTTGACTGAATTGTTCCAAGAATACCCTTTCATTGCCACATTAGTATTGTCCTACGTCTTGAACAGAAGGTTGCTGCATTCAAATCAGGTATCTATATCACATAGTTCATCCAAGTGCCCCTTTTCTACTTACGAGTCCCTCTAGTTGCTCACGGCAGATCTCTCAACTAGCTAGTCCGCTCTGCAATCATGTAAACAATTCTGGCGCTTATCAGTATATAACTGATGGTTTGTTGAATTACCTAGAACTAAAATTGTTTTATTACGTATTCAGGTAAGTAGAATCGGGAGAATCTGTCATAAGAATAGTATGTAATAACGATATGTAGATGGCTTTAAACGGTTTCCAGTGAGTAACTGGGTTCACATTGGAACTCGGCTTCAAGGCCAAATGAAGAAATAGTCACGAAGGGCTAAAAGTGAAGTCTGATGAAAACGACATGATAGCCCTCTTCTCCAGTTGAAATCTATCGCCCAGTGAGGATATCTCGGTACTTAATTCCATGCTTTGAAAATAATAAAATAATATTAGGTATTAAATCGGCATAGAATACTACCTACCTGTTACAGGTAGGTTCCCGTATGGCGAATGTACTTTAGGATCAACCCTGTCGAGGAGTAACTTTCTTCGTACCATGATTTCCGGATGCAGTATCACAAAGAACCAATAATAGGTCGACAGTGGTATTACAGAATGACTTCTAAAATCCACCTCTCTGGTACCTAACCCGTTGGTCAGGTACGTACCAGGTACTCAATCACCTGGAAATGAGGCACTGTTCGGATCGCTGTTAAATTTTTTTTTTTTTTCTATTTTTATATAGGCGAGCCTAGGATACCAAGAAAGGTACCTTACATATACTGCCTCTATTTGTAAGCTACCTTTCAGCCATGCAACATGCAATTTCTAGCCCTTCTGTATCAAGTACATTGGATGCCTTGGACGCCTTGCCAATCAAACTCCATGTGCGGGATCGTCGTGTCAGTGATGACGTATATCTAATAATGTCCGATCTTACCATCCAACGCCAAGTTCATTAGAATAATTTCCATCCCTCCCACTTCCATCCTCATGCAAGTCATAAATCTCTTGTTCATATTATGTAGGGGAACCTTCAACCCATTTGAGAAGGCTATTAATCGAAAATATCGGCATCTCCGCCGTCCCAATCAGGATCCGACTCTTCTGGAGAGTCCAAAAAGTCCTCCATGTCGAACTGTCTTTCCGTGGGCCGATGGTTATCAACTTGAATATCCACCACATCACAGAGACCATGAATAAATTCATTGTCCGATACTTGTCTCGAAACCTTTCTCACCTTGCGTTCCAATTGACTCTGATCGGAGTGGTCAGCGGCTAATTCGTCTTCGCTCTCTTCATCGTCGGCATCTCGTTCCTTCAGCAATAATCCACTCCCTCTGAGCCGCTTGAGTTCTTTACTGATGGCCGAGGCTCGCGTGAGCTCAGCCTTACTGAGGTAATTCGGCTCACCCTCTGACGAGGTTGGTGCCGGTGAAAGATTAGCGATTCGCGTGCTTCGCCGCCGTGGTAACGTTGTAGAAGTTGAGATCTTCGGCTTTAGCTCCATCCTCTGTTCTTGCCGCTGGGGTTTGACTGGTGGTGCGCGTACTGTCTTGATATCTTTTCTAGGCTTCGTCTTCCTCTTAAAGATCCTCGCCATCTTATCCACCCAGAATTCCCGGAATTCTTGGCGTTGACGCCAACCTATGTCTAGCGCGATTCTCAATGCGAGTCGACGAAGGTGGGGAAGTTCCGACGCGCTCTGCACCAAGCTTTGAAAGAAAGTCTCTGCTGCCCTACGACCCCACTTCCGCATGTGAAGGATCTCAATAGATTGAATTGAGGGCGGCCACCTCGGCACATCGTTCTCCGTAAGCAGGACGTCATACTCAGGTTTATTGTCAGCATAGTGCTCGTGGTGTCGGAAGTAGGACAAATCTATGTAGAGGTGTTGCAGCTTGGGACAGGCGAACTCTAAGACGGGAAGAAATGTTAGGCTCAACGATTGGCAGTGATTGATAGTGAGACTTTGCAAGTGGCTCCCGTTAGAAAGTAGAAAATTAGTAAGATCATTTGCTGTTAGCTCCCAGCAGTTGATAAATTCCAGATGTTTGAGGGAGGTGGGAAGTTGTTCCAGTAATAGGCCATTAACCAATGTACAGGACTCTAAAACGAGATGCTCCAGGTCTGGCAAAGCCGAAATACAGGCAGAGAGTTGGGCGATCCTTTCATGGTTTTGTCTCTCTATCACTTCACTAGACTGTTGTCTAGCCGTCAAGCCCCAGGACGCAAGTTGATAATTCACAAATGCTACTTTTCGCAGGCTGGCGAAACTTGAGTTGGAATGAAATCCCGCCAACTTATCTAGCGAGAGCGAGTCCGAAGTAAGACGCGAGTTCCAACGCCAACTTTTCAATTGCGTGGGAACGGTCGTATCACTAACTTTACGGCCTGCTAAAGTTTGCATCAAGTCATCTGCAGCACATTTGAATCGGATGTGCTCGTCTAATTTACGATAAGGCGGCTCGTCAAATTCGTGGTACAACTCCATACTTGACAGTCTTGGCAGATTCCGCACCACAGTCTGAAAGTTTAGATAGTTTGTGCCGAACCTTGGGATCAAAGTTGATGCCACTTCCATCTGTAGAACTTCAACTTTGGGTCGGTAATTCATTATGGTAGTGTCGGGAGACAAGTTTAGAGTGTCGATGAATTGGCTGAGAGAGGTTTGGGGGGCTTTGGTGTATCGCCAGTGGTGGTAGAATGGAGGGCACTTGTACAAGTTTGCTAACGCAGGTTCGAGAAAGGCCTTGCAAACCCGTGCGGCCGACATTAAATCTCCAACCGCCTCGGAGACATCTTCACGTCGTGATGAAAGGTCACGGATTGGCGCGGCGATGCTGTCGAAAACACATAGGAGGACGTGATACGGAAGATTTTCCAAAGGAAGACGGAATGTACAAGTGTTGGAAGGGGTAGCAGGTGAAGCCGCAGGTGTAACCTCATTTGAATCCGGGGTACTAGGAGCTATTGTTTTCGGAGAGGCCTTTTTGACGACTTTGTGTGCTTGACGCAGGACTTTTTTCGGAGGTGGCGAGTAGTTATCGCTGGTGCTCTTTCGCTTTCGCGTGGTAGGGAATGTATGTTTAATCGGGGCATGGCTAGTTTCGAAATCGTCGCTGTCATCGTCAAGATCACTGTCGGACTCGGATGAAAGCGAGTAGGAACGGAAGTATGCGGCTGTTGATCTAGTCGTGCGGCATGGTGCCTTCAATTTGGCGGCGCGGGATGGATTAGTCCGAAGAGCTCGTAGAGGGCGATCCATTGTCAGAGGCGAGATCGAGAATCATTAGCTTGCTTGGAATAATAAGCGGGCACAACGACGGTCGGCATAGGAATAACAAGGGATCGAGGAATAGAGTAGCGTATGCTACTTAGTTGATTGAATGGTGGATTGATTGGCAAGAGGTTTCGCAGGTGGATGCTTCGGCGTGAATTAAGAATTAACAAAGAAAAATGGGTTAGGTAAATCGGAAATGGATTGTGTTTATCCTGGGAAAGTACGACGTAGGAGGTACGGCATTGACTCACTCAACTGCAGCTCAAGGTACATAGTAGATTGGCGGTACCCACTTAATAAGGTTTTGCGCTTATGATTGGATCTGCACTCTACACCCCCACCTTCCCCGTGTACCATAGGAGGAGGTAGCCTCTTACCCGTGGAACCTCACTTCCGCGCGCAGCTGAAACTGTATCTATGTACCACTGAACTTCATCTTATCGTTCTTGGACATCACGGAAGAATTCTACAACCATGTGCACACATATATGTAGAACATATTAGGTAGGTACCCCCGCTAACCTAGAGTGGAGGCTATATTATCATATTAGATTTGCTATGTACTTACCTAGGAGTTAGTCAGACCATACAACCCTTAAGGTCTGAATTCCGCTGATACTATGATCGTAGTTTTGCCATTTTTATTTAACTGTCGATGGTGCAAGTCCTACTTCTCATTTCATTACGAACTCTTCCGTATGTGTCTTGATTGCATTTACTTCAATTGGCTTTTTACCTAAGGTAAGTGTATATAAGGTAAGCTGCCTTAAGGTAGCTATTGCTTTACTTGAAAACGTATTTTGGAAAGAATTTATAGCTCAAATACAATGTATATTAGAAACCCTTAATCTTTGTAATTATTACAAGCCATACTTAATTAATTCATCATCTATAGTTTCATCTATAGTTTCAATCCGGTCGGGTAATATCAACAATAATTATATAATCCATATCTTATTAATCTGAGAAGCAATTGACTCCATCTTTTAACTTGGAGAATAGTGCCTTAGGTACTTGTAAGTGCGTGTGTTAATCTGCACTTAAGTTTTGCTAGTTGGACTTTCACTGTTTCAATGTTACCCATGTGAAAATCAAGTAGCAAAGGAGGGAAGGTGGGTCTAGAGTACATACATCCAGTACCTAGAAGCAACCTGTACTTGTGGCTTGTATGCTTGTATCTCCGAGAGTACTACGTGGTACGTATCTTTTTGTACATAAATGCACGGTTCCGCCACTTAGAAGATCCAACCGTAGCCACACAAATTCCACTTAAGCCATACAAGACTGGACAGGCCAGACAGGATTGGTCCTTTCCTCCTTCAGCCTACCTTGGTTAGTCGGAACGCGTCGACGGGTTCTTCCACTTTTCACGCATCGCATCGCGGAACATGTCAACCGCATCACATGCCCTCCCAACTTATTTCTCTATAGTCACATTTTCTTATATTCAATACCGTTTGGTATTGTAATTGCATCCGCCGGCAAGCCCGCAACTTTTGCCGACAAATCATCGAAATCATCGCACCGAATTACGGTTAACATAAACAACCAGGTTCACCATCATTTCATGGCCAGCCACACTTAATTTATTGCACATCTCATCCCTCCATAGCCACTTTCACTCATTCTTAAACTTCATTTCGTCTTGGCCCTCGATTCCTCGCCTGACTTTGATCTCAGTTTTACGCCATAATTCTCATTGACTTGTCTTCGGCGCTAAGAATACCTAAGGTATCCAATAATGCAACCCCAATATCTGTAATTCCTAATTGGTTGTGTCCGAAACTTGGTGCTTCCGAGGCAACTACCTAGGTTAGGTACTCAGCAACACTCATATATGCTTGCTTTACTTCCATAGCAGGAGTTCAGGAGTTTGCCCAATAAGACTTTAATAGCGCCTTCAGTCATTCCTGTAATTATCTGACGACTCTATCTTTATCTCTAAACCAGGGTGCCACAACACCGTGGTGGGCTGCGCCGATGTTCTCCTTCAGAGATGGCAACCATCACCCCGTACAAACGCGAACTACCTTTCATCCATCGAGCCTGGAAAACTGCTGTCGATCACCTTTCTCCGTACGGCATGGGAATCAAGTTATCGTCAACGAACGGTGACAACATCGTTAGTGATGAGCATGGCTCACGTGCCCCTAAAAGACGTCGCATAGAGGATTCCCCGGAGTTGACTCCAAATGGCGCCGTTAGTCACTTGTTACCTGAGAATTATAACGACTTCGAAAAAGCTCTCCGTGTGGAAATTCTGCAGATCACCCACAAGGACAGCTCTAACTTCAGATCCAGCAACCTGTTGAATGGCACGGGATCTCCCGCAAAAAAGGACACTCCCACTATTCGCATCCGCTGTAAGCTTAGCATTTTTCGATTACGCGGGTCAAAGGAAGTTCGTATCCTTCATTGCGATAGTCAGATATGCAATCTAAGGGTCTTTCGAGACGCAGACGATGTCTGTCGGAGGGCTAGGATTTATCTAAGTTCGCCATTTCACGTCCCAGCAGACAAGATATTCGTTGAGCGAGATGATGGCAATGGCTTTAATCTAGATGACAGCTATTTGGTCCAAGCCGAGTTGGAGTCGGCCGGTGATCCCTATTGGCCGCCAGTTGACTTACTACCTAAAGAAGAAGCCCAGGGCGACGTCTCGAGCAAACTGCGGCATTGGGTGTTGACATCCCAAGTCATCTACAGATTTGAAAAACACCGGGCCTCTACGCCTGTTAAGATCAGGAAACGAGTCGGTCATGAAATAGCAACCGAACTAATGATGGACATGGATCTGAGATGGTCCACATGCCATAGAGCAAGGAGCACCACTGAAGTCGAGGTTTCGCCACCAGAGACCAAAGCATCAATCCCCAAAGGCGCTTTAGAGCCGTTGACAAACGGACACGTTAACGGGAGGACAGATAATGCAACAAACGGTGTTTTGAAGGATGATCAAGATATCTTGATAGAAGAGGACGACGATCATGAAGACGCGGCAACCCCTAGTCGTTCTCTAAGAACGCGGGAAAAGCAGAATTATAATCTCAAGTTACTGAGTGACAAGGCTCGAGGGAAAGAGCGTAAAGAACGCAAGCAGCGTAAATTGGCTGAGAATAGAAGCCAAAATGGGCAAGTTACGTGGGTGCTCCCTCAAACCGGGGAAGTCGTACTAAAGAATTACCAATGCATACGATGCTATGCGGCTCATCCATCCATGAACCAGCTAGTAGAACATGTAAAGGTTCATTATGAGTTCAAGTATGACTTTGATATGAGCTCCTCTCGCATCTCGATCTCTCATCACGGCCAAGAAACCCCGCGTCGATCCAGCTCATGCGTATTGGACGTTCAAGGTTCAGAAGCTCAGGAGAGTGACTTCGAAGACAGTATATCTCTTCATAGGAACCAGAAGAATCTAGTGCAGTCAAAGTCTTTCCAAGTAAGTTAATTACAATGACAGGTACATAATACGGTGAAATCTGTGTCATGCTAACTTCATACGAAGACATACCTCCCGGGTCGTCCAAAAGATGGAAAGCAGCTAGTGCCGAATAATAAGCAGCCCATGTACGATCGTCTCAGCAAAGCGTTGCTCGAGCCAGGATCGTTGGTTGATCCGCCAGACATCGACGATACTTGGCTGGTACAGAAGCATCGAGATATCATTCGAGATTATAGTGACGTCCATCAAGATGAAAAGGAATACATCTCAGAATGGGACGCCTACGTAAATAAAGAATGCGTCACCTCAGAGCCTCATTTACAAGAGGTTTATCTCAAATTCATTCAAGACAAGGCGTCGTGGCTAGCCGCGTCCCAGAGCCGAATGACGGAATTTTCGAAGCACTTGAGCTACCTAAAGGCAAGGAATTCTTTAGTCGAGTCGACTATCATTAAGGCGCTTGCAATTATGCGGCAGGCTAGATCTCAGAGGCGCCCTGAGCAACCTGAGGTTACAAAACCACCTTCTCCAAGAACCCAATATCGCAAGTCGACGTCAGGATGTGCTGTCTGTGGCCAACCAGTTCGCGGACCTTCCACACTAATCTGCTCGAATTTGGTTAGTTACATGATTTTTTTCCCCCAATTTCCTTTTCAGTGTCACTCTAGATAGAACGCAAGGCTAACTCTTTAGGATTGTGATAAACCCCTTTACCACATCAACTGCCTCCGAGGAGACGAGAACATTCCCACAGGGAGTCGTAATTGGCGTTGCAATGATTGTTGCAAGAATTAGAGAGCTTTGGACGTGGACGTCGTAGCACGTCGAGCCCCACCGGTGCTTCGAGTTGGAAGCCGGGAATCACTCTTAGGCGGGTAGTTAAAGGTTGGCAGTTCAACTTAGGAACGCTAAGCCTAGCTCCGAAGGAAATACGTGGACCTTGTACATAATAGGCGATCTTAAAGCCTCAGTGGCGATCAATGTTTGGATAGGTGGATATGAGGCATCCACAACTTCTCTGTATCCCATACTACATTTAGAATCTCTTCTAGAGATGGTGTACTAAACATACCATACCTTAGGTAGGTATACCGATGGGGTAATCCACTGCCATATGAATTAAATAATTTAGTTAATGATCAGGTTAGCTCGTCATCTGTGAATTGGATACCTGCACCGTTTAGACAATTTAAGAGTAAGTCTATTAAAATTAATAGGTGAGAAGCCGAGGTATGGAGTGGACTTGACTATATATCTTATACTTCTACGGCCTGCAGAACAACTTCATCCAATTACCTACCTTAGATAGGTACCTTGATTAAATGCCGATGCACCACAACTGCCCATCTATTATGCAGTTGTTTCTAGCGACTCTTCATGTTATTAAATAAGTGGTATTATTTTCGGCTATTCTACCTGTTATCAGAAATATTCTTTCACGGGAGAAGCAAGCGTTGGTGTTCTATTGGAAGCAAATGGACATTGAATGTTTTACCCATAGCAAACCCAAAAGTCCCAATGGAGTCATTCTAAGCGTGTCATTTCACTTCTAATAGAATAGTATAGACTAGATCACTTCACATTTGTCTTCTGTTGTCCAAAATAGCAAATAGAGCTAAGTCAAAGCAGACAACTATTAGCTGTAATCCAATTACGTTAGGGAAACGAGATATCATCTATGTTGATCGAGAAGGGAGGTACCTACCTAGTGAATTATGTCTCTCTTCTTATACGAGTGATCTAATATGACTTGAAAGATCTTATCACTAAAGTTACAGTTAAACATCCGCTGCTATACTTGTGACTACGATAGCAGGTCACGCTGACACGTATCGTCCGGACTTAAGAATGAACGAGCAAGTCGCTCAAGAGTTGTTACTTGTTTCCCATCATATATCAAACACTAATTCTTTTTCCAGTATTATTTAACTCTCCCAAACCTCTCTCATCCATTCCCACTATACCACCAAACATCCAACCGCCATCAAACAACTTCCCAACCCCCCACCCCCCTAGGCATAACAACCGGCGGTCATATCACAGCACTCCAAACACAAGCACCCATCAGACGATAGGTACAGCTGTCTCGCCAAAATGCTCAAGCCGATCCTCATAATCGGCGTCCCCTCGATGGTTCTGCTAGTCGGTCATAGTGTGATAACGATAATGACGTCCCAAGGCCAAACCCTAGAGGTTTTGTGGATAGGATTGGGCGCCTTCATGGCCACTAGCGCTTTCATCACAACTATTCTCACCTACCCAAACTATTACTAAAGCTCGGGCGACGCGAGCCACCGGGGGAAATGCGAAAGTGGGTTTTCTCTTGGCTTAGGTAGTAATAGGTAATTAGTCTTGTCGATTTTGAGGTGCTTGGGACGAAAGCGTGGTATTCACTCGAGATAGGTACCTATACTAACCTAGGCAGTTGTCTCGTGTATGGAAATTTTTGATCCGGCCCAAGCCGTGGTGGTCGATAGGACGCGAATACATTTTTGAGTGTATATTTAACTTGGCTTTAACGTAAAATAATATGCAGTACGTTGTTATAGTGATGGCGACATTGATTTATGAATATTTGATTATATAGGCGAAAGGGGTTGGAGGTTATCCATCATGTTCTTCCTTATTAGTAGGTCTCTTTTGAAATCACAGTTGGTCAATATACTTAGCGATATGTCTTGCTATATTTCCGTAATTGCCATCCTAATGTTGCTTAAATTTCATTGATCGACGATAAAGTTGATCGTATCAACTAAAAACCGCCTTTCCTCATGATCGGCTAGTTCACATGAGATTGGAGATTGGGGATCACCGCTTTACTTACATAGGTGAACTGTCACATGACCCCAACCATGGGATTTATACACAGATACATAGTATCAACAAAGCTAGGATACAGGCAGGACTGATTGGATTTAAGTTCTCGGACGTCCTTTATTGGGAAGTAATGTAGGTGCACATGCGTTGAGGGTCCTGAAGTGGAAAAGGCTCATGTTGTGACCAAATCTCTACCGATGTCGTGGAATCTCAGGACAGCAAGAAAGCTATGGGCTGTACCCCGCATTCCGAACAAACGAACGGGATGCCGCGCCTCTCGGTCCAATCACCGGACCCCCCATGTGTACTACATATGATAACGAGCTGGTTTGACGGGTTTCCTGGTTGTCTAGACCTCGGGACGTTGTGGTGGTGGTATGGTATATATACCTAACATTTATTATTGCCCAAGGGATGGAATGTGGTAGGTACTAAGTAACGTTGCGGGGTAGATCTGTTATTCGCCTGATAGGTAGTATTAATATTATCTTATTATTCGGGGAATTCCCTACGGTGCCGTGAGATATGGAGGTGTAACAAAGGGAATCTTTTAATGGTCAATCTCCTCGGCCTCGTGGCGAGACAAAGCAGTACTAGATCTCCTCAAGTCACCATTCACTGGAGTGCTTCCCCTAGATAATCGTGATCAAAATGGGCAATTCTGAGGAGCGCAAACAGCAACCTTCTCAAGTAGGGGAGAGAGGCGGAGAGAAGATTCAGCCAGAACTGCAGCATATTGGTAGAGCTGGTGGCCATGATTCCGAAAAGGGCCTTGGGCCTGGGCACGGGTTAGGGAATGGGCAGTATGCCCAGATCGATCCAGTTATCGCCAGTCGCATCGCGGAGAATGTCGACGACTTCATGGTAAGACTCACACATTTTAAACTACGTATAGGTGTACCAAGGTAATTACAAAGTCGAGGAGAGATACTAAACGGAGGATAGACTCTCGTCAACGAGGCGAACGAAGCAAACGAGAGAGAACGAGATATGAAGCTCACGCACGCCTTCAAGGTGTATCCCAAAGCCGTCGGTTGGTCGATGCTGCTCTCGTCGTGTATAATCATGGAGGGCTTTGGGACTTCGATTGTCGGATCATGTAAGTTGAAAAAGAAAAAAAGAAAAAACACGTTTTGTACTGCTTAATTTTACCCCGAACTTAACACTTATACACCATACCATCTCTGTAACTAGATATTTCGTATCCCCCTTTCCGCGATAAGTTCGGCACTCTGGCACCCAACGGAGACTACCAGATCCCAGCGAGTTGGCAGAACGGGATTTCTGGCGCGACGAATGTCGGCGAGATCATCGGGCTTCAAGTATGCACTTCGTTTTTCATTTACCTTTTATTTTAATTTGCTGCTGAGTAACCACCCTTAAACTTCGTACTAAGAAATGTCCCTTTTCTTTTTTTACCTAGATCGCCGGTGTTTTATCCGAACGCTGGGGCTACCGCTGGACGTTAATCTCGGCGCTAGTCGCCGTCACGGCGTTCATATTCTTCCCGTTCTTCGCCAACAGCCTCACCGTGTTCCTCGTCGGCGAGCTGTTCCAGGGCATGGCCTGGGGCGTCTTCCAGACCATCACCGTGGCCTACGCGGCTGAGGTCTGCCCTGTGCCCCTGAGGCACTACCTCACTAGCTACGTAAACCTCTGCTGGTTAGTCTCCCATAAAATAAAACGCCTTACCTGCAGATTGGATATATTGCTAATGCTACTCTGTAGGATCATCGGCCAGTTTATCTCGTCGGGTGTACTCGCCGGGCTCGAAGGGCGACATGATGAGTGGGGGTAAGTTTGTACCTTTGTCCCGTGCTGGCGACGCTCGCACTAAGAATCCTCCTTAGATACAAAATCCCCTTCTCTCTACAATGGATATGGCCAATCCCCATCGCTATCGGCACGTACCTCGCACCCGAATCACCCTGGTGGTGCGTTCGACATAACTATAAAGAGAGGGCGGAGAAGGCCCTGAAACGATTGGCTCGCAGCTCTGGGTTTACCCAGCGCGATGCCGATGCGGCCATGGCTTGTGTGTCACCCTCCCCTAAGAGCGACTAGTCAAGAATCGCGGACTTACCTAGAAGAAGAAGAATGGCCTGATTTATTTTATAGTGATGGTATATACCGACGAGATGGAGAAGCGAGTCTCCGAGGGAACTAGGTATTGGGACTGCTTCAAAGGGACCGACCTTAGACGGACCGAGATCGTATGCTTTATATGGCTTGCGCAAACCATGTCCGGCACCGCCATCGGAGGACTATCGGCTTATTTCTACCAACAAGCGGGAATTTCAGACGCAGATTCGTTTAAGCTTGGTTGGGGCCAGAATGGTCTCAACGCCGTGGGGACTATCGCCAGTTGGTTCGTCCTAAACAAAGCCGGCAGAAAGACGCTAGTTTTCTGGGGAATGGTTATCATGTTTATCTTACTCCTGTAAATTCTGAGTCTTCTCTTCCGCCTTATATGCCTTAGATAATAACGACTATTCCTCTTGGGCAAGTTGCTAACTCTCTTATAATTAGGATCACCGGCTTCATGGGAATCCACGATCCGCCTAGCACGGCAGAAGCCTGGACAGCAGGGACGATGGTCATCCTGCTAAGTGCCACGGCCAACTTCTCCATCGGTCCCGTGGTCTACACCATCGTCTCCGAGATACCGTCGACGCGGCTGCGCTCCAAATCCATTATCCTAGCTCGCAACGCTTACAACGCCATCAACATCGCCTTCGTCAACATCGTCTCGTACCGACAGCTCAACCCGGTTGAATGGAACTGGGGTCCCAAAGCTGCCTTCTTCTGGGCCGGCACGAACGCCATATTTACGGCTTGGGTTTTCTTTAGATTACGTTAGTACCCGTCCCCCTCTCTCGCATAAGCTTGGTTATTTCTCTGTTTATAGAATCGTTACTGATTACGTGCTTGATCGCTTTCGTATAGCCGAAACTAAGGGGCGGACCTACGCTGAGCTCGACATCTTATTCGAAAATAAAGTACCTGCTCGTAAGTTTGCGAGCACCAAGGTCGAGACTTTGCTTCGAGGTACAGAGGGGGCACAAAAGGAACAAGCAGATCTTATTACCACGAGTCATGTTGCGGGTGGAGAACAGAAAGCTGGGAGCTAGGAGCTATATTCCATACCTGTTGCTAGGATATGTGGAGAGTATTCATAGTCAAACCACGCACAAAGATATGGTAGCAATAGCTGGTGTATTCGAATAACCAAGGATATGTCAAGTCATCGTAAACTACCTATATAACACTCATTACCCAATCTCCCGCCCAGGGGCATGTCACATTCGATTGGATCAATATACGCTCGATAATGGAAACTTGCAAAGCGCTCATTCATCCCAATGCTATACACTAAAGTACAGGTCAATTTAATTATTAGTTCTGTTCTAGGAAGCGAACCGGCCTAGAACCTATATTTCTTCTTCTCCTCTCTCTTTTCTTCGTCGCGCTTCAGCCTCTTACGACTTTCATTGGCAATCATCTCTTCGAGACCCTCTTCTCTTCTCCAATTAGCACCAATGCCTTCATCGCGCCGACCTTCTTCGAACTTCTTCCGCATCTCGTCCTTGCTAATACCATCTGCTAATGCATCTGGGTCGAAAGATACATCTACATCACCAGGCTTCTTTCGCTTTCGGCTGCTATCGTCGTCCTGGCCGAGGACACGCATGTCCCCACCAGCGTTCTTAAGATCGTATACGCGGTCACTGCCGAAGAAGCCTTCCGCCCGTGCCTGCTTCTCTTGAATGACTGTGTAAGCTGCGCGAGGATGCGTGCTCTCCTCGGTCTCATAGCCACGGCGGGATTTCCGAAGATCCAACTCTCCAGCTACAGATTCGGTTGCTGTACCATATTCTGTCGGTACACTGCTAGCCAAGCCGCCAGGTGTCTCCATACCAGTCGGAGTCTGTAATCCTACACCGACGTCTTCTTCGTCTTCCTCCTCCTCCTCATCTGACTCCTCCTCTTCTTCGGACTCTTCTTCAGCTTCTTGAAGCTCACCCCATAGTGTACGCTCAATGGGTTCCCCAGGAGGGGGTGCTGCTTGGGATGGTTGCATGATACCGAAGATATCTCCTCCGTACAATGGCCTGTTGTATTCATCGACAGGAGGCTTGCCATAGCATCCTGGGTTGAAACCCCATTGTGCACCTGGTGGGATAGGAGCATTCAGTCCGGGAATTCGAAGGGAGGGATAAGATGGAGGTGGGCCAAATCTTTGTTGATGGATAAGCCATGGCGGGGGAGCCCCCGGAGGAATACTGAGTGCCTCCTTTAAGGTATCGCTCAACTCTCCGGGTCGGAGATGCCGCAAATCTGTTTCATATTCTTTACCCTCATAGTATACTTCACCGAAGCGTGTTAAATGGGGTTTGTTTTGAAATCTGAAGAAAGCATCGTACAGCTTCTGGTAGTCGATATCCAATTTTCCCATTTTCGGTTGTACTCTTTCGCGTTGCTTCTGCTTTAGGGTTTGCTCGGCTTGCTTCTCTAGTACGGCATCCCTCATCTCCGCAATGCCCGTATCCGCAATAAATTTGGGCAGCTTAAAGGCAGGCTTCTCGATACCCCTCTTGGACGAAAGATATTCGCGCTTTAGTGACCAGTGAGAAGGTACCGGAACGACGTTTCGTTGCGCCTTGATCTGTACCAGCGTTCGAGGGTCTGATGATGACGTATCGTGCCATTCCACAACTTCAGGCTTTCTTACTAATGCCTTAAGCTCTGCAATGGAAAGTTTGTTGAGCATCTTTCGTTTCTTTTTAGAGAGTTTAGGTTGTGTATTTCTTTCGTCTTCTTCATCGGGTAGATCGTTCTCGTCGTCGAAGTAGACTTCTCCCTGGTTACCAGCGTTGGCTTCTTTTGCAATGTCGTCCTCTTCTCTCGATGCACCGAACTTGGTAAATATATCCTTGTACATAGAAAAAGTAGGATCTTCGTGATCGAAATCTAATTCATCGACGGTTTCAGCAGGTCCATCGGGGGCAACCTTATCTGACGAAGTAGGCTCCTTCTTAACCTCGAGTCCTGCCGTGTCGCTTTGATTAGGCGCATCCTTTTCCGGCTCGGATTTGGCCTCGTCTGCTTGAACCTCTGGAGTATTGTCGTCTTTGGATATTTCCTGCTTCTATATTAGTATTCAAAGCATCCAAAGAACGGGTTTGGGTTGGTTTGGTTTGTGAAGATATACCTCTGTCTTCGTTTGCTTTTCTGCCTTCTTCTTCGCGCGGCGCTTCTGATTCTTCGTCATCTTAGGAGGCGCCATCGTGATAATCTGCTTAGGCTCCCGCCTCTTTTTTTTCGTTGAAAATCTATGCGATAGCTCAGGCACGAGGACCTTAATTGGCCTCTCGACGAAGGAATCAGAAGTATCCGCAGCTTCAGATTATCAACGGTAGAGGGTGATAAATGGTAAAATTTGGGATGAAATCGTTCGTTGATAAGGCTAACTTAATAATTTCAACACGCGACTTTGAAAACTGAACATTGAAAGTCTAGCTCAGAGCTTCTCCCCAGCCACGGCCTATTGAAGTTAACGCAAAGCCACATTTCTTCATTCAATGGTGAAAAAAGTCAGCTCTTATCTATGTGGCGTAAAATTTAACCGTGCAGTTATGTACCTATCGATGCATAATCGATGCGTTAGATCTGTCCAAATTTAGCTACAGTACGAAGTACTCAGGTACTTGGCACACTGGCACGTCCCTTTAGGTAGCTTCTAGCGGTTTGCTTAATTTAAACCGATGCTTTGGTACTTTGGGGGACTCTTGGCATTTTCGTTACTACAAAATTCCACTCCCATTTTTTTTTCAATCGCGTCAGCTAGCCAGTCATTTCAACAGGGGTCGCCACGCGGCAGAAGTCAGACCCTCCTTTATATCTACGGAGATAAGTCACTCGATATCTTATTCATGGATTGGACCCGATACCGTAGACCGTTCAACCAACCCGATATCCATAATAACCGGTCAGCGCATCTCGCAATATAATTCATAATTGCATCAAACTTTGTACTAGGTCTGAAGCAATGATCCTATGAATTGAACTCTTCAATTCGAGTATTTGCGCGTTGCTTTCTCGTCGCTCGTTATAACATCACCAACCCGCACCGCAAACTCCCTTACCTCGATGCCTCATTCCACTAGCTCGGGCTCTTATGCCCGAGAGTCCTCCGTACCCCGATCCAATGCCAAGTACACGGACGACCCAGATAGCGATTCCGGTCTGGAGAAATTCCCAGATCATATTGATTCTCCGGCGATGCGCGCCAATGGTGCAAGGTCCATGAGCCCTGCCGGACTGAATGCATATGGCATTGGGTTGAGTGGAGGAGCTCATCTAAATGGAGATCGTTGGCAACCTCGACGAGATCTCTCTGCGTCGAGAGGTGTGCGATTCGGCTCACCGTTGGGCCATCTAGCAGGTGTCCCTCGAAGCCACGGACGGCAGAAGAGTATTAGTGAAGCCTTCCGTACTATCAGGGATAGAAGCGGCAGCGTTAGTCAAAATGCCCATGAATTAGCAGATGCGCTACGGGCACCTATATCCCCCAAGCTCATTGTATGTCAAATAAAACAAACATCATGGCCGTTCAGTCCGACATCTACTGACGTGACATACGTGATTATCTAGGGTCTATGTATGATGTGGTATATGTCATCCGCCTTGACAAATACATCTTCAAAATCCATCCTCAACGCTTTCAACAAACCTGCCACCTTGACTATGATCCAATTCTTCTTGGTCGCATTTTACTGTCTGACCTTGTCGTGGCTGGCCAGCGTATTCCCTAACATACGAAGTTCGGTCCCGGCATTGAAGAACCCCATACGATACCCATCGAGGGATGTCATTATGACGACGCTCCCTCTAGCTCTATTCCAGATCGGTGGCCATCTACTGAGTTCTACGGCAACCTCTAAGATCCCGGTATCTATGGTACATACAGTGAAGGGACTCTCGCCGCTATTCACCGTTTTCGCCTACCGATTTATCTTCGATATTCGATATCCGAGGTCTACATACCTTTCCTTGATACCACTTACCCTAGGTGTAATGCTTGCCTGCTCATCGAACCACACCTTCAAGGGAGAGATTCTGGGACTCGTATACGCTCTGTTAGCGACTATCATCTTCGTCACGCAGAATATATTTTCCAAGAGGCTTTTCAACGAGGCCGCTAAAGCAGAGGAGGACGGCCAATCAGCTAAATCGCGAAAGCTAGACAAGCTGAACCTTCTTTGTTATTCATCTGGTCTCGCTTTTCTCCTGACATCCCCAATCTGGTTCTGGAGCGAAGGTATTGGACTTATCAGGGATGTGTACCATGATGGTTCGGTTGACCTCTCTTCGCACCCTGATAGCTTTGATCACGGACGCCTAGCCCTCGAGTTTCTGTTCAACGGCACTTTTCATTTTGGGCAAAATATTTTAGCTTTTGTCTTGCTGTCGTTAGTATCGCCCGTCACATACTCAGTTGCATCTCTTATTAAGAGAGTGTGGGTTATTACGGTTGCGATTCTATGGTTCCGCAATCCTACGACCCCTATTCAGGCTGTAGGCATTGGGCTGACATTCCTTGGTCTTTATCTGTATGATCGGACAAACCAGAGCAACAAGGCTGATCGACGTGCACGTCTTCTCAGTCAGAGTGCGGGAGGGGGCCAACCACTCCTACCTCTCAACACAACCCAGAGCAAAACAGGTATATCCGGCCAAGCACCCCAGATTTTCGGGAGTCCAATGTCTATGTCTAACGGGTCGACGCCTCACCCTTATACCAATGGACATTCCTCTCAAGTAACTTCCACAGCCGAAGATTTTAAGAAAAGCGATGATGTCGGTAGCAATGGCCGGCAAAGAGGTAGTAGCAATGCGGCTTGGTTGCCGCCCGGTACCAAACAAGAAGAGACTTGGAGATACGGGGATAGGGTTAGTGTTCGATGATTTACAGGTTTTCCGGATAGAGAGCCAAAGGGTTATGAGACGTCGGAAGTTACGTATGAAAACTATTTTCTTTTTTTTCTTTTCTAGTACACGGGATGGCCTAGTGGTTAAGTTATCCCAAAAAGCCGGTGATATGTCAATCATCTTGCAAATAGAGGGTCGTGGTTTTCAAATCATGAACTGGAGTCTTATAGGCAGGAGGCAAGGACCAATGTTAGAATACGGCCAATTTGGTCGTCTGTACGAAGGGCCGGGCCAAAAGTCTTGCACATGCCAAGCTTTTAATCCCAGGAATTTAACGTGCACGATTATATTAGCACTGTGTCGACTTAGTACTAATTTTAGGAGCGGATAGTGGCGTGGACGCTGTATTTTAGGGGGCTTACCACTATAGCTACAGGGGAGCTAGCTGCTATTGGTAGATCTGACACCGTATAGCCTTCTTTTTTGACACATGCTAAAGTGGGTAGCTTACCTAAGCTACGATGTGCAAGACTTTTGGCCCGGCCCTTCGTACAAGTATCGTATAGAACAAAAATCGATGCGATGCGATGTTGCATAAGGCGTAGGGTTTAGAGTTGTGCTATAAAGAGCCTCGGATACCTCCTCCATTTTATAGGTACCGGATCGGACAAATGGGATGCAAATAAAAAAAATTTGATCTTTTGATACGTCTAGGTACGGGGCTGAATTATGTCTAGGTACCTAGGTTGGGTACGTATCTTGCAGGCTCACAGCTTCGCAAGTTGTACCTAGGTAGTACCTTTATGCTGAATTATTTTCTCTAATGACTCGAATTGTAATTATAATTTTGGGGAAATTATTATACAACTAAGCAACATTGTTACTTCCAAAACTTATTTGTTTGTTTTTTCCGGCATCTAACGGAACTTTTCTGTTACCAAGGAAGGTCAGGTCTTACCTTAGCAGCTTAGATACCTTGGTCCTTAGGTAGGAGGTAGGTACCTAGGTAGTGGGGTTCGGATCGGGTAGTACCGTAAACTCATGTGACCTCATCACGTGAATTAGCTTTCTTCTTTCAGGTGGAGCTTCTCAAACCTGGATCCCAAGTTCATCCGGACCAAACGGCCGCCAGCGCCATTTTCACTTCGACCTTGCTTCAAATTATTTCCTCCCCCAGACTCATCACCTCCTCCACTCCCATACATTCTTTAATCGCTCTAGGTCATCTATCAAGATGTTCAAGAGGTAAGTTATTACGCCCGGACCTACTTTTTAAACTGCCCCTCCTTCAATTGAGGTCAATTGAGCTGACGGAGAGGTTTTTTTTTTACCCCGACTTTAGCGGCCTCTCCTCCTTCGCGAGAGCTGCCAGGCCTGCCTTTGCCGCCCCTACAAGGCGCGCAGTTAGGCCTGCCGCATCTGCTTTTAGATTCCCTCTGACGAGCCGATTTGCGAGTACGACGAGTGCCGGTGATGGCAAGATTCACCAGGTGAGTTGGGGTCGCAAAATCCATGTTGCTAGAGCTCAAGAATTTTGCCGAATTGTGGGATGGGAGCTAATGGATATATATAAATAGGTCATTGGTGCCGTCGTCGATGGTTAGTAAAACCTCAATAACAAATTTTATCTTTCTGTGTTGTTGTCGAGGGTAGCTCTATTAACGCACAATTTGTCCCGCAGTCAAATTCGAAAACTCCAAGCTACCCCCCATTCTAAACGCCTTAGAAACCAACAACAACGGACAAAAGCTTGTCCTTGAGGTTTCGGTAAGCTTCGTTACCATATACTTCTATTTGTTTAACCCCTTTCTAACATTCTATAGCAACATCTGGGTGAAAATGTCGTCCGTTGCATTGCCATGGACGGTAGGTCATGACGAAAAAAAAAAAAAAAAAAAATCCCCGTGCGACAATAAACTGACGTCCTCATAGGTACCGAGGGTCTCGTTCGAGGCGCCAAGGCCACCGATACTGGCGCTCCTATCACAATTCCTGTCGGCCCTGCCACTCTTGGTCGTATCATAAACGTCACTGGTGACCCGATCGATGAGCGTGGACCCATCAAGACCGACAAGTTCCTACCTATCCACGCCGACCCCCCGCCGTTCACTGAGCAGTCCACCGCTGCCGAAATTCTGGTTACTGGTATCAAGGTCGTCGACCTGCTCGCTCCCTACGCTCGTGGTGGAAAGATTGGTCTGTTCGGTGGTGCTGGTGTCGGCAAGACTGTGTTCATTCAGGAGCTCATCAACAACATCGCCAAGGCTCACGGTGGTTACTCCGTCTTCACTGGTGTCGGCGAGCGAACCCGTGAGGGTAACGATCTGTACCACGAAATGCAGGAGACCTCCGTCATTCAACTCGATGGCGAGTCCAAGGTCGCCCTGGTGTTCGGTCAGATGAACGAGCCCCCCGGAGCTCGTGCCCGTGTCGCTCTTACTGGTCTTACGATCGCTGAGTACTTCCGTGACCAGGAAGGCCAGGATGGTATGCATGATATTCGCTACTATTTTGATATTTGCTAACACCAATTAGTGCTTCTCTTCATTGACAACATCTTCCGTTTCACTCAAGCCGGTTCCGAGGTGTCTGCTCTGCTGGGTCGTATCCCCTCTGCCGTCGGTTACCAACCTACTCTTGCCATTGATATGGGTGGTATGCAAGAACGAATTACCACCACCACCAAGGGTTCCATTACTTCCGTCCAGGCCGTCTACGTCCCTGCTGACGATTTGACTGATCCTGCTCCCGCCACCACCTTCGCCCACTTGGACGCCACCACTGTGTTATCCCGTGGTATCTCTGAGTTGGGTATCTACCCCGCTGTCGACCCTCTCGACTCCAAGTCTCGTATGCTCGACCCCCGTGTCGTCGGTCAGGACCACTACGAGACCGCCACCCGTGTCCAGCAAATTCTCCAAGAGTACAAGTCACTGCAGGATATCATTGCCATTTTGGGTATGGACGAACTGTCGGAAGCTGACAAGCTTACCGTCGAGCGTGCCCGAAAGATCCAGCGTTTCCTGAGCCAGCCTTTCACCGTCGCCCAGGTTTTCACTGGTATTGAGGGTAAGCTGGTCGACCTCAAGGACACCATTGCCTCTTTCAAGGCTATCTTAGCTGGTGAGGGTGATGACCTCCCCGAAGGTGCCTTCTACATGGTTGGTGACTTCGCGTCGGCCAAGGAGAAGGGAGAAAAGATTCTGGCTGAGCTTGAGAAGTCGTAAGGAACTAATATGGACTGCTGTTAAATAGACGCTGTCGATACCCCCGACAGTGACCTGTGTATATCTAGAAAAGGAGAGCAGTGCGGTCTGATGATTTCCCTAGCTCAATCGAGTCTTTTTGTGAGCTGTATACCTAAAATTCCACGCTAATTCTGATATGTCCTGATGGCCCAGTACAACACGTATCTAGTTGTCCCTTAACATGTCCACTCCAGAAGTACCTAACTTTGTAAAAGCTCGACCTTGACAGGTATCTCAAATAGCTTAAGTAGTAAAACCTAACGGATGAAAACGTATATTTCTTGTCATTTATATGAGGCACCTAATCATAGGGGATGCCTATTTCAATACGAATGGCGGTGCCGTAGCTATCAATATCCAAAAACGAACCCTCAACTCGAAATGTATCATCACAATTCTATACATTAACTCGACTCACACATGCAGTACAGCTATAAGTCTCGAACCAGAAGTAGACGTCGTTTCTCTTCATGACATGGTATATTCCCGTCTCCCTCTCCCCGCCTTTCGCCTTCGCAGCCTCTAATTCTTCCTATATCCTACACGTGTGTCCTATATCCAGCCCCCGTAAATTATCTCCCTCGGCTACTCTCATTCGTATCTTCCTAAACCCATCTCACAACGCCTTGCTACTCCCGCCCCCAGAACCCGCCGTAACAGTAACGACTTCCGGCTCCGGCTCCAGCTCCGCCCCCGTACCTTCCGACGCCCACGCCGCCAAGACGACTCCCTGCTGGTGGTCAGCAGCAGCGGCAGCAGCAGTAACCCATTCCGGGGCCGCGGCGTCGGGCGCGAGGCCGTAGAGCACGACTACGAGGACGCCGAGAATGCCGCTTAGACAGCTGAACGCGAGGGCTACCTTGCCGCGGGTGGTGAATCTGCGGGGACGGACGGGTTAGAAAGAGGGAGTCGAGCAGGAACAGGAGCAGGTGGGGGGTGTCTTACCCTTCTGGCAGCGGGTTGGGGGGCCGAGGCTCCCCGTCCAAGTCGAGGAAGTCCGCCGTGTTAGCTGCCGCGTTGCCGGAGGTGGGGATGCTAGCGGCGGCGCAGGCGTCGAGGTGGTCTTTGGGAAGGGCGATGGTCTTTTGTAGATCGAGGGGTGCTTCGACGAAGGTTGCGACTTGTGGGGGTAGAGCGTTAGCTTCTTGTTTGTTCTGTGAAGACGGAGGGGGTGATGAACGAAGGTAAGGTAAGGGTCTGGGTTTGGGTTTGGGTTTGTGGGAATATGTCAGGTACTTACTGAGGCCGGATGCGACGTGCCACTCGATGTGGCAGTGGAAAAGCCAGACACCTGGGTATCCATAAGCATGCTATCTATATAGGTAAGGATCGTTGGGTTAAATAATACTTACCTGGATTATCAGCCCGGAATCTCAGCACGATGTAGCCGGTGGGGTATAGCACCAAGGTATCGCGGCGCATGGGAGTGGCGGGGAAGTCGGCTTCCGTGACGCCGGAATCCTCAAAGGTCCCGGCGTCTTCTTCGGATCGGTAGACAGCTTGGAAGTGGTGTCCGTGGAGATGGAAAGGGTGACGCCCGGTATCAAGGTTGTTGACTACGATCTGCACTATCTCGCCCTTCTCGAGGACGAACGGGTGCGTATAAGTGCCGTAGACGGCGGGGTTCGTGGCTAGTTCTCCGGCAGATAGAGCTGTGTAGAGAGTAGGTACTTTGGGAGACTTGTATGTGATATTGTTGAAGAAGGCGCTATTGGGAAGGTAAGTCGACGTTGGTCTTCAGGAAAAGTTCAGCGCGTAGAGAAGACTTACTAGTTCGCACCATCCCCTAGGTTATCCATGATTACATCAAGTTGGACCTCCTTGTCGGGTTTGACGAGCAGAGTTTGGTTGTCGTACGGGACCAGGGTCATGTCGTCGAAATTGTTTAACTGGTCGACCAGTGCGGGCTCGGGTAAAGGTTTTGCGTCGTCATAGACGAGCCACCCTGTGACATTGTAATTCAAGTCATCTGGCAGAGTATCGAATAATGTCTGGAGTAAAAGGGGAACGAATTAGCGATCAGCTAGCATTGTACGCGCGAGTTTAAGATAAATTAGCTTACAGTATCCATGCTTGCCACAAATGCATAGTTGGCTGTTGTGTCGTTCTTTGTGGTTACCAGAAAGCTACAGCGTTGAGCAGCGGACAGGTAGATCATATCGGCTTCAGCCGGTTGATGGTAAACACCATCAACCTCTATGATAGTCATGTTGTGACCCTCAAACCAGAGGTACTGACCTGCAAAGGCCCCAACGTTTATGACACGGAAGAGATAAGTTGTCCCAGGTTGGACCGCGACCTTTAAGTTTTGCGTGTCATTGAATAGGGCGGCCTGTGGAACGGGCTCAGCTCCTGTAGGATTGCCCTTGTTGATGAATCCCGGGAGTAGGTCTGCCATTTGGTCATGATACCAGTCCGAGACGGTCAAAACCCTCTCGTTTTCTTGCTTGTAATACGTATCAAGGAAAGGAGATTTCGGGTCATGTACAATGAGAGGGCCTCTGAGCCCATCAGGATATTGCCCATTTGTATGAGAATGGTACCAATATGTGCCAGGTTGATTAATCTGTCCATTACGTTAGTTTTATGAGCAATATACATGTTTTCTTGCGGATCCTTACGGTGAAGTTGTAGGTGAAACTTGAGCCGGGCGCAATAGGGCATTGTGAGACCTGAGATGGACCGTCCATATGAGTTGTGCCATTCATGAATAAGCCATGGAAATGGAGCGAAGTCGACTGGTTTCCGAGCTGATTTGAGACATTGATTACAACATTATCGCCAACATTAGCGACAATAGGAGGAATAGGCCATTGGCCGTTAATTCCAATGGTCGGTTTGTCAAACGCCCCATCGGGATTTGATGTGACCCAGCCTATCTTGAAGTCATAGGTAACGGTAGCAGCACTCGAGAGGCTTAGAAGGATAGAAGCCGAGGATAAGATTGAAACGAGGCCTTTAAATAGTGACGACATGATGAAGACGTCCCGCCTCGCGGGTAATATGAGTGAAGGCAATAGTAAAATAGAAACGAATTCAGAAGTGCTTGAAGTCGAATGCTTAGGTGTAGGTAATTAGGTAAAGTGGGAGGCCCGTAGTCGGTCGGCTCGCCTAGGCTAGGGATGCCCTCAAGCTCAACGCTACATGAACTGAAGAGAAAGGAAATTTTGAAACTATTTCCCTTCCTAGGCCTGGGCCAAGTGGAAGATAGGTAAAACGGGCCGTGTATACAGTACTGATATCCGACTTTACATGGATCAGGATCAAGTGTTACCGAGAGCCAACGTTTAGTCAGGGGGTAAAGAGGAATTAATAGATTATCTTATCAATCGGTGAATGCAACCGCAAGAACGCACGGAGGCGTCTACCCTTGTTGAGAACTTCGGCCTTTTCTGCTGGCCTGATGTAGTATCATGAGGATTAAAGCAGCAGGGAGAAGAGATCGGACCGCTCCACAACCAATCTACGCCCTAAAAGAAAACGGCCTGATTCGGGCCAACCTTCTGAACGACGCCATCGTATAACGCCGCGGCTAGTGAACATACTACTACGTAAGAGACATTGATGCTTCTGTGATCCGGGTCAGTGCTAACTCCTGAGAACGACAATTAAAGTCTCGGGTAGACAGGTGTTGTTATACTCGTGTTTCTATGGAAAAATCTTTTGCAAAAGGGAGGGGAAATTGGCGGGTTACTCGAACCAATGAATACTAAGATTCAGGGCATTGTTTGTGTGAAAACAATGAAAACAAAACATACATGTAGGTCCAGATTATTATTTTGGAAAAGTAGAGAAGCCGGCTTTCTCTATTGGGCGGTTTGTGATTCCGACTAGTTACCTTAACATAGCGATCTCGGTAGGTGACAACAAAGACCAGGGGTACCCACACAACCTGCTACATAGTACATAGTATATAGGTAGTATGTATTGTACAAGGACAAGCTGCAATACGATGATCTGATAAGATTTCTTAGGCGATTAGGGTTGGTGATAATGTGATAATGTGATAATGATGTGGGGTGCTCCGTGCTCCCTTTTCCCGTATCCCTCCCTTAGGTAGCATCGAACAATAATAGCCAATTAGCAGTGAAAATGGGAAATCTGATAACTCGAGTGGGAAGGAATAGACCATATATATTATGCGAGGTGTATAAGATACATTCTCGGTCAAATTAATATTAATGTATACCTTAGTTCTAACTCTAAGGTTGAGGTTCTAACAAGCGAAGCAACCCTTTCCCAGACAAGATCCCATTCCGAAGCCTTTGTCGAACTACCCGGGGCCACTTGTCCCCGCAAAAGATGAAAAAAAATTATCGGTGTCAGAAGCAGCTAGGGACATAGCCGGAACTTGGAAGCATTGGCAAAGCTTGAATCGCCAAGCAAGGATCTATGTCTTTCGTACCACTGCAAGACAACGGGGTCCCCCCCGTGCCTAGACCCTGCCCGTAATGTCTGTAATACATAGTACTCATTAGTGAAGTTGGTTGAACCCTACAATTCTTAATATACTGGCAGAATGGATGGATGGCTGGCTACAAGACTGATTAGGTAGGTAGGTTACCTACTTGATAGTTTGCAAGGGGCGCCACAATCCAGCATTCGATTTTTTTCATTAATCGAACCATCTCGCTGGCTAATCAAGAGTTGATCCTCTACACCCTGCTTTGCTCTGACTACTGGCTGAAATCTCCCGCAGCTGACACCCGTTGCACTGTGCAGAGCTGAACGAACTATCTTTCCTACCAGATGTTCAGAACTACTCTCATCTAAGCCGTAATCGGCGTTTCATCGCCCAAGCAAGCAGCCGGCTTTGCACACTGGTCAAGCATCGATCTGATGCCGTAGCCCGAATCCAATCTCTTCTCGGTCCTATGTCCCCACTCCAGATTATCTGATCCCACTTATCAGATCAACAGATAATTTGCCGTTTTCCCTCAAACACTTATTCACAACGGTTCAATCCATCCATATCTTAATACCTTGTTCTTGAGGAAGCCTGAAGTGCCCCCCTTCGTCTGCTTCTCCTTCGCGATGGCGTCGGATACTGTCTTCGCCGTTCCCGTATTTCTCGTCGTGTTTCGAGAAACACTCGAAACGGTTATCATCGTCTCTGTTTTGTTGGCTTTTCTTAAGCAGACCCTCGATGGCCCTAGTCGAGATGTAAAGGTGTACAAGACACTCGTCAAGCAGGTAAGACATCTACTCCTCCACCCAATATCCTAGTATTTGGTACAGAGAGAGTAACCATAAGCTCTAGGTATGGGTTGGAGTTGGGCTCGGCTTCTTCCTCTGCCTCGTCGTTGCCGGAGGATTGATCGGCGCCTTCTATACCCTGGGCAAAGATAGCTGGGCGTTAAACGAATACAACTACGAAGGAGCATTTGCCCTCGTCGCGTCCATCATCATTAGCATCGTTGGCGTGGCCCTTCTCCGCGTTGGAAAAATGCAGGAGAAGTGGCGGGTCAAGCTCGCCAAAGCTCTCGAAACCCCTGTGGTCACGGGCAGTCGACGAAATGGTTGGCTGAAGCGCGTCGCTGAGAAGTACGCGATGTTCTTTCTCCCCTTTATCACCGTCTTGAGAGAAGGCATCGAAGCCATTGTCTTCGTAGCCGGCGTGTCTTTCTCTGCGCCAGCAACTGCGGTTCCGCTGCCCGTAGTCGTCGGGCTAATCGCCGGCTTTATCGTGGGATACATCCTATATAAGTGAGTTCTGATATGTGACAACAGGCATGATGCATAATTTTGCTAACCTGTACTAGGGGAGGAGCGGGAGCAAAATTGCAGTACTTCCTAATAGCTTCTACATGTCTGCTGTATCTAGTGGGCGCCGGTCTCTTCTCACGTTCTGTGTGGTACTTTGAAAACCAGCAGTGGAACAACGTCATTGGTGGCGATGCGGCCGAACTGGGAGATGGACCGGGTTCCTATGATGTCGACAAGAGTGTCTGGCACGTGAACGTAAGTAACTCTATCCATGTTCCTCATCTCCGATTGCTAATTCTCTGGTATAGTGCTGTAGCCCTGAGCTAAACGGTGGCGAAGGGGGTTGGGGAATATTCAATGCCATACTTGGATGGACGAACTCGGCAACATACGGCTCAGTCATTTCTTATAACCTCTATTGGATCGCCGTCATGATCTCGTTCGGCGTTATGAGATACCGTGAAGTTAAAGGACATTTGCCGTTTATGAAACCCAAGGAGAGTTCAGTGGGTTCGGTAGTCCAAGCTGATAAACCAGAAGAAGAGAAGACCGCACCTCAGGTTTCAGTTGCTTAGGACGAATAAGCCTATGGGAAAGCTTGCGATATTTTCGCTTCGTATCATTAATAAGTTTTAAGTTGATATAGGTTGGATTCTATTTTTTTATAGGACACTTTATAGAAGCCATCGTAACTATAAGGACTGTTCCGCTTTAGTACCTTAGGTATCTCCTAGGTCGGTATATATGAAGATATGTTTACATAACACTCTTGTTGAAACTTGAAAGAAATAGTATTTTTTCAGGTTAGCTAGGTACCTAGGTAATTATATGAAAAATATAATATGAGAGTTTTATGTCAAGACAAGATGATAGATGATATTACCAGTGATAAAATAATCTTTATTTAGTGTCTCCACACTTTGCCAAGCTGTCAGATTTTGGTGGCGAGAACGTCACTCCCGTCGTCCCGCTCCCTCCCCCCATATCTTATGCCAAGACGGTCCATTTCAACTACATACATAGTACTACCTATTATTTACGTACCTCCTATCTGATCTAAGGACTACCTATACCAAAATTTACTGAACGTTTTTATTAAATTCCTATGAAATACGGATTTCAGTCACTTGGGTATTTTCTGAAGGCTTGAAGTTTTCGACGAGCTAAGGAACCGGAACTGATGACCACCTCGGATCTTTGCTTCTTTAGGGTACGGCCTCACACGGGAGACAAGCCAGATGGACGACTCGGGCGGTGCTTCAGATGCCAATGCGTCAGAGCCCAATCTTACCGAGAAGCTTCCTGAAGTCGTCAACATTACCCAAGGTGGAGATTTGATTCTAGATGTAACTTTTGAGAATTCCAAGGATACTATTCGGACCGCACGGGTTGCCCAATCGAAACTGTTTAGTCGGGATTCACAACCCGCACCGAAGAGGAAGGCCCGCTTAGGTTTCCGTGTAAGCCTCAAAGAGCTTAAGACTCAGTCCAAGTACTTTGAAAGACTTCTCACCGACAGTCGCTTCAAGGAGGCGAAGGATATATCGAGCGCCTTTGCCGCGCTCTCGGTGAGGAGCGTCAAGCCCGAAACTGCTGAGGCAAAGGAGCTTCCCTGGATCAAAATACAAGATGACGACCAGGCAACTCACTACGCACACCGCGAGGGCGCATTTGGCGATCTCCTGCGGATTCTTCACGGCAAGGAAGTAGTCACTAAGTTCACGATGTCGTTTGTAACCACATTGGCCGTCTTGGCCGATCGCTTCGACTGCGCATCCGCAGTCTCGAAATACCTCGTCGCGGGCACGAGGTTCAAGTGGCCTGTGACGAATCGCAAGCCGGCGAGAGATGAGTCGGTGGTCATGAGCCGCAGTAATGAGGATATCTTACGCCAGAAGATACTCGTGTCTTGGCTGCTGAATCAGCCTGCTAGGTTCCAGGCCGCCACCAAGGAGATCATCATGAATGGCTCTTGCCGGTGGAGTTCCTTTGCTCAAGACGATGAGTCGTCGGATGCTACTTGGTGGTACTTACAGGATGGTCTCGAGCGTAAGTATTCGACGATAACCTGATATATTCGCGCGTGTATTAACCCCCGAATTAGAAGAATTGCAATACCGCCGCCAATGCATACTAAACACAATAGCTTCCGTCCAGCGGCACTTCCTCGCATTATACACGTCGCGCACGCGGCAGTGCAAGCTCGGCTACGACTCCAGCGCAGCCTGCGACTCGTACCAGCTAGGGGAGATGTTCAAGTTCCTCATGCACAAGAACCTGCTATTCCCAGTCGACTTCTCCCCGGGATCCCTGGACTCGATAGCCGACACCTCGCTGCTGCAAATCGAGTCCGTCCTCGCCACGCTCCGGCAGTGCCCCAGCTACCAGATCGACAAGAACCACACCAACTGCGGGCTGCGCACGCGCGTCCTGCCCATCCTGGACTTCATACTCGGCCTGCTGTCGGCGAACTCCGTGCCCATCACCAGGAGCACGTGGAGGAGCAATCGCCAGGCGGTCGCGTGGATGCCGCCCGAGGGGGATGCGGAGGGCAAGGGTAAGCAAGAAGCGCGCCCGTTTCGGTTTACGAGGTCGTTGGCGGGAGACCAGCGGTTGCGGTTTGAGAATGCGTTGGGCGCGGATAAATTTGCCAGAGACGTGTTTACGGCGGCGAGCTGGGATTGGACGGCGGAGGATCAGGGGTATGACGATTTGCCGTCCACTACTCCGAGGTGGAGCTTGAAGTAGGTGTTAGAGATGCTAGATACAGCAGGGAGGTAACTAGTATAGATTCTGGGTCTGGAAATAAGGGGGTCGGAAAGAAGTGTAGGTATATTTTGGAATTTATGCTTAGGTGCACAAAATATGGAAAAGAACCTGGATACCGTGGTAATTACCTTAGATCCCAGATCAAACCTCAGTACGCTCTTACACAACTTCCATTTCTATATAGGTAAGTGTGGTAAGTGTGGTATAGCATGTTATAAACGAAACTTCGAGAATCAGGATTTCCGTAAAGACCTCTGTATCAGTGCAGATGAGATATATAAATGCTCGAGATATCAATCGATGTATAATCTAAAATGAACATTGAACCAGAAAACATGTTATAATCTCTATATACACGGCAATTCTTGGCCGTCTTGACTTGAACTCATAACTGAGCATTCGAAATATGTACCCATCCCATCCCAACCGAATACCTTAGACGAAAGTCGTCACCCACGCCGCAACGCCAATACAGAATATGACTAAATGACTTCCAAAGGTAGTTCCAAAGGATAGACGCGGAAAAGCAAAATCCAAGAGTCTAGCTCCTGAGAGCCTCTAATCTGTTCCTCATCTGGTCCATCATCGCCTCCTGGTCTTCCTCTTCTTCCTCCAGCTGCACAGGCTGTTCCTCGGGATGAGACGGCAGCGGCGCGCTGGGCGTCGCGCCGGCCTTCTCCATGCGGCCCTTTAATATCTCTCCCAGCACCTTGTCGACCTCGCCCTCGGCCTCTTCCTCCTCGTCCTCCAGCACGTCGTCAACGGGGAGGTTCTCGCCGACCATCTCCTCGATGACGCCGGCCTTCATGAGTTCGACGGAGAGCTCGCGCATGGTGCCGGCCAGCTGCGGCAGGCGGATCAGGCTGTTGACGTCCTTCATGACGCCGACGCTGGCCCGGATGCTGCCCTCGATCTTGCGCACCGCGAACGCCTCGTTCACCTGCATCTGCACGCTGTTCAGCTGCGCCTTCGACGTGACCAGCCTCGCCGACGTGCGCCGCGCACGGATCAGCTCCTTTGCGAAGTCGCGTGCTTCTCGCTGCGCCTGCTTCGCCTGCGAAGGGTTGCGTTGCGCTCGTCGGTCCGCTTGGATGATAAAGTTCTTGGTCTTGAGTTCGACTTGCTTGACCTGGTTGATGTCTCGGTCGAGCTTGCGGATGTTGGATCGTATTAAAGCGTTACATTTCCGCATCTGTTATAACCGAGTAGTGTGAGTGGGATGGATGATATCCTCCTAGGCAAATGGCAAATGGCAAATGTCCCACGTGGATAAGGAATTGCCTACCTGGGCATTAGGGTCTGGTTTGACGAAGAGTGCTTTGAGACTCTCCATCTTGGAGGGTATCTCTTAGGGGGTATCTCTTGGAGGGTATCTGTTGTATGGTTCGTCTAGGTTGACGGATTCTAGATTAACTAAAATGGAAAAAGGCGGCTCCTGCCGAGGGAATCCCAGATGAGATCTGGCAAAGCAGTCTGGGGGAAGGCTGAATTAATTTAGATAAGGAGAGCGAGTTGTAGTGGGACTTTGATAGATGGGGGATGGTTATGTGTTATGCAGCTTAACGCGATCTAAATGACGTTGGTCCAGGCTGGATGGACAAGCCAGACAGGGCAAGATGGGGAAATTCAGGAACAGCCTAACCCCGCTAAATCGCTAAAAGACCTTAGGTTATTTTAACACAGTGTCTACAGTATCAAGGGAAGGGATAATGATTACCTAACACAAACCACAAACATCTATCAAAGTACCTCCTACCTTAGGTAAGTACTATAGTATACAAATCCATCAGAAAAGCTGCAGATACCCGGCTACACTTAAACAAAGATATCATTTATCACATTTCTGAATTAAACCTCAGCATTTTCTTCCACAATTCAATCTTAGGTATCTTTATAGCAATGTCAGAAATCACGTTTTACATCGGTAATGAAAGCACAGTATCCTTAAAAAAGATGTTCAAATCTGGTCTGGTTATACTTCAGTCTTTATATTCTTTACATTAAATACCTTAGGTACCTACCTAGTCTCATAGGTAGGTATTGGAGTGGAATGCAACTCCAATATTATACATGCAGATGAATCCAGAACTTTGGGACCTAGATACGTAGGCGAGGCTTCTGGAATTGATCTGCTTTCATGCAGTCATCTCGGGGTTTAGTTAAAGGTCTTCTTTCGATATAACGTTCCGTGGAGGTCTACTTCTAAAATACTAATAATAATAAGGATAGGTAAAACGGTGATATTGAAAAAGGACGTCCACCTGCAAGTTTCGGTAGAGCTTTCTTAAGCTGCTTGGGGGTTCTTCTGCCTTATTGATGGAGATACGAAGGCATTGGTTGTACTGGTGTACCTACATGTACAAGACAAAAGTACCCACGAAGTCTATGCCCAATTAGGCCCTATTCTCTTACAGTGCGAAATTACCGGTGAAAGCCCAGGCAGCTACCCCCCGTGCAAATCCAAATCTAGCCCTGTTGCTTCCGCCGCTTTCGTGCGGGTTCGATATTCGTCGGAGGGGTGCATCTTAAGCTTTGGAACAGCCTCATACCTACCTCTTTTTTTTTCTATTTCTTAAACTATCCTCCCACAAAATTCTAACAAGTACAAGATCAATCTACATTTATATTTAAAACCCCAACTTTTGAAAATCCATTTCACCACCCACGACCCTTTTTTCAACAACATCCATCCCTACTTTGCCGACGTCATATCCAATCACCCCACCAACAAATTCAGATACCCAATAGCAACCAACATGTCGCAGGTTACTCCCGAAGGTGAGTCTAGTACCTGAATTAGCGAGCCTCGATTCCCAGCTCTGTTGCAGAGGACTGAGCAGAGTCAACTATAACTGAGTCGATGTCTATGTTACTTACATGGATATTCGATATAATTATTCTATATTCTATAGTTATACTATAGTTAAGAGTATGTTTAAGCTAACAGGTATTCCTCCACTTAGTTCTATGGGCTCAGCGCTCTTCCAATACGGAACCCGAGAAGAACTTCGTCTATCTCACCATCTCGGTTCCCGATGTCCCCAAGGAGAATCTGAAGCTCGACCTTCAGCCCACAGGCCTAACCTTTACCGGTTACTCCGAGACCCTGAAGAGAACGTATCATCTAGAACTGACCTTCTATGCCGAGATCGACCCCGCTGAGAGCAAGGTCCACCACACAGCTCGCAACGTCGAGCTCAAGCTACGCAAGAAGGAGCTCAATGACGAGTACTGGCCGCGTCTTCTCAAGGAATCTAAGAAGGTCCAGTTCGTGAAGACCGATTTCGACAAGTGGGTTGATGAGGACGAGCAAAATGAGGCTCCCGAAGACGATTTCTCACAATTCGGTGGCATGGGTATGTGAACTTCTATCATCTACAGTCTACCCCCTTTAAACACATATACTTTGAAATCGAGAAAAGAAAAAAAAAATATTGGAGTCTCGTCTTTACTAGAATTTTGTTGCTAACAATTATCTTTTACAGGAGGCATGCCAGGTATGGGTACGTAACCTTCAAACCCCTTGTCCTACGGTTATTTCAGGGGCCAAGATCAACCCCCAGCAATGATAAGGAAACTAACATGTTCACATTAGGTGGTGCTGGCGCTGACTTCGGAGGTATCGACTTCTCTAAGCTCGGCGGTGCCGGTGGATTGCCTGGTGGTGAGGATGAGGAGGATGAGTCTGACGATGATATGCCAGCTCTCGAGGGCGAAGAGGAGGCCAAGGAGGAGGCCCAGGAGGAGAAAGACGCAACCAAGGTGGCCGCATAAACTCGATTTCTGCAGGTTATAAGGCACTAATCGTTCCGCGGTTACCTTGTGCAAAATCTATTCGTCGTGCCCAGACCTGAGAATGTGGTTAAGGCGATAGGAAGGAGTAGCAAGTGGTAATGCGATTCAGATATGTTTCGGGAGCCGGTGGGCTATTGGCAAGCTAGGACGTCAGGTTACCTGGTACTTTACGCTGGAATCCGATTAAAATTTTATGAAGTAATTAAGCATGTTCCGTCAGATGGTAGTGCCAAAGATTCATACGAGCTCGACGGGTAGCAAGGAATACATTGAAGATTTGGAGTCAATCCCCGTACATTGACCCCATTATTCTGGCTACACAAACCATGTCGTCCCACGCGGTCTATCTACCGCCATGAAGATCTGCTTATGTGCAGAATATGTCTTGAATTTCGGCAAGCTAAGGCAGCCGCAATTCCCCATGCCCTGCATGATTGGTTACGACCGAACCCCCGAACCTGTAGTTCTCTGGATGGTGTGACGTTGATGCCCGTTGTCAATCTTTTGCCTCAGCTCCGGGCGAGATGTCTCATAGCACGGTCGATAATCGATAGATCCGAGATCAATATCTATGTGTATATGTCTCTCTCCGATGTTCATTTCCTTGATTCACACCATCTTTTACTTGGGACTGTCTCCCCGAACGGCATCTTAACTTTAAGATATCTGTCAAAGTGCGAGATTCTGGCCGATGCCCGTTTAGCGAAAAATGACTCTTAGGAGGTCGGCTGTCTCTTGCATCTGAACTACAGAATTCGGTGCCTTATTTTAGCTCCCGCTGTTGAAACATGTCAAACTTATTATAGTATGTACCTGTTACTCTAAGTGGGTATTTGGTTCCCCCCTGATGAGGTGCCGCAGGAAAGGACCCAGTCCCTCGGGCCTCCGCTCGGCGGATACATCTGCAATGCGACAGGAGGAAGGCATGTAGGTAGGTATCTTGTCCTGTGGCGTACTTGCCTCTGTATAAAAAGGTATGAAAAACTCCGCGTGGGAAAATTTTGATTTCTTCCCCTTTCCTCCGGTACATACAGCCACATACAACCAACAAATAGAAAATATTTACCCCTATCTCTCACTTTTCCATGTGTTATGCCCCCTAGGCATCTCATATATACCGTTCATACGCGCGAGCTGAAGAATTAGGTACTATCTAATCTATCTTCATCCTCCAAATAGCATACTTTCCTTCTCTAAACATCTACTTGCAATCTCCTACGTCCTAATCCTAATTCAACAACACACCCAAGTTAACAAGTAGCAACTACCTACCCACAATGTCCCACCCCATGAAGAAATCCACACGTTCACGGATTAACCTGACCACATCCACGCCCATCCAGTACTCGCAGTCACGGGCACAGAACAACCAGCCGTCGTGGACAGCAGCAGACGCAGCTAAAGCCTCGAAGAACGGCGCATTCCTTACCCCTTGGCCCCCTAAAGAACCATACTATACTCCGGCAGTTGACCTTTTCGGTCAGGGGCAGAGCCAGACCGGGTCAGGAAGACCTTGAAGTGTAGGGAAGCCTCACAGGAGAGCACAAGTCCCCCCGGACACTCGAACAGGCGTTAGCGTTGAAGAGGGCTTTGGGAGGGGGGCAGAGTCGTGTGTTCTTGAGGGTTCTACAGACTTTCCACGGTGTTGACAAGTCATACACAGGTGCCTAGGTTGTCAGGGGATAGAGAATCAGCGAACTGGCTGTGTACGATGAGCATGGAGTTAGGGGTGTGATAGGACGAGGTGGCTTTAGACTGTAAAGTACATTTATAGGGGCGTATGGAAGGTTAGATCGCGGTATAAAGCTGAGTCTTGCCATGGGTGCTTGAGGGATTTAGTTAAGTGCCTTAGAGATAGACAGTATGGGTTTATAGAGGAACTAAATTAAACAACGAAACCAATACTGAACTTACTTAGGTCCTAGGTGCCTGCCTACCTCCTATGCTAGACTGACGGCTTGGCTTGGACACCAAAGCATTATTAAAATCAGTTTCTCAGAATCTTCGGTTGATGCCTCCAAGTATTCAGTAGTCCACGTGGTACACCTAGGCACTCATACCTACTCTCCTAAGAACCGCTTGATATTTTCTTATATGTGGATTCACGATTTTTCATTCCATAAGACCCCATTCGGTAGTAGTATACCTAGTACATATGCAGACTTTTCCAACCGACTTTCACCAATCCACACACGCCCGCTTGGCACAGCGGTAATGCGCCTCACTAGTACTTTCAAAGTACTACTAAGGAAGCTATGAGGAGATGACTGGTTCGACTCCAGTAGTGGGCAGTTTCATTTTTTGCCAATTGTTTTTCTTTATTTTTTTCTTCTTTTTCACCCCTTTGGAAGTGGGCCGGTATATTTTTTGTGGGCTCTATACGAGAAATGAACGAATAGCCTCAATTTCTTTTTGGCTTGTAGCCCTACCCAAGCGGGAAGGCTTAGGTAATACGAAACAAGCGGTCTCCACACCGCGTTACATGAGCCACTCGTTTAGCGAATTCATCAGCCGTTGGAAGGGGGCCATGGAGAAGGGAGCTGATGTCGAAAAGTTTAATATGTTCTATTATGTATAAAGTTGCTCGAATCATTCGCAACTACCCTCAGGGACCTGAACTCAAAGAACTTAGATATTGTTTATTGTGTTGTGTTATGCGTGTGAGGTCTAAATTAGCTACACAGCGCTTGAGAGGGTAGAGCCTCATCCTCTGTAATTCAGGCAATGCTAAAACAGGGTTTAGTGAAAACCTGTTCGGTAACACCGTCTATGAACAGGGTCTTAAACGTGTGGACATATTTTATCATGGATTCTTGTTGTGGTGAACTCTACAAGTTGGCGAGGAGAAGGCTCAAGTCTTTGGTGAAGGGTTTGAATCATTTGAATCCATATGATGATGTCGGCAGCATCCCAGACTATCCATTGTATTATACACTTTGTTCTCATAAAAATGAGAACATATACATCTCTCCACGGACCACGGTAAGCTCTTATATCGGTATCACCTCAATATAATCATGGAATTTTCGTTGAAGTCTATATTTTCTTTATTTCCTATATATAATACGTTAAATAGGTACTTAATCTCACCACCATCCATGTTTAGCCAATGGCTAATGATACCATTCTTATCTCTGTAGGTGGAAATACCTCTGTAAGGTTTGAACCAATGTTGGAACGAAGATTTATTTTATATTAAGGTAGGTAGATATAGATAATTACTTGATATCAGCTTTTAGTATTCAAATGGTAGTTTATTTAGACCAATAGTAGCTCGTGATTGAACATAAGTGGTTGACAATTGAGAGGTATTCATTAATACAAGGCTGAAAGCAGGTGCTAAGCTTTTGAAACCAGCTTCACCTACCGTGATTCGTAACATCGATGCCTGAGATGGAGGGCTATATCACGATGCCTTAAGCGCGTAACGTTCCCTTTAGGTTTGAGAATCTTCATCACGCAATCTCAAGGTTTAACGTGGGCGGCAATCCTTGGGGGTGCTTTATCTATAATGGCTGGCTGTTAAGGCGCGTGAGAGCTATCATCGTGCTATCGGACCCCCGGACATATATATCATTAGCGCATGAGTCTTCCTTCCACCACCAATACTTGCGGCGCGTCTGCGTCGTCGTGATACCTATCACTTACTAGTGAGTTGGAATGAAAAAGTAGAATAGAGAAGCTGGTTTGGGTCTTTTACTAGTAATATTCCCTGCGGTTGTCTTTGGTTCCTAGTAATTCTCTTAACAGAAGCCAGAGCTTGGGGGGTATAATATTGCTACCGGGTCCTTACCTAGCAGCCATATACGGAAAGTAACCCGGGCTCGATTGGAGCTAATAGCTCTCCTGCGGCTCCGCGGTCCGCATGGGGGTTGGGTGGGTAGGACGGTCATGTGTTTAAGGTCTTAGTAGAATTCGTCACATCCCATCTACATCCCATACATCCCCATCCCTTTCCCTATCACTTCGTCACAATCACGCACATACACTCGGAGTTAAGACGCTGGGGGCCCTGACTTAAAGCTAAGCTAAGCTAAGCTAAGCTCAGCTGCTGGGGGGATTGCGATTGGGGAAGCCCATTAGGCACTTGCAGCTCACCGGCCGCAGCCACATGTGTAGGTATATCACAAGATGTTCATAGTAGTATGTACACATGGCATAAGCGAATCGACGCCTCGTCACTCGGGACAACGCCTTTCCGAAATGTGACATATGCGCAATTTGTTGCCATTACTTCATCAACTGCTAGGTTTAATCTATACCTAGCCATCATGCCCTATCGATAGAGATCACGAAACCGCATTTGCTTTCCGCTCCCGGGCTCCGCTCTTCGGTGTTTGGGAGTTGATGGTATGTCTCTTCTCCGGGCCAATTGGTCAATGGCTTCCCGCTACCTACTGCTAGGCTACCACATATGTGGGCATTGTGCCTGTTGCTCACCAAACCCAGCCTATCCTCTCGCGACGCGGTAAGGAGGAATGCTGTCCGATCAAGTTGTGTATGTGATTCATCATCTACACCACCTTAGATTCGCCGTGAAAGTTGGGTCGCATGCCGCCGGCTGCAACAAAGACGACGATGAAGACGACGGCGGAATAAAAGAAAAAGGAGGGAGGGTGTCGTCTCTGCACTTCTGCTTTACCCCGCGCATTGGAGTTCGCGCAAATCAGGAACAGCATTCGAAGCCATCGCGGCCCGTGAGTGGTTTGCCACGATTGTCTAGGACTGCAGCCGAAGTTAAAGGTAGGTATAAAAAGGGCTACCGTACATACATATGTACATACATACGTCCGTCTTGCCTTGCAGACGGGGAAGCGCTTCTACGAAAGCAGGAAAGGGGCCAAGAGGGCAGGTAAAGCAAGGCGAGACAAGACAGGCAATGCCATTCATTCCATGGAAAGCTAGATAGCTTTCCCGGACTTGCTTGGGTCTGAGAAGAGGAGATATATAACCACTTAACCTAATACGCAAAGTTGCGTTCAAAGCCCAGCAATGAATGATTGCATCGCATCGCATCGCATTGGACCCTGCAAAGGGAAAAGCCGCGATAGCGCCCACGACAACCGACGGCCGTGCGCACCGCGCAGTGGAACGAAACAGGGGGGAAAAGCCAACCAGCCTTGAACAGCAAAACGCATTTTTATTTCTTCTTTCTTCCTTGTCGAGAGATACATATGTATCGCACATTAACTAATAAGCTTCTACGTACATACCTACATACATACCTACATACATACCTACATACTAGGTACCTACGTAAATGGGAAAATCTTCAGCGATATATTGGGCCTCAATGCTAGTCCAAGGCGCTGCTGCGGGCGGGAGGTTGCAATCCTGCAACATGAGCGTATGGATTTCTATGCTCCGATGCAGTGCAGTGCGCACGGGAAGGGAAAACAAGAAATGAGGTTTTGGTAGGTCTTGGATTTATGAGAAGGAAAGCTCTTCTCGCTTAGAAAAAAAGAAGAAAAAAAAAGTCACGAATGAATAGAAGCAGTTTGTTGATTTGATAGGAGAATAGCCTGCCTAACGTTAGGTTAGGTTGGGTACCTAAGCTGAAGTAAAACATATTAGGTATTGTCGTCTAACTACCTCCTGGCCATACTATACTCACATTTGGTTGTCTCTGGAAATATGGCCAATTCTGGAATGTGAGTTGTGCAACATACGATTTCCAGGTTCGAATTCGCTCCAACGCACATTCTGGACTTTCTCTGGATTAAGAATTCAATCCCGTAGGTAGCTACCTACCTGAGCTAGCTTTTCTCCTCCGTCACATATCTTACAAGAAGTAAGAAGTAAGACCTGCCTACCTATAATAGAGATGTGATTCGACTGGGGGGTAGCTTCGCTGCTTCATTGGTACTTTAAAAGAAGAAGACAAAAAAAAAAAGCTTGGCGTGGATCCATTACTCGGGTAGAGGGTGTGTGTGTGTGTTAAACGAGAGAAAAGCTCCGGGGTTTGAAGACGGCTATCAGATTGGTTACTTTTATATTTGGTCGTATTTGGCCCAAAACGATAGATCCCGCACTTGTTGCATGTGTTGCGAGATCAAAATGCAAGAAACTCTATATCCTAGCCCTTGCCCGGTGTAAATCGATTACCGCTTTGGTCGGTACGCGCTTCGAGGCGTTCTGTCGTATGTATTATAGGTCAATCTGGCCAACTGGTCGCGTACACATCATCGTCAACCTTGCCGACTCATTGGTAAAACCTGTGCCGGAATGAAGTAACATAGAACCGGGTAGCATTTCACAGTGCTTTATTCTATTTCATTTAGAAACTCCAACCTTGTTGTAGTAGATTTTTAACTAGATTATCAAGTACAATGATCGAAAATCACAATATAATATTGGAGAAGAGGAGTAGTTTTACGATACATGCTACACCCGGTACCTAAGGTACCCATGCACTTACGCATCTCCCGGGACTTGTTGAAGATGAATCCGGGGATAATTAACCTTATTATATTATCTCAACTAAGCGGGACAATCTCGCCGGCGGCTTTATAACATAAGCCATAAGCGAAAGTAGTGAACAAGGGATACTTCGCTCCGCGAACATTGGCGGCGCGACATCGGCCCTGCGGAGTATGTCCTACGGGGTAGACGGCTCTTAATACCTTGTGTTTTTTTTACAAGTTTTATCGTGTATATGTGTTCTATATGATTCTGTTCCTTTTCACACATCACGGATATTCGCGGATCCTCGACAACAAGGCCCGATTCCTACGTTTCTGCCACATGGACAATTAACGTGGTAGATATTAGGACGTCCAGGTGACAGGAGAAAAGAGTCAGAGAGAAAAATAGGAAGATACAAGATGACGTCGTCGTTTCAACTACCGCTTCGGCATCCTCATGCGAGACACGAAATCAATATTCAGATTCGCATCTGATACCGAACGTTCCAGGTGTTCGTTCGAATCGCACCGCATGAGGTCTCGCGTACAGGATCGCATTTTGTCGTGGATGAGGGAAATTAAGTCGAGAATCCCACTCCATCCTCTTTTCCCGCAACCGCAATTGCAATCACATATGATAGAGGGTAGAGATATCCACGACGCCGAATGCCGGAGTTCTTCGATTTGCTTAGTAGTCCGAGATCTCTGACCGACTTATGTAAGATCGGGCTGGACAAACCTACACACCTTCTTCCCATGGTGTGAGAGATGGGAAATGAAAGATGGGATATGAAGTATGGACATGGGAATGCGGATGGGAGATGGGAGATGGGAGATGGAGGATGGGGGGTGGTGTTACATGATAAACTCCGACGTGGGGTGATATCGATGTTCACCCTCCCAGCCCTCCATCCCAATCTCGAATTCCCCCCAATCAACTTTGTTGGGGGGATCCAGTAGCTAAAATCGTACATTGTATAATCAAGTACTCTACTTTACACATGGAGATCAAGCAATACCTAGCAGGTAATTGGAACAATAATTCTATTCATGGCTCGAAGGAATCGAGACATCACATGTTGGGTTGGACTAGAACCTGAAGGAGGACAAGGATGATAAAATAGATTCCTCTAGACATGAGACTAGCCTGACAAGCGTTTGAAGATCTGGGGAGATCAAGGGAACGTTGATGTTTGCTCGTAAGGCTTGTTATCCAATAACGTGCGTTTTAAAGCCTGATCATCTTCCATGGTGGGACGCCATAACGGTTGATCACATCGTTATCACCAACATACTAGCATACCTCTAACCTCGATGCCGTATCGTAACTGTAGGTACCTTTCACATCTGTTGACAATACATACCTAATATCTTAAGGTAGATATACATACTATCAAACGGAAGAGGTCCGAATTCCCTTTCGGCTTTGCTCTCAGTAGGAAATAGAAGAAACCTTCTATAGCTGTTGAAACAAGTTCATATATTCAACGTAGCAGAGCTGCGTTTACATGATGGTACTTTGGAATCATCCGAAATATACCGATTTCTTTCTTCCAAAGTTACACCTTGTAACCAACTCTCAATCTGAACAAATGAATTAGCTGATCGCTGCGCCGCATTCCTCTAGGTCTCGTAGGTAACTGCCTCATGGTTTACGTTGCACATGGCAAACATATGAGTGACTCCTCGGTACGTCCCAATGGCAGTGTGTGAACGATACCCGCTTATGAGTATTATGGTAGGCAACCAACCGGGCTGTGTGGCTTCTCGTGATGGACCGTCGGGTGCGAGCGGACTTTAGTTAGTGGATGGGCTCCGACAAGTTCCTGAACATCATCTCGTGTCCAGTTTGGTTCTGGCTCTGGCCTTTTTCTTTGTTGTTGTGTTCCCATTAAAACCTACCATCGTAATAGAGTAGTATAGCGTTAGGTAGCGAATGATTTCGTTTTTTTTTGGTCACCAATAATGGGCAGAAGATGGGCAGTAAAATATGGCCCAATAGCATCGGCTATTCCGCAGCGCGACTCGATTTACTACCAGTTAGTAGCAGTAGTGGACGGAGTCGACATGATTGATACCATACGTGATATATGTGATATACGCCTTCGCAAGGAATTTCGCGTATTTCGTACAACTTTCTCATTCGATTAACCTCGGTCGAATCACGGGAAGAGCAGTTTTCCCTACGAGCGAGAGAGTGGGCATTGCGGTATCGCGCACGCGCGCCCGTCGCGGTCGGTGCGGGACGCGAATAGCGCTACGACTTGTCAAAAGGAGAGTCATATGGGAATCTTGAAATAGGTGATGATCTACGCCGGGCCCTCTTCTTCTTAAAAGCAAACTAGGCTCTCTATCTCTCTCTCTCTCTCCCTCCCCCATGGGTCTATCCTAGTGTACTCCTCCCCCATAGTTGAGACTTACTATTACCCCCCCTCCCTAAACCCTTTCCGGGTGGCTTTCGGTCGCGGTGAGCTTGCCACCGTCTTGTCTAGACTTATCGGGAAACCCGGAAAATCCGGGGATAGCAAGGTTTAATTGGTGATCTTGACTTAGTCTACCAAGGTACTTAGTCTTGTTGTCGGAGTCTAGGGAGTTTGATAAATACCTGTGATAATGAATGGGTACCGACAGCTGCAAATACGAGGCGGTCAGCGCGCGGACCCGAAAGAGTCCAAGCTTTTCTGATTCTTTTTTTCTAGAATGTCGTTGCTGCAACCTATTGGTTCTAGTTAACGCATTTGTTACCTGGCTACCTGGCTTCTGGAGGGCAAATCTTAGGTACTGAAGGTCCAAGTGGTAGCAGACCTGCACGCATCCAATCCACCTAAATTACAGCAGCTACCCTACCCCATCCTAGCTCTCTCGTTCGTGTCTCTGTGCCTGTGCCTGTGTATGTGTACGTGTGTGTTTTTGAGGTTGTCTTAGGTACGTATTTGCGCATGCCAGCTGCTGGCTGCCTATCGAGGCGCCGTTCCGACTATACACTTACTATTGACGGGAGGTCGATACAACCAAGGTTGTAATATGTACAATTGCGTACGACGCCTGGCCACAACGAGAACCGGATTTCATGATGGAAAGGGGAAGCTCAACAACAACAATAGCCAGCGACAGCTATGGCAACAACCTAGAACAACATGATCGCAAATAATAGTAGATTCTAGATGTCAAACCCGAGGGAGCGGACAATTTCGTTTGTAATCAATATATCTGCACAATCCAAAACCCGAAAATACTACACGAAGGATTAGAGTAAGCAAGAATCGTGAGATGACAACTTGAATCCAAATGCTACGGCTACGGATATAAAATGTGTGTTACGTAGGCACGCGTGAGAGTACATTCCAACGAGGATAGCAAATGTGTTTGGAATACATTATATCGCACCCACACTTACACGCGCACACATGTATCTTTTTTACAAATAATTCCATAGGCGGCATCAAAAATGCGGAGTGGTGGTTGCATCTGAGTCATCTAGAGGTGTATCGTAAACGGTTCTCGTCTCGATTACATACGGGATCTTGATCTCTTGGGTGGAGGAGGGGGATTTGGGATTTATTTCTTACGCACATATTTTTAGGCACAAAATCAAACGCCGAGGCACATGGGAAAGCACATCATCTAGCGGGAGAATCTGGTCGCAGGCGAAAATCTACACCACACTGACAGGTTAGTAGACCGCGAAAATCCCACCTATACGATTCGTCCGTCCGGGCAGGCGGTCAGAGGAGAAATGCCGGTATTGGCCAAACACGAACGAAATTCGTTGTTGCGGTCAGTCAGCCAGCTCACACACACACCTATATTTCCCTTTCCTCGTTGGACAGCGAGCGACCTACCTAAGGTACCGAAGGAGGAAGGTTAGCTATGCCCGCGCGTGAATCCGCCAGCCAGCACAGCGCAACTTATTTGCTCAGCCCGCCGGGAGATGTTGCTGACGGTCACCGTGGCGTAGAGGAAGCCAGTTGCGAGATGAGATATGATACTCACCTATACATTACTACGACCACCCTGTCGTCATAGCGTCATAGATGTTGTCGTTGATATGAGCCAGAGACATAGGGAGGGGGTTAGACATGGAACTGGAACACGGGGAAGTTAGGTATGTATTACCATTCATCCCACCCTTGTAGCAATCAAATGAAATAGGTAAATCAAATTTTTTTTTTTTGGCTCGGGTCCTCAAGTCCTTGTTGGGGTTTTTCTTTTCTTGTTATTTTCCCTTCTCCCCCAAATAAGGTGGCGCTCGGACGGCGCAATGACGGTACAAAAGAAGAAAGAAAAATAGGGGGCATATACTAAACGTTAGCCATTATTGAATATGAATATAACTAGCTGGGGGTAGGGGTAGTAGGTAAATGAAGCAATGCAAGCCAACGGGACGGAAGGTGGAAATATTCTCCCATTTTAACATTTTAACTCGTGCCCGAGGTGAATTGGCTGCCCGAAGGGCCAACCGAAGCCAACCAAAGAGATGCCAACAGGTGCGCCTCCTTCGTCAGACGAATATAGCGTTGTCATAAGTAACAAGAATAGCTACCTAGGTGGCTAGCTTAAAGCTGGAGACCTGTATTGTTGCGTATCTGAAGTACCTAACCTATTGTAACGGATCCTTCGAAAAAGTACCCAAAAACAGAAGCAAACGGTGCTGGCTTCGGCGGCACAGGAATTCCCAACGTGTAATTAACCACCCCCAGTTCTAGTTCAGTGTCTAGTACCTATTATCCGTCTACAGAGTAGGAATAAATTTGCGACTTTCGGCATCTTGCGAGCCACTACCACGTTGCTTCACTCGTCGGAAGTAGAAGGAATTAATCATACATCCTACCGCATTAGGACTTCATTAACGTCGCTTTTGTGTGTAGTAGATTACTCTATTTTCTCCAGTAATCAAGTAGAATATACCATCTCGTTACGGATGTTGTATTAGTTGTATTAACCTTCCGGCTGGTACCTAATCTACATCCCCAACGCCACCCCCAGCTTTTTCCCACGCGTTGTATCAATGTATTTTTTTTTTTTTTTTTTTTTTTTTTTTTTTTTTTTTTTTTTTTTTTTTTTTTTTTTTTTTTTTGGTTTGTTTGGTTTTGTGACCGGTATGTAATGTACAAGCACGAGCGGGCGGAACGGGCTACAACAAAAAAAAAAAAAAAAAAAAAAAAAAAACTGACCTGTAAGGTAACCCCTGGAACTCCGGCAATAGGGCCTTTTAACCAGGATACAGGGCACAGGACAGGCCTAAGAGAAGAAAAAGAAAAGAAAAAAACGATAGGGCTAACTACCTAACGTAGCCCTGAATAGCTAGGATTCTCGCTGCACTGGGAAGCGGGAGATAGACCCGGCCGCGGCAGTCGGATAAGAATATCGAGTTGTGGACCTCGTTGAACCCTGATCGTCATCCTACTTTGCGGTACGCGGTTAAGATATTCCACGGATCCATGGACCTTGTTTGATGGGGCCCTGCATTGCAAATCCCGCAGGCCTGGCAATTCCAATTTCTTATTAGTTTTTTAATTCTCTTATGAGCGTTTTCATTCTTTCCCTTTCCTGCGTGTGGGGACTGAAGCCTGCAAGCGAAGCATCGGAGAACAAAGGCGAAGCCCAACGGCGTGCTGCCAACAATGTTGTACATTAGGGTAGGGTAGGGTTTAGGTAGGATAGTTATGGATCACAGTCCATAATGACCTTGGACGTACATAGATAGTACAGGATGCGGCGCTGCTTAGCTTCGCTTTGCTTTACATAGTACTCTACTTTTAGTACGTCCGTAACTAGGGAACGCCCAAAACGTTGGCTACCTACCTATGTATTGTACAATACAATAGAGGTAAGGTACCTAACATTTTGGCGGTGTCAATCCGTTTACTTTTTCGGCTGATGTGATTGGTAGGGCACAGCTCGGCGATGAGATACTCAGGTACCGCCTAGACGGTTGCAGAACGACGGGACGATTGGGAAATTGGGGACGAGATGGGGGTTTCAAAAGCTGACTCCAGTTAAGGCGGTCTAGGCTGACTTGGTGGTTGACACCTATTTCCCTGCGTCCCGAGCCACACCCAACGCCTTCACACCCCCCTCCCCCCCCTTTCGCGTATCCTTGACAAGGCGGTCAGCCAGGATTAGCTATTTGCAACGTGGGGTGGGGAACAAAGGGGACGGGGAAAACTGGAAAATTAAAGCCATGTACTCTATGTACCTCTTCTGGTAACGGTCAAGAAAAAAGAAAGCCCTGCTGCCTCCGTGCGGTGATGATTCATATCCACCACCACACCCACCGATTGTATATATATGTTCTCATGGCCGTCCCATGCGCTCCCGTCCCATGCCCCCATCTCCATTACTCGATACCCCAGATTAGTTACTAGTAGCCATAGAGCAGTAATACATAATATTCTATCATCATCATCAACAGCTCTCTACTAGCTTTTCTACTTATACAAGCTGGAATATCTGTCATCGACTAGTCGCATCTACTGACTTCCACACGAAAATCGACCCGCCTATTGCGAAATATCCCGACTTGAAAGCTGCTACTATTTGAAGGAAAAAAAGGAAGATCTTCCGCTACTACTACTACTACTACTACGGAAACCCACATTACATCACTCAAAATGTATAGCCCATACGGCTCTTATAGCTCCATGAGCGAAGCTGCTCAACCGATGGAGATCCCAACCACGAGCTACCTCGCCCGCAACAGCGTCTACAGCGCGAGCTGCGCGTTCCCATCGTGGCCGCGCCGCTCGTCCCTTACCGACTCCGCGCACGAGGAGCGAGCGACGTCCTACCTCTCCGACGACGACCTGTTCCCCTGCGACATGACGGAGGACGACGCGCACAGCGTGTCGAGCGCGGGCAGCACGACGCCCACCTCGCCCGTCGTCGCCAACGAGGTCGACCTCCTACGCATGCAGCGCGAACAGATGGCCATGCAACGCGAAGCCATCAAGTTCCTCCTTAGCGAGAAGGAGCGCAGGAAGCAGCAGCTCAAGCGCCAGCGCCGCAGCAGCGGCGGTAGCTCTAAGAAGAGCAGCCCCAAGTCCTCCAAGTCGGCGCACCTCGATGCCATCGCCGAGACTGGCGAGTGAGCATTTGATTTCTGGTTTCGTGTCGATTCAGCGTTTTTATGGTAAGCTCATTACATTACATTACATCACATGTCATCAAAACAGCAAGCTAATACATCATATAGAAGTATGACTACCTATACATTTACGACTATTATGATGATTATACCCCCAACCCAACCACGATACCCCCTTCCCTTCCGGATTCACACGTCGCCAAGATAGACGACCAGTGACGCAGCGTCGCGGAGCACATTTTGTTCACATGCTTCGTCCCCGCGCCACGGCGGATAACGGCGACGAAGTGTGCTAGTGCACACATCAATCACATCATCCAACTTACAGCGGGCTCGCCGAGGAATGAATTTCACACAACCTCTGGCATCATTGCCACCCGCCACTACCACCCACTATCACACACCCCTTTTGATTATTTGGGAAATATCGATATATTTAGGTATTTATCTATCTATCTACCCGCCGCCGGACGCCACTTGGGGCGATTCTGGGAAAGTCATGTCTCAGCCACGCCTGGTGGTTTAGAGCAGTTTTGCTTTCGCGGCATACACAATATCCACTATTCTTTTTTTTTTTTTTTTGGACGAACCGAGGAATATTTTTTTTATGAAGTGTGTTGTTGTTGTGTTGTTAATTGTTTGTGGAGGAGAATATTAAAACCTTACCCACCCGCATTAATTTTTGTTACCCAGAGGTCTTTTCCAAGGCAGGGGTGCGGGTTTTTCGGTTAACTATTATTACTTCTACTACTAGAGCAAGGGAGGGGGATGATGAGGAAGAGAGGGGAGGGGTGAAGAAATTCAATTCAATTCCATTCCAGACTTTTTTTTTTTTTTTTTTTTTTTTTTTTTGTTTGTCTTCTGAAGATTACACTGCACTACTACACCATGATAACAAGGGAGCGGTGAGCGACGGTCAAGCGGAAGAGGGGCCGGAAGGAAGAGAAGGAAGGGAAGGAAAAGAAGCCGAGGAAGCTAGTCAGTTCCGACTAAGCTAGCTAGGGGGCGTGGTTCAATTCAATTAGTTATGGTTGTTAAACCCGCCTGTTTGGAATTTGAGAGCTCGGACCTAATAGTATCGCGGAACAAGGGTCGGTGACGAAATTTTGTGTCAATTCGCGAATTGGGGACCCGGGTTTTCGGGATTTGGACAATGGATTAATTTCACAAAACTTTTCTAGGAAAAGTCCGGGTCGGGAGCATGGAGCCAATTGGCATTATGGCCACTTGCTGGTCGGTGCATGCATAAAAATATATTATGCTCTCTATGCTCTCTATGTGTGTTTTGGGATGGGGGATATCATAACATTGATACCAGAAGGGGTTGCACAAGCACAAGCAACAATGTGTCCTTTAGTGAGGACGGAACAGGAACAGAAACAGTTGTGATAAATTTACTAAAACTACAATTAAAGATCAACTAATTATATCAAACTAAGCCAAGTCTTTATTCCCTATGTCTGAATTAAAAAGCGCATGTCTCGAAACGTAATCTCTCCTATATACCGACCATTTAATCAATTCCCATAGTACGGGATAGTATATGTGTAATTGTCTTTAATTGTCTTCCAACTACCGCCGGCAATGTGCACTTTATTATTCCGGTCTTATTCCATCTTGGGAACAACGTTGCTAATCCGTACATAGAACGCGAGGGATGCCAAAGCAGTAAAAGAAAAAAAATTGGCCACCCGGGATCGCGTTTCGGGGATAGCGTCGCGGAGCCTACCCATATATTTCCAATAACTGTGGGAGATCTTTGCAGGCGGGACTGGCGGGATGTACGCTGATCATCCTTTGACGGACACGGGGGGGCACATACGCCCGCATATGTACCTAAGGTATAGGTAATGCTCTATTCTAAGTATCATATATATAGGTATGTAGGTAGGTACGTAGGTGTGTACGTGTGTAGGGCCAACGCTGGCCGCACTCTGGGCACGCCAACGAGACGAGGGGAGCTGGATCGACTTGCCTTATCAAGTTGTGTGGCTTACAAGGGAAGAGAAGAATGAGGGGATGAGGTGGAGATGGGAATGGAGATGAAGATAGCGATGGAGAACAAGAAGCCATTGCCCTAACCTACCGTGGCACCTACAGGTAAAATGGTATACACACAATATCACGTCTTTGTGACTTGTTTGACGGTGGGGTTAGAAGGAGCTGTCCATCCCGAAGCACGTCGGCGGAGGTTTAGCTTGTAAGTGAGTGAGTGGGTGGGTGGGTGTCGGTGAGCATCCCGTTTTAATAGCTACCTCAGAGTGGATGCGCATCTACAGAAATAGGTAGCTAAGGTAGCTAAGGCAGCTAGTGATGCAGTCGAGAGGGTATCCCGCAACCTCATCTAGGGTTATGATGCTGTTTTGGCCCTATTTTGAGACGGGAAGGATTTCAGTTGGAATGGGCCGGCGTCGGAAGCAAGTGTCAAAACTTTCAACGTTGGGGGGAGGAGCCAGACTGAGGATTTGGGGAATGGAGAATGGAAAATGGAGAATGGGCCCGGTGAAGCGGTTTTCACCAATCAAGAAGGTTTACGGTTCGTTGACCGACTATCGTTTTGTCGCCGGCCGAATCGTAGGTATTGGTTGGCTCTTGACCGCCGGAGAATTCATCACTGGGTAGTTGGGCAAGTTGACGCACACAATGAAACGATAACTTTCGAGGATCACCGTTGAGCATCGAGACGTGGTTAAGTCGATCGTGGCAGCTCCGGAAGACTCACAGTGGCTCAAATGCCCGATAAGAGTGGATGGCGATAGAAAGTTCAGGAGGTTCAGGAAGCTCTTAGGAGCTGTACCCCACACGCGCAGCCCGAAGACCTCGTCTTGTCTTACCGAGAAAATCTGGTTGACAATCTGATTGTTCAACGGCGTGGCGTCTCTATTATCTCACGCTAATGATGAACTCTATCACGATGTCTTGAACCAGAGCCTATCACACGCTAGAGCTTGGCGTTCATCAGATCAGCATAAGGTCACCGGACCCAGCCTCTAAGATTAGCGACTGGGTAAGGTGATGAGGGCGGGGGTGAACACAAGATGGTTCTTAACTCTAAGAGGTCTATCTCACCGTGACCAATATCGGGTTGCGCTCACAAAAAAAAAAAAGTGATGCCCAACTTGAGACAAGTCGTGATGAGTTGATGAAATCGCCGACCTATCCCCGCACGAGAACGATTTAAACAAAACCGGGTTACGTCTTTACTTGTTTTTGTAGAAAAGGTTCAAGCTATCACATTCGCCAAGCTTGTAGACTTTCGAGCTTAGAGCAAGGCAAGGGTTTGAACCATCCGCAGAGTTTGCTGCTGATAACTGCTCCTTCGAGAAAAAATCTTACTTCTTGATCACGTACAACGTGCATAGACTCCCCGCTACTAAATAGTCCACAATTTAACTGGATGAAGAATTCGACCGGACCGTCCCTGCTGAGTAGATGGATCGGGACGCCAGCCAAAGCAAGATTCCCGTCTAACCGCCCTCTACTATTTTACGCGTTAGGTATGCACTAAGAGCGTTAGGTTTGTTTTTTTGACAGGAGCCTAATGGACTTTGGCTTCAATGTCAGTCAGCCACCAAAAGGCGCCTGATGTTGTTCCATATACCCAAAAGAATAAAAGAATAAAAGAATAAAAAAAAGATTAGAGCGTGGTTGGTCGGTTGGCTGTCAGAGTCAGGGGGATATATAGAAACGGGAAAGGTATCTATACTATACTCATCACAGCTCTAAAAGAAACCTGACCCAAGTAATTTCGCAGCCTTGCAACAGCTAGCGTAGCATTTGTCATTTCGCTTTGTATCGTTTGGTTGCGCTGCTGGCATGATGATGGTGGAGGGTAGATGGCATCGTAACTACATAGTACGTACGAATGAACCTTGACAGAGAAGATATTTGGAGTGGAAAAGGTAAGAAGGAAAGGGGAAAGGAATTTCGATAAGTATCCCCGGGTAGTACCGTTTTTCCTCCCCTGGATTTCATCGTATCTTGGGTATGACAATATGCAAGGGGCTGGCGGCGAGCAAGAATGCGCAATCGGCCAGCAGCCAGCTTTTTTAGAGTGAGGCTGCCCGCTTCGGTAGCATAGTCGCAAAGTTATTAGTTCTCTAGGTTAGTCTCAAGTCGCAAGATTACCTGTAATGCTGGCCGCGAGAACAGCGACCTTGCGGGGTTTACATGGAAATGTTCCTAATGCGCGACAATATGCAACCCCCCGAACCGATCCTGGGCATTGGGTCGTACGGGGGCTCATGAAATACGATCTTACTAATTGTGAGGCATTTCACATATAGTATCTACGCCTTCGTACGAGTCTGCTGGAAGTAGTACGACAAGTCCTCAGGTATGCCGCCTCATTGGCGAGTTGCCGGCTGTGATGGCCTGCGCATGAGTGCAAGTGTTTAAATTGATGAAGCGCTGCATAAGACAACTTCTGGCCATTCTGCCATCCCGTTGTGGGGATAGGCGGATGACGTCGTTCCTATCAGATATTAAGGCCGCTGTCGTTACGATGCGATAACCTGATAGCCAGAGGGGTCGAGGCTCTAAGAGGCTTGAGTTGGTCTTATGGCATACATATAGGTGTGCCTACCATTATCCGCGCAGGTATCATCCGAATCGCATGGCTACTATGTACGCCGAAAGAGAAGGTATTATCTTGCTCACTTACATAGTACCAAGGGTACGGATGTAGAAATGCGTGTCTAGCATAGCGAGATACCATGCATACTTGGATCTTACCCATGCTTCCTAATTGGGCACCACCTCTGTCTGCTACCAGCCTCGATTTTCCCCGTACTCATTCCTATTTTAACATCAGAAGCATCTCGTCAGCCAGCAACGACACAAGCGACAGAAGCGACAGCAGCAACAGCACAGCGTCAGACGCAGTGTTCCTTGCTCTTCGGTTCAAGATTTATGAGTGTCAAGGTTGAGTGTGCGGGAACAAAAGTGAGTACTACACGTGAGTAACGTGGGTAGGATGCTGGCACCCATCGGTGAGGAAACGAGAGCCACGGCGTTCCAGGTGCGCACATAGGATGATCTTGCGTGGTGGGGTAGCTTAAGGTATAAGTTCATGGTCATATATGCGGGAGGTTTACATCCTGTCAAGGTCTCACGGGTAATCCTTGAAGAAAATAGGTCCACTGGATATTGTTCGATGGAGAAGATAATGTAATAGTAAAGAGAGTTGTGGATAAGTAGAAGGAGAAGGGAAGAATAACAAGTTATGTTAAATGAAAAAAAAAAAAGCATTGGACGTCAAAGCGCATATATCACATACTAAAATCCATACTACTTACCATGCTGCCATGATACCCCCATCATGATGTCAATAGGTTATAATACTAGGTTAGAAGGTAGTTATACTAAAAGGAGGTTAGGTTAATTCTTCTCTCATTTCGGGGGAGGGGATTAATCAAGAAATTAGTAGTACCTAGTAGTAGTATCTGTAGTAGTATCCTACATGTATGTATGTAAGACTGATGGTAAGATAAAAAAACAGATAATTAAAAAAAATTAAAAATTACAAAAAAAGATGGATATCGTTGTCGATAACCCTTGCATCCGTCTACCAACGAAGTTCCTCGTCACTCTCTTTTGCCGCCGCGCCGAGCCCCAGTAAATATTTTATAACCAATCATCCCGCCCGGCTCCAAATACCCCTTGCCGGCAACGGACCAATCCTCTTTCATAACCGCCCTCTCACTGCAGTCGGCGCTACTGCGAGGAACAATGCTCGTCAACATCCCATTCTCACTTGTCCAATGCTAACCCACTTGCCCATTATCCTTTACCCAACCACATGTCACAGCTTGCTTTCTCCTCAGTAGCTCAGAATAATAGCCAAATGAGTTCTTGCTATCTACCTACGCTAGGTTTCTAAACTAGCATCTTCAAATAAGGGATACCCAGCCATTCATACCTCCAGGCGACGATGTAGCCACTTTAGTAGAGTCATGCTACGCAAACCATGTTCGCTGGGTTTCTATGTACCAGAGACTTCGGATGCCTCGTCGTCGCTCACTGCGCCCTGGGTTTTCAAACCGCCCCCAGATGTTCCTTTTGGAGATGGCTGGGGGGCCGGAGCCCGCATACTGCATTCTCTGGATATAACCGTTCGCGTGGGCTTCTCAAATACGCTCAGACACGCCTTGACCGTTGCTTCAACTCAACGGCTTAGTAAACGCATGAAAATCACCGAGTCGCCGTTTACTTTGATGTCTTTTTTTATATATATATACCAGGTAGTTATATGTACAAGTCTCTATTTCCAGCTGCTCTGCCGAGTGGCGAAGCTGGACGAGCCTCAATGTATGTGCCTGCGAAAAGAGGTACACAGGAGAAACAGCTGAGGCTAATTATATCGAAGTATACATGTACAATACCCTTCCGCAACTCCCCTGCTTTTGCATGATCCATCGCACTACTGTATCATGGACGATTCGATCACCTTGCTAGGTACCCTGTTCATTCGGCAGGCGATGGCTGATCAGACCCTTGCGAGATGCTGCCAATGTATGTAAACCTAGGCTTAGCCGGACCCGTATCCGCTCTAGATATGGCCGCTCGGTTCTTTACTACGTAGTATATGCGATCTGGGCCATTGAGAGCTCAGAAGAACTCCTCTTTAGGCGCTGGACTTCTTGACAGCGATACACGTCTTATTTGCTCTTGCACACCCCCCCCAAAGCTCGACCGAGCATACAGTTCCTCTACTTCTTCTTATTCAACGTGCCTGTTTCTTCTTTTTCCTTGTATACGACCCAAGGATCTGATGCAGCAGACAGGCCTCTCCAAGCCTTTTCTGATTCAAATATAGAGTGACACTGCCGCTACTGTAGCACGCTCCCACGAGGAAATAATCGGATTAGCACACCTCTCTGTGTGACATACCCGATTCTCTCCACCTCAGACCGTCCTTTCTTAACCTCCAACCTCTACAATACATACCCTTCCACCCCCGCGTCCCATTTGGGTTTTCTAAGAAGAGACAGGAGCATCAGTACCCTTCCGAGCCGGCGCAACATCGCAGCGTGCTATCGTGGAACACGACACGCCGTCCTCGAGCTAATTGCGCTTCTAGTTTCTCCCGTGGTATCAACTCCCCCGTAGCCCTGGCACGCGGAACGTGGAAGAAAAAAAGGCGACTCATCTCCGGGAACGGGCAGGTTTAGGTGTTGCGTGTGATGTTCGGGGACCCAATTGTGTAGCGCCCCCGCTTGCTTGGACACTGGGAGAGTATTATCTCACGGAGATACACGCAAGTTGAGGTGAGTTATTCCCATAACCGTTTTTTTCTTCTTTCCTCTCATGCAGGGGGCGAAGTGTACAAAGAGCCACCCACCCCAATTCCTTATCAGCTTGGGATATCCCCTCATATTACGGTAACATTAATATGCTGGGTAGGTAATTCGCACTGCCAATGTCGTCCTCGAGCTATCAGACGATGCCTCGGCATCGTAATGCCCCCGCGAGTTCTACCGGGCGCTCTTCGAGAAAGGGAAAGGTGGCTGCCGAACCGAGAGAGTTCACATCACCGACGACACTCGTTAGATACTTTGAGCCGACAGCAGCAACAGCTTCGATGCTATTATATGGACGTGAGTAGGGAGAGGGGACTTCGTCATTAGCTCAGGGGTAGGGGCTAACATCTTAAACAGAGGGCAACTCAGTAGTCGTTGCGCACCATGATAGCTTAACGATCGAGAGGCGATTTACACGCCATTCGGCAGAGGTACATCTGTTGGCCGTGGACACGCAAAGTGAAATTGGGGCAGGCCGACTGGTAGTGAGTTACGATGCGGATATGACTGCTATTGTCTGGGACCTTATGACAGGTGACGAAGTAGCACGATTTGCTTCATATGAGACTCTTACATGCGCAGCTTGGATGCGGAACGGAAACGTCGCATTTGGTATGTCTTCTTTTTTTTTTCTCTCTCTCTTTTCCAATAACAGATTCAGCCGTCTATCTCATACTAACATTATGGGTAATAAGGCAATACGCAAGGAAATGTAATCCTCTTCGAGCCTACTACGTCTGAGCACATTTCAGCACGAACTATCGACCAAATTCCGGTGACGGCTCTAGCCCCAGCGGCTGACTGTAGAACCTTTGCCATTGGGTAAGTTTCATAGTCTTTAGTCCCCTAGATCTCGTGTAACTCGTTAGGACGCCTCGTAACTAACACACATTCAGGTACCAAAATGGCTCCCTACTAATTGCAACTCTTCAGCCACGTTTTACAATTCTGCATAACCTAAGCACGTCAAGGAGTCCGTCACCAATCGTAAATCTAGCATGGCATGCCTCATCTTCTCGCCAAAAATCAGATATGTTGGCTGTGCAGACCAACGACGGCGACCTGAGAGTGTGGAGCGTGGCGAAGTCGTTCAACAGCGACGACCCTGCCAAGGTTGTAAGGATACTAAAGCGTACGGAGAATTATATCAATGGGCCCAACTGGATGGGATGGTCCAAGAACGGCCGCATAATTCAGTATTCAGAAGGGTAAGGCTCATTTTTTTACACCCCCTTTTCATGCATGCCCAATTACAGACTACGCGCGCGCTTAATTCGCATGATACTGATGATATCATCCGTTATAGGGAGACCCTCTCATGGGATGTTCGCACAAAGCATGTAACTAATGATAGCATACCGACCCTTGATCATGTCCGCGGCCTCGCCGTGTACGGGCCCGGTGCGACCTTGTTCACCCTTGGTGCCAACAACACCGTCCAGCAATTTGACCTAAACACGCCATCGATGATGGTTGCTAACGTCCAGCATCCTGCTAATGTTTTGCCACCCTCTCCGCCAGTCTCCATCGAGGAGCAGCCCGAGCAGGGCGTTGTCATCATTGGTACTTCAGAGTCGGATTCGTCGATCCCCATTAACGCCGAGATATCTGAAAGCGAGGATGATCACATGTCTCCATTCGCGAGGCTTACTCGCGGGGCGGACTCTACCACTGATACGTTTGAACAGGAGAGGTCCCGGACAGCGAGTCCTGTGTCCTCAAGGGGGCCTCCGTCTACCATTTCCATGTCATCTAACGGCTCTGGCACTCGAGGTCGATATCCGCCTTCGGTCATATCACGTGGTATGACTGAGAATACTTACATCTCTGCTGGATCTTCGCTTCGATCTTCGGCCATGCCTCCATATGCTGATAGGGACGCTTACTCGCTTAGCAGCATTAGCTCCGCTTCCATGACTTCGTCTACACGTTCTCATCGTCGGCCATCTCGGCTAAGGAATGAAGTTTTACCCAGCCCTGACGAAGCTAAGGTCAATGACCTCTTCAAGTTCACGAGGAGCCGACTTCACGATATCCCCTATAAGCACGCCATGGTGGATCAGTCTCGCCTAACTAACGATGACCTTCGTCGGCAGATGTTGAGTATTATCTTTGGGTGGAATGGAGAGATCGAAGACCTTATTCGTGATGAGATGGCACGTCATCTTCCGGGTACTCCTGGCCGTATTCTCCTGGCGAAATGGCTCGGCGATATTGACGCCGATGTGATGACGGCAACGTCAGAGAACATGACTTCATCGGACTGGATGTTGCTGGCTCTGAGCGGGATTGGCGGCCAAGCCTCCCAGCACAAGCTTGGGCGTGCGTACGTTCAACGCCTTCTAGAGAATGGTGACGTACATGCTGCTGCAACGATTATGATTGGCATGGGTGACACAAATGATGCTATTGAGATCTACATCTCCCATAAGAAGTACATGGAAGCCCTCATCTTGCTTTGCCTTTTCTTCCCCGGCGTGTGGGAGCGACAATCTCAAGTGATTAAGAAGTGGGGAGAGTTCGCTGTCCAGCATGGCCAACAGCAACTGGCGATTCGATGGTAGGTTTAACAACAACGAGGATGGCTAACAAAGCATCGCGCTAACAGTTTTTGACAGCTTTGCATGCACCGGAGTAGAATCTACTGAGCCCTGGACCTCGCCGTCAGCAGCTCAGGTAACCTTCCAGAACATCAGTGCGAGCATCCCAGAGATCCTGAGCCCTCCATTATCTCCTCCAGGCGTTAACCGTGGACCGCAACGTAGTATCGCAAAGACCTCAGCGCTAAAGCTGATCACGTCTTTTGGTGATCAGGGGAAGAAGTCGAAATTCTTTGCGAATGGCGACGGAGGTCAAACTCCCATTGCTGCGGGTGTCACACCGATAGCTGAGTCCGCAGTTTCTCCTGGTGGCCATGAGCCTAACACTGCATTCATTCGCCCCTCGCAACGAAGCGTTTACAACACCCCTGCTTCTGCAAGGCCTACTACCCCTGGTGGTTTTGGACGACAGCGTTTACCCTCAATAGGCGAGATCCCGCACCGTGACCTTCCCCGCGACCTTCTTAGCGACAGAAATATTCCAACTCCTCCTGCTGATCACGCTCCTGAAATGAGCCAGGCTCACCGGGCCACTCACTCCAAGACGCCTTCTGCTGATGACCGGTACGATGTCGGATTATCTGTCCCAAGAGCTTCAACTGCAAGCCCAATGATGATGAGGGACTCCCTTCGTCGAAAGGAACCCCCACCACCCTCACCATCACCACAGTCGCTTAATGCTCTAATGCAACAAGGTCGTGCTAGCCGAAATGGAGCCCGGGAGCGGAAGCCTGAGGGAATGGAACTGAAGATTCACTCTCTCGAGTCTGCAATGAATGGTGATATAACCTCCCCGGAACAATCTGTAGCGTCATCAACTCGCTTCCATTGGCCATCTCGCCGCCGTGGACCAGGATCAATTGCTAGCTCTGTCACGTCGAACTCAAGCGCAGGACGAGGCTACCGAGCTAACCAAGCAGGAGGTCGTGGCTTAAACGAGTATATCCACAGCTTAGAGGCTGCACAGCATTACTCCAGGAAGCAGCGAAGCCGCGAAAGCAGCCGGCACCGCCAGGACGACAAAAATGCTCGAAGCCGAGAAGGGAGCCGTACCCGCCAAGGCAACGCACGGGAACATTCCGAAGATAGGGGTAGGGGTATTTCTCGAAACTGGACGCCCAAGCCTGCTAAACACTCTCCTACCTCTCCCGTGCCCATGTCTCCAGAAGACTTGATCAACTTGAGCACTCCACAGCAAGCAGAATCGGGGATAAGCGATGAAAGATTCATGGCGATTGAGTTCGACTCCGGTGAGCGTGAGCCATCCACAGTTCGTAAGTCCAGCCAAATCCGACGAACTTCCCCTCCTCGAGCCACTCGCATCTCTAGCCGTGCTTCGAGCCGTACTGGCCGCCAAAGGAGCCACGAACGACGACCACCAGCGTTGGACCTCCGTGGTAGAAGCAAGAGCCGTGGCGATGGCTCCCTTATGAGATCTCCATCGTCCCCATTGCCAATGTCAGCTCCCATGCAGTTCTACGGGTCCGACGATGAAGGGGATTACCGAGCCGCCCTTGCTGCGCAGGAACAGTTCAGAAACCGACACAACCGAAGCGGTAACCACAGCCAGAAGGATCCGTCTTCCCCAGCTGTCTCCCGAGTTCGGGATCGATCGGAGAGTCGTCGCAGGAGAAACAAGACCCCGGGCGAGCAAGAACCGATGCCAATAGCCCAGCCGACGCAGATAGCCATCAGACAGATCCCCCCTCCGCCTCCGCCAGCACCGCAACAGCCGGCAGGTGAGGCTCGAGCTGGAGATCTGAAGTTGATTTCTGTTGAGAGACAGCTAAAAAAGGAGGCCGCAGCCCGCGAACTAGAAGAACGCCGCAAGTCCCTTGCGCGTCGTCCTTCAGCGCCCCCTATCCCTCACCCGGATGAGCTCTCCCCAATTGTGTCCCGCACGCCAGGTATCCTCGAACTGCCTCAGACGACGTTCGTACCTCCCAAGGACATGCCCATTAGGAGCCAGACCGCGGACCCCCACAGAAGCTCCCACTCGCGTAGTGGAACTGTGCCTATGATTGGCCTACCAGCAACACCGAAGGCCATGCGTCTGCAATTCACGTCAAGTAAACATGCTGGAGGCGCACCGCCAGTTCCTACTGTCTACACTAAGCCATCGCCACCTTCTTCTGGCCAGTCATCTCCCAACCGTCCTGCCAACAACTCGCCAACTAAGTCGCCACCTATGCTAGCCGAGTCGCCTAGGAAATCGTCAGATGGGTATTCGGACAAAGAGGCACCACCGCCGCTGACTCTCCTTCCTTCAACCGTGTACTCTCCCCCCTCGCGACCCAACATCGCGCGGTGCATGTCCGCCCCTATTCCGGAGGAGCACCCGCCTCAATTCACCCACTCGGCCCACCACCATGGGATGCAGGCTAGCAACCAGCCACCCCGCAGGGGATCTCTCTCGGTAAGGAAGATGAGTGCAGATGTCAACGGAGGATTGCCTGGTATCGAGGAGAAGGAAGGGTCCGCCAGACACTCGAGGAAGGCTTCCCGAGACGACCAGATCCCCCCTCCGCCTCCGCCGCCGCCAGTCTTAAAGGAGCTTCAACACCTGGCGACCCCCCCACCACCGCCCCCTGCGCCCATCCCAGGCGCCAGGCCGACCATCTACGGCGGTGCTCAGCCTGCCGGGTCCGGTACCATCGAGATCGTAATGGACGATTCGGACGACAACAACGCCGCTGCGGTCGTGCAGATCCCGGAACCTGCCCCGCAAGCCTCCAGCCCCCAGGTCTCGCCGACCTCGCGCAACGGGCACAGCCGCGGGCGCAGCTTCGGCGACCGCGGCTTCGGAGACAACAGCATCGCGGGACGCATCAGCCGGGCGGCGGAGCGGATGCGGTCCGCGAGCCGGGGCCGCACGGGCTCGATCCTCGGCAACAGGACCAAGTCCCCCGACACCGCCAGCATCCCCTACGAGAGTGTCCCGCCGCCGGTCAGCTTGCACAGCAGCGGCTTCGCCTCTCCCGCCAGCCAGCAGCTGCAGCAGTCTGTCGAGCGCCACCCCCGCGAGGTGCGCGCCGCGTACCAGGAGCGCGAGTACGGCAGCGGTCTTCACGCCAGCGAGATGATTTAGAAACTTGGATTTGGATAAGCCGGGCCGCTCGCTCCTCATTTCGAAGCGACGCTTAGATTCACAAATTGTCTTCTCTTCTTCTTCTTCCTATCTGACGTTTTCGAACTATATACGACGCATCGTCATCATCTTCTATCTATCCACCTATCTCTTCTTTTCTTGGATTCTTCCCGCATCTATCTCACTCAGCATGTAATTCGCATGGCGCCGGCGTTTTTCATCTACTATTAACTACCATTGATACCATTTTCCAAGTCTTGACTTCTTCTTTCTTTTCTTTTTATCCCGGCCGCCATCTTTTACGCATTTTGCGCATGCAACTATTTTTTATCTTTCACCCATTCTAAGATTCGACTTGGTGTTCATGTCCACCACCTCTTAATGGCAATTCTACGAGCGAAGAATCGAAACGGCGACGTAATACCTATCTATGTATACCCCCTATTTTGCTACCGAGAAACAGCCATCTACTTATTTACGACCTCTTTACCATTCCTTCTTCCGTTCCCTCTTCTTCTTCTTCTTCTTTTCAACCTTTCTTCACCTATTCACCTTGTACACTTCTACATTGTCCTCCGAACCGAGGACGAAGGTCTGGCTTAAAAAAAGAATTAGCTAGTACCCCCATTTTGCGACCTTCGGGATGCGCGCAAGCAGTTCCGAAGGCTAAAACTTGTTCTTTTTATATCCTTTTTTCTACCACCTCTTTTTCTATATTTGGGTTGGAAAACTGACGACTTTATGACCTACTATCTGGGAGGAAATACAGGATAAGAAATGACAGGAAGGCAACTTTTTTTTGGAATGAACCAAAAAATAAGGGAGGATGGCGGGGGACTGTAGAAGAACGAAAATGACAGTTTTCCCGCGGCGGCCACGGGGTTACGTTTACGGGAGCTTTTGTACACACACAAACACACACAATGAGAGACAGCAAGCAGTATATCTTCTGTTTTATCTATCTAGGTACTTTACCTACCTACCTTAACTAAACTTGACGATGATGACGTACCTACTGTACAAGAGGAAGAAGGGAGAGATACAAAAATCCCGTTGGGGGAAAGGGGGGGTTACGACACAACACGACATACCACGAACTTGAGTTTTTTTTCGCAGAAGAAGAGAAGAGGAAGAAAAGAAAAAAGTCTGACAACACAACTACCACAAGAATTGGTGCTGCCTCACGGCCATCTTTTGTTCTTCGCTTCTTTTAAACCTGCTTGCTGCTGAAAAAAAAACCAGCTTGCCGGTTAACAAGGTTAGAGCAAGTAAAGCGAAACCCCGAATATTTGTTTTTTTTTTCTTGATAGTCTGTTATTATAGTTATTATATTATTATCATACTTTATGCTTGAATTTATTTGAGTGCAGTAAATTGTTAAATATTCCATTGACCTGGAGAAAGATTGAAGTATTAAATATTGCGGGTTGTGAGTGTAACTCTGTAATTAAGGGGTAAAGAGCCGAAGTCAAAAATCTCAAGGTTATGGATTCGAATAGGATAGCAAACGCATTTTTTGGAGCACATTCAAAACTTTCAGACCTCAGATAAAAAGCCGAGAGTTTAGCTAGAATGCTTCAACTCCATTTCAGGAGTTATTGATGTGCAAGAAGATTAAAAAAAAAAAAAGAATAACGGAGTTGACAATCTCCATCTCGTACCACTAGCCCAAGTCCCCGGGTCAAACGCTATCCACCACACCATGCGACGGGGGAGATGCTCTGCAGAGTGAAACCTCCCTGAAGTATACCCTCCATTTCATAGGACCAACTAAACATCACTGGTTACCCGAGTGGATGGTTGGTCACCGCAGCATTTGCAGTGGGCGCGACCCAGGGGTTCTTATGGGATTGGGATTAGCAATACGAGAATTTTAAGCGCCTTCTAACCAAATAGACCATTACAGTCAGAAAATCTTGTTCAAATTAGGCACTATATACCCGTAGTGCTAGGCGCGGGGCTATGTGGGGCTGTACGGCATAAACTTCGGAACTTTGTATACGCTTTTAGCGATAACGGTCCTTATGCGACAATTGCATTTATTCCCTTTAATGGGATTTCAGCACTTGAAGTCTTCCGATAACTGTTACCTTGGGTCTTTTGGAAGCTTCGATAAGGACCAGCAGTACCTGAAACCTCGGGATATTTCAAAAGCTCAAATCACATCATTTGCAGAGTCCACATGCATGTATACCTCATACTTAGGTCCTAGATACATAAGCTAGCCACCTCTTCGCTGGTCCAGCTCGACACAATGTTGACTACAGCGCCTTACCTGCGCATCCGGCGCCCGTCCCCCACAACAGCCGAGTTCATCGTGTCGACCCTCCCGCCGCAGACCCTACCGGTACGCCTCGCCCTCGGCGCCGTGTACTTCGTGCGTCTGTTACTCGCTCTCGCCGTCCTGCTCATGATGTACGCCGCCCAGAGCTCGTACTACTCGACAACGCCCCTCCAGCCCCTGCTACTATCGTCAACGAAACCGTTAGCAGCGGATCTACAGTCCAACTCTTCCGCATCAGCTGCTGCCGTTGCCGTTACCGCCGCCTCCTCCATCTCCTCACTTAGCCCTGCCGATATCCTCGCCACCACGCCCATCTTCTCCCTCGCCTTCGTCCAGCAGATCCTGCACATGCTCCTCTCCTCGCGCCCCGGCTCCCTCCTCTCCAACCTCGCGACCTCCGCGCCCCCCTGGGTCCTACTCCCCAGCTCGCTCGCGGCGCTGTACCTCCTCTCGCGGCGCATCGGCGCGGAGGAGCGGCTGCTGGTGCTCCGCGGGCTGGGCGTGCAGACGAGCTCGACGGGCGGCACGGTGTTCTCGCCGCTGCAGACGCGCTTCATCCCCACCGAGAAGATCCGCGACGTCCTGATCAACGAGGCCTTCCGCGCCTTCGAGGTCCGCCACTACCTGGTGGTCGCCGTCGAGGCCGAGGAGCACCTCGTCGTCGTCTTCCCCCGCCTGCTCCCGAGGCCCCGCGTCGTCGAGAAGGTCTGGAAGGGCGCGAGGGGGTGTCTCTACGGCCGGGACGGCGAGGACGACAAGGACGCCGGAGGACCGGAGCGGATGAGACTACATAACGAGGACACCGACGGCGCGGCCTAGGAAAGTGCTGCGCCGCCTCCGCTCGAGTTGTCGCTGCTGTGTCGTAGACGAGAATGGAGACTTAGGAGCTCGTATATACTGGTTTAGAACGGTTTTTTATTCTTGCTTGGCGTATGGTTTGTGATGGGAATGAAGTTTTTGACTTATGGAATATGATACCCCGAGAGCGTTGCGTAGCTTAGTTCTCTCCAATATAGCGATATTTTATATCATGCCTCTCGCCCTTTTCTTTTTAAATATAAGGTACACCTTCTATTCAGTTCCCTCCTCTAGATCATCTGCACCTGCTTCCTGCTTCTTCTTTAGGAGTACTTCTCTCCACTCCGCCGCGTTTGCGTAGCCCTTTCTCCTAGCCTCCCTGTCAAACACTTCCTCCGCCGATCCTCCCCTCGGCTTCTGCAAGACAGGTTGGTATCTACCCGCTAAACGCTCCTTATTTCCGCCCTCGAACGCTTTTACCGTAGCCGGGACGTGTAACGGCGCCTTCGAATCCTTGCGGAGGCTGATATCCGCCTGAGAGGAGATCACGTTCAGCAGCTGGCCCGCAAGGAGCTCGTCCAATTTCCGCTCTCGCCAGTATTCCCACATGGAACTCATAAGACCGTGTGAGCCGTGTTGGTTCAGGGGGTTATCCTCTCCAACGTACACCCATTTAAGAGCGTTCTCGGGCTTCTCCGGTCTAGGAAACTTGCAGTCCCATAACACCAGGGGCACATCATCCGCAAGTTGGTAATTGGGTCTTCGTGGTTCGGCCTCGAAATCCAGCAGTTTGTCTACTATCGAGGGGTCTTCTAAACGCTGGCCCACCGAGAAGACAATTGCTGCCATGCATCGTATTTGATGCCATAGGAATGCGGTCCCTCGCACATGGAAGTAGTACACCTTGGGTAACTTCTCCTGCAAGTCCAGGCCTGCAGGTCTATACTCCTCGCTATCCAAGAACGGCAGAGCGGCCCCGGCGTCCTTCACCTCTACTATGTCACTTTCGAATATCCTTCGTTGAAATTTTACGTTAATTTTGCTCGGATCGATTTTGGAAAAGTTTCTGAAATCATGAAGGCCCTCGAACTTCTTAGCTGCTTTCCGCATAGCCTCGATGTCGAGCCAACCAGCTTTCAACTTTTGAGAGGTGTTGGCTGGGTTCTCGAGGCTCTGCGGTATCGGTGCGAATGCCGGCTGCGTGAAGAAATATCTATACTGCCTTTCGCAACAGTCGTGCCTTGCAGAAAAATCTTCCGGTGTGGTGGGACACCAGGCAAGCATCCTGATATCAGGGGGTAAGATCCTGTTCAGAAGCCTGCAGTACTGGATCTCGTCTGTGAAGTCATCAAACTCCCGCTTCTCCTCCACCTCATCGGCTTCAACGCCCGGTTCTGCTGCTACCTCGATATTTTCATCTCCTTGACTAGCTTCTGCTGGTTGCTCCTCTTTAGGGAGAGGTCTGTTACTCCTAACTCGAACAGCGATGACCTGACCGAAGGCGCTAACGCCACGATCCGTACGTCCGCACTTCGAATACTCAATGGAGTCCCAGTTGACTTCGTCAGGCTTCTCGGGGAAGATCAAACACGTCTTGACGAAAGCCTTCCAGAGCTCCTCCTCGATAGTTGGCTGGTTGGCATGTGCCGCATACTCGAAGCCTCCATATCGCTTACCCAGATACGCCAACTTAAAGGCCACGAGCCGCGTCGCATATTTTGACGGGTCGATCTTGCCAGGTACTTTCTTCTTTTTTGGCGGGTTGGCCGCATCCCCGTCTGCGGATGTAGCTGTGGTAGACCCCTGGGCAGGCTCTGACTTATGCCCGCCGTCACGGAGGTTTGCCTCCAGGTATTGGATGCGCCTTATAAGCGCATCTTTAGTCCACTTGTTATAGGTAGGATCTCTTTCGTCCATCCTATATTTCACTTTAGCAAGTTTCGTAGAAAATCTGCATTGACGCTCCAGACGAGCCGTGAAGAAAACCGATCTTAGAGATGCTTGCAGGCGCTGGTTATAACACCCGCGGGTGAAGGGTCTCATCCACCCCACGTCAGAAAAATATACAAATGACTTTTTTTTTTTTTTTTTAAGTCGGGGTATTTTTTGGAGAGGCTCTATGTCAAATATCGAATATGATTGAGGTAGGTACTGTTGTAGGTACAGCAGTACCTAAACCTAATAGAAATGAGTCAAAAATGCTCTCTATAAGGTCTTATCGATAGTAGAGTTTCCTTAAAGGCCCTTGAAGACTGCTGTAAAAGAGACTAAGCGCAATAAATTGGGGCAGCTTCCAAGGTTACCTCTCATCTACATCAAGTTCAACACTTCGTTCGGCTCTAGGTTCAGATTATGAAGTTTACAGATATCCCAAATTGAAATTACATTAATGGAAGACGCCCCAATAAAAATACTCCTACTTGGAGATGAAAAAGTAGGGAAAACGACGTTTTTATCGTGAGTAGAATTCATTATCTTTGAAATCACTGACGGTTACAAGTCCGTGCTAATGCGTGACCCAGGCGAATTAGTGGAGGAAGTAGTAGTCTTGAGGGCCATGCCCCTATTACTTTATTACGAGATATAGACCAGCCCTTCATTTTCGAAATACGAAATCGAAGGCGTGGATATCGTCTTGAATTCTATGATACTTCCAGTCCAGAAGACTGGCGGCTGCTCGAACCAGATTTGGTCTTGATTTGCTATGATATCAGCCAAAGACTGAGTCTCATCAATATGCAAAGAGTCGTAAGTAAAGTAAAGTCCTCCCCATCCCAAGATTCTCGTATAAGATATCTGATCTTGCATTTCCAGTGGATCAAGCAGGTCCAGGCCAACTTCCAAACCAGCGACTGCCTCCCCGTAATTGTCCTAGGTCTTAAGAGAGACTTAAGATCCGAAACCGATCCTAATGGCATCATATATCCCCAGGAAGGATATAAGGTGTCTCAGGAGATGAGAGTGGACAAGTATGTCGAGTGCTCGGCTGTCACGGGCGAGCTTCTGAAGCTGGCGTTTGAAGAGATCTGCAATACCGCGGTAAAGATGACTGTTGCTAGTGGTGGGCAAAGCGAAGGGGGTTGTCTAGTGCTATAAGCGTTGATAATGACCCCCTGAAACTCGGGACACGGACTGGGTCAAGAGTCCTTTTTTGAAGTTAACTGTTCTCATTGCCCATTCTCAGTGGTTTCCATAACGCCATCTCCTTGGTCACCTTCCTCGGGCTCCTGGGGAAACTGCCCAAGGACTTCGGTGACTATGTCGAGAATCTCCTGCTGCTCGTCGCCAGTGAAGCGGTCTTCCATGTCTTCTATGACGGTATTGAGGACAGGAACGTTAGTAGGACGGATATTGAAGAGCATGATACATTCTCCTTTGGTGATCTGGTACAGGCGCAGTCTCTTAACCAACTCGGGGATAGCTGCCGAATCAAATGGCAGCGGCTTCTGACTCAGAGGACCTGGCGGGCTCTCGAAATATTGCAATACCTATATCCAGTTGTCAAAATAAATTGAACGGGTTATATTGAAATTAAATCTAAGATTTACCTCTTTACGTATCGTTTCTAAGTTCGCTGGTCCCTTGCGCTTCTGGTCGTCATATTGCTTTGCTTGGTTAGCCAGAAATGTGTAAACCTCGACGTTGGTCAACACAGCGGATTGTGCTTCTAGGATTTTCATTGTGGAAGTCTCGGTGAGTCTCCAGACTTCAGGATCTGATCACACTCTCGCCTCAGATAATATAATCAATAATTTGAATGAATTATTGGGTTGACCTTTTGTGTTCCTTCTCGCGTTGTGAGATGTAAGTCAAATTATATTGAATAAATGTACGTGGGGTCCTAGATTTTCTTCTGGAAAGCTAAGGTCAGGTAGCTCCTCTTAGTACCTACCTTAGGTACCTACCTAGGTAGTTACATGGTTACAAGTAACTTCCAAGGTTGTAAGTTGGGCATATTCCCCACTATAGAGTGGATATTTATCTTTTCTTTAAGCTTTTAATTGAAACCGTCTAGATTCAACATTTATAAAATCCATTGGGATGTAATTCATCATAGCCAATCCTCTATTTTTGAGTTGAAGAACGTATATGCACTTTACTCGCCCTCTCTCCTTGCTCTATAACCCCTGAATCCTGTAACTTATCGAAATCGTATTCCCATGACCGAAGTGCAGCTTTCATCTCGGCACGGGCTGCCCTAATTGCTTTCGTCTGGTTGGCAACAATCCGTTCAGTCGCAGACGTAGGTGGGCTCAGTAGATACGCGTCCAAGCAATACGACGGATGTAGAGCGTGAGACGTACTATCCAACCACATTCAAACTTAGCATTCATGTTACGCATTTCAAATTGCGGCATGACATACCTTCCATCATCGGACACAATAGCCGAAAAGTCAGATCTCGTGGATGTAGACATAGAGGGTGGTCGTAAAGAAGATTCAATAGCGTATTCAGGTCATGTCTTCTAACATTGTTTGGTCGAGCTACTTCCATCATCCTTCACCGCCCTTTCATATATATACCTACCTGGTAACGATCGTATTCTTCCTATTTTTTTTTTTTTTTTTTTTTTTTTTTTTTTTTTTTTTATATACATTTGTTAACTTTTTAGCAATGAGCACAACTGCTGACAACATATTACTAGTAAGTTGGGAAGTTAGATCTAAGCAAAGGCTGGGCTATAAGTGTATACTCAGCACAGCTGTGTTCCGTTCAAAATTTTGAATTGAAAGATTTTCCTAACTTGAGGATTACGCGATGATATAAAAGCACATCACCGTGGGTTTACCTGGGGAGGTATATTTATAACACAAATGTGCTGTATTGTCTGAACCACAGTTTGGCGCGAGCCAAGCCAAGTGAAAGCACACTTGTGCTCTAGCAATACACTCAACCACACCATTATCGCACATTTCCTCAACAACATGGCCGTGCACAGAGGCATCGTTATATAGATGTAGGATAGATCTGCTTGTTTGTGTCAACTAGATTGTAGATGAGCAAGTGAGGTCTATTCTAGTGAACACCACTACGGAGAATTGTGTGGCGTTGAAGACAGGGGAAGGACGTTAACATGCTAATCCAAAGTCGTAAAGAGCCTACAAGCAGAATTAAAAATAGTGGTACGCAAGTTCGGCTATCTACACACACACATACACATAGTTCAGATCACAACTGGACACTACACACCTGAGACTTTGACCTGGTAAATCATTGTAGGCCTGCCCGGAGTCTCTGTAACTGGCTCATTATTCCATACAGGGGTTTGTTCTCCGTGCCACCTCCGTCAGAGCTAGCAGCAGCAGTAGCAGCAGCAGCTTTCTTAGAACTACCATCTAAGTCTACCTTACCATCACGGCGGCTGTTTTGTTCCACCTCTCTCAGTAACTCCTTATGTCGATCCTCAACCATTTTGGCCAAACCCTCAATGAACTTCGTTCTTCCTTTTTCTTCTGCTGTTCCTTTCCATACCTTTGTTAACTCTTTCAGCTCTTCTATGCGGCGTGCCGCTTTCTCTATTCCCTCAATAGGATCTGCACTTTTTGTGAGATAACCTGATATCTCCTCCCTGAGCTGCTTGAGCACTTGTTGTCCTTTCTCTTCTGTGCTGTGCGCTTCTACACCTGGCTCTGGTGCGGAAACGGAGAGGAATGACGAGCTGACAGAAAGTGCAGAAGGCGGGAACACAAACTCCATGGCTTCGCCAAACGTCTTAACCACAGTGTCCAGTCGCGACCGAACTAACGTCAAGGTTTGTAATTGACTTATATATGGCGGGTCTACGCCAGTACTATTTTGCGGAATGGATTCTAGGCTTCCAGGAGCTACCGTGTCTGTCGGTGGCCTCTCGATAGCTGTACTAGCTCTCTTTTCCTTGGTCTCGGGTTGCTCTTGTATATCTTTTGGAATAAACCTTGCTATCTCGTCTTGTAGACCATCGGATAATGCCTCCGATAAGCTTAGCGTCTCGCCGCGCAGGAGTTCAACCTCGTACGCAAGACGGCTCCCGCTTCGTAATATGTCATCGGTTAATTGCGTGAGGATAGTAGTTAACCTCGTCGTATGGGCATTCAATTGGGAGAGTTGCGTCTGAGCTTGACTAGATAATTCTGCTAAGGGGACCGCATTGTCGGTCGTTCGGGTAGCGGACGAGGCCGTAGTGGTTTGGAGTGTTGGGAGCGAAGCGTTGAGATATTCGACCGGATCGAACGATGGAGAGAGAAAACTCCGGAGAAACGGGTCGGTAACATGAGTAGATTTAGGTTGTAGAGGAGGTAGCTTTGACAGTTGTTTTGCATGGTGCGGTAATGATCGCGAAGAGCTCACAGAGCTGTTCTGTCGCCGTCTAACGGCAGGTTTAGAGTCCCAGGACATTGTAGTAGAATTTCTTTATTATAAATTATGCATAGGAAATGCCAAACTTCGACCTTGATTCAATTTAGTCAAACCTTGCTAAGAGGTTTCGCTTCTTGTTGCGGCGGTAACCAGCAATGAGCATAGGTAGGTATATAGGTATGATTTGAAGCTGCATGTATATATTGTACCCATGTGCCTTTGCTTTTTGTATTACGTAATACATATGAATGCCCACTAGGTACCTTAACTTGCGTACCTGTTGAGGTAAGGTACCTACCCTGCCGCTCCCTAAAAGTCTAGGTAGTTCCAATGCTAGCCCGGGTATTAGGTACCTACAGGTAACTTCCAAGCATGCGAAATTGTGAGCTAGGGACCGCTTAGCTTTATTGCATACAACTGGAACATCATCGTATATACCTAACCTAGGTAGGTATTTTATAAACTCTCAGATCTCAATACTCTTATCTACAACTATCTAGATTAATTAAACTGTCTTCACTGTTGATGATCTGATGAATAGGAGCAGTAGTAGCGTTGATGGTAGGGAAGGTCTCCTCGGTGAGCTTGATGAAGGGGTATAGGCCTCTGTCTTTGGTGCTGGCGATGTTGATCCTCTTCTAACACTGTTAAACCAGGTAGGTACCTACCTAAGGTTGCTGTTCGGACCTGCGATAAAGAGATAGCCAGTTGGCAGTTGTTAGAGGTCCATACATTACACGCAGCGTAGGGCTGAGTCATATTGTCGGGTAAGGGGTACCTGCATTGAGGTTACATGAATGAAAAACACGTATAGGTACCTCCAAATATATAGGAAGGGACATGCTACTTATGTCATATATTACTATTCGAAGCATGACACTTGCCATATTTATCTACTCAAGACGTTTGATTGGTTATCGGATCACAGTAGAATCCTTGCAGTTGCCTGGCATACCTTTAACGCATCTACTATGCCATACAGGTATGCTATGTCAAAGGTTCGTGCTTCCCCATTCTGTTGATATAAGGCTACCTACCTTCACACCTTAGGTAGTTGCCTAACGAAGTTGTACGGCAGATATCTTAAGAAAGTTGAATTTCTATCTACTTCACACTTGCAACCCGGTGTATGCATTCACAGATTTTTGGTGCCTTGCGCTTTACACACTTTACATATTCCCGCCGCCTTCTCCTTTTCTTACTACACTCCATCAAGTTCATAATCCTTCCTCTAGTATCCCCACCAAACATCTTCATAGATATATGTGATCAGTGCGTATTTGCCCAAAAGGCATCTTCCAGTGATATATTGTTGCTAACGTGTATCGTTCTAGTTTCTTACGCAGCCGGATTACAGACGCGAGGCGGCAAATCTAATGCTGACACCAATCATTCACTTCATGGGCTTCGTGGATTCATACAACCCATAACATCACTGCAAACTCTAGCAAAATCCCATCAAGGTAGCAGCACCTAACCCCCCTTTTCCTGCATACTTTATTAGACAATGAAATATATATGATCATTTTCATTCTAGATATATGCTATAAGATAATAGGGGTTGATACATTTTACTAACACTTCTTACAAAAGCCTAACGTCATCCTCTCACCACCAGGTATTACTTTACCTGGCAGCTTTGGTGAAGACGTGATGCCTCCGTCAAAGGGACAACTGAGATTTCAAGCCGACTTGAAGTCGGCAGCTGAAAAAGACGATGATCACATATCCACAATCGAGAAAGGGGATGCCGATGACGAATTCACATTCATATTTAGCCATCCTAACCTACCTGATCCCACTTGCTTTGAAATACATGCTCAGCCACAAGGTTAGTTCTCCCACCCGTGCTCCTCACTAAAGTAATTGAAGCGTCCGCCCTATGCCCTTTCTAGCTAATAAAGAAATCAGAGTTGCGAAGTTATCCGAGTGAAAACACTTTCCTCATATACACCAATGATAATATACCCCCATCGGTTGCCAAAATTCTAGAGGAATCTATCTTCGAGACGAGAGGCCTAAAAGTCCAGGACATGCTTAGCAATATCTCTCGAAGGCTCCGGGTTGTCCTGGACGATGGCGGCTCCGGGGAAGAAAGTAACGACGTTGACACGATAGATGATATACCATTCGAACTAAACAGCAGTGACGATGACATGCCCTTTGCATATGGTGATGATCTTAACGATAACTTCTTCGGCGGTGGCGCAGAAAACGTAACCAGTACACGTTTTATGCTCCCAATAGATATGGAGGAGTCACTTACACCATTGCTTCTGCAACGAATCCGGCGAGATCTTCAGTCCGTGCTTAAAGCCGGGTTTCACGTGGGAAAGATTTGTGGACTTGAGGATGGTGTATTCGAGAGCATAATATCAGTTTCTATCCGGCTGACCAAACTATGTCTCTCTAAAGAGACCTATGAAGCATGGGGTCTTAGTTCTTCGGACTACATCATTCTGCTCATCAAATCTGGCCTGTATTACACTACTTTTGAAGACATGCTTCGGAGCCCGCCCGGTCTTGCGATGGTGAAGTTCCGTCTAAGAAAGTGTTCTAAGAAAAAGCCGTCGTATCAACAGGCCCAGGCGGCTTTCACAACCGACGCTAACACATATATTACGAAAGAAGTATCACAGGATCTGGGACTATACACATTTTTGGTCAGCAAGTCAATCGATGAGCTCATGAACATTGATTTCGCATCCTTGTTGAGGTTGAGGAAGGAACCAGGCATTTCCTGGGACATGGCAAGAGAAATAAAACACCAACACGACATAAATCCATCCTTGGGGTCGAACGACCCCGCAGCAGACAAACCCTCGACCGTAGGGGGAGGTGAAGAAGAATTGATTGGTCAGGCCCAGTTACCTCCTATTCTCGCTAACGATCACATCCAGGATGACGGTGAGATCTCTCTCCCACTCGTTGCTATGCAGTTTGCCTTGCGTCGCCTGGTTAGGTGTACAGACTACTGTACTATATGTCATCGCAGAGTAAAGGGGAACTTTGAAGCTCTGAGACCATACGTCTGCAGCAATCCCCTCTGCCTTCACCAGTATATGAACATAGGTCTAGGCCCAAACATAGATTTTGAGATACGAAGCCAACCTAAGGTTGTCGACCTCCTAGTTAGCCTCTGCTATACTAGCCTACATGCCTCATGGTCGGCAGGAAAACTCTTCATGCGGGATTTTCCCACGGGGTTGAACTTACAAGTGCCGAAGATACTGGGGAACTACGCCACTACACATACCAGTCAAGCTCCTCTCACTCATGAGAAACAAATATCTGAGAACGCGGCGCGCCGTTTAGTGAATTTCCCTGGGGTACAACTTATAGATCCCTTGGACGTAATGTTTAACTGGGACAGTTCTACTGCTTTAATCACGGATGCAATGGCCGGCGTAACATTCAAAGAAGGACAGTGGGTTGTTATCTCGACCCAAATCCCAGATCTTGGAAGTACCGAGACTTCTATGACTGTGCTACATCATGCACGTGTCGTAGCAGCACCACGTGAAGCTTTGTTACCGCTGGAGGTGATGGCACGGCATAAATTACCCAGTCGTAGACCGGGGGGATTTAACCTAGTTGATGAGGACGTCTGTCAGAACGTAGGAGGTGTTATATCGGGCCATCTCGTATTTTGCGATGCAGATTTAGACGAGCTCAGTGGCGAACAGGACAAAGCTTTCTCTCTGCTAATTGTACTTTCCATCTTGCCTTCGGTCGAAGACATAAAGCGATATTTGATGAACAACCAACAACTATCCAGGTGGAGTAGAATGTCACGGGCAGCATTGGACCTACTAAGATGGATCATAGCTTCAAATAGGTCATATATCGTACAAGTAGACGATGAATGCCCTACGGGTTCTCGCGCCGCCCCGCCTCCTGACAAAATTTACGGCGTTGATGGTTGGGTTCAATTCAGATTCGCCCAAGGGTCTGTGGAGAAGGAAACCCGCTTTAACGAGGTTCTGAAAACCATCAATAAACCCCAGAAGACTCTCGTTGCTTGGCACGGGAGCCCCGTTAAGAATTGGCACAGCATTATTCGGCGGGGTTTAGATTATAAAGTCACGGCCCATGGTCGGTCTTTTGGGGATGGAATCTATTTTGCTAGAAATTTTCAAACGAGTATGGCCTACACCGATGGGAATGCTCAAGTAGGTGTAAGTATTATTGCCTCGATCTTTGTGTCATATGACGACTATTCTGACCACCTCTTAGGGGAGCTTTTGGCCTAATTCCTCACTGCAGGTTCAGACCGTTATGAGCTTGAACGAACTGGTCAATCTACCCGAGGAGTTCCAAAGCAACGCTCCTCACTTTGTAGTGCAATACTGCCATTGGACTCAGTGCAGATACCTTTTTGTCCAAACTGCAGTAGCGGATAATTCCGGCTCTCAACCCTCAACTACCGGCGAAAAGGCGCATGCTGGGATGCTTGAGTTTGTACAAGATCCCAAATGGCCAATTATCGGCCCTCGGAATAGCAGATTATTCATTCCAGAGTGTGCGATTCCTTCAGCGCGGGATAGACGCAGCACTTCACGGGTGCTGTTAGCAGATGATAGGGAAGAAGCCGGTGACACCGAGCTGGTCAGTAGCGACGAAGATGAAGAAGATATAGCATTTCTCTCTTATGAGGAAGGTCATTCTCAAAAGGGCCAGGGATATGAGACTGATTTCCGTCCCGGGATGCTTGATTTCTCGACTCTTCCGCAGCTACCCCCTCCATCCTACGCAACTAGCATTGCCCAAAAGGCCCTCGGATATGAGATAAAGAAGCTAGAGAAGATACAGTCCACAACACCTCTCCATAAACTAGGTTGGTATATCGACTTCGAAAAGATGAACAATATGTTCCAATGGATTGTGGAGATGCACTCCTTCGATTCCGACCTCCCGCTAGCGCAGGATATGAAGAGGGCTGGCCTGAATAGTATCGTTCTAGAGATGCTCTTCCTCCGCGAATTCCCCATGTCCCCGCCATTCGTGCGTGTAGTTCGCCCCCGTTTCCTCCCATTCGCCAGCGGTGGAGGTGGTCATGTCACGGCAGGAGGAGCCATGTGTATGGAGCTCCTGACAAACACAGGCTGGTCGCCAGCGAACAGCATGGAAAGTATCCTCCTGCAAGTACGCCTAGCTATCTGCAATACGGACTCTCGGCCAGCACGTTTAGAGACTAAAGACCGACGTAGTATGGACTACAATATCTCTGAAGCGGTAGAGGCGTACATCAGAGCAGCAAATGCGCACGGATGGGATATTCCCAAAGGCTTGCGAGAAGCAGATGCTTCTGGTTTTACTTAGTGGTCAGTCCTTAATATTAGGTTAGCATTAAAGACTGGACCGAAATTTTCAATGCATACCACAAGACGGTAGGCGTTACGAATCCAGCCATATCCTGTGCTGTTTCCATACCTCGCATGGCTTTATTTGGACCGTGGTGTTGAATCTTGATCCTCTAGGGTAGCTTTCTTCATAAACTACATGATATATCTGAGAATTCAGCCCGTTTTTGTCGACAACGCCGACAAATCAATTTTGTACAAAGTGTAGCTTAACATTTAGCTGTTCAGCAATCAAGGTGCTTCATATCTTCGTTTATTCCTAGCAATACGGAGAAACAGATTCATAGTCGCCCCAGGTTATATCGGTATCCAAGAAGTAAACGCTAGCAACCTGTGAAGTAAAATTAGGTACTTAATGACTTGAAAAATAGCAGAAGGTGGTTGATTTTGAACATACCAATAATCTAAATCTCGATTTCGACTGTGGCCAACCTGGTTGTACTACGGGTACGCCTTTTTCGAATATGTTGTATCCCTTGGAATTTTCCGCCAACCTCTCTAACCCCTATTCGCCGCCCAATATAAAATCAACTTCTGCAATAGCTTAATTGCAGAGGCAATGTCTATTTTTCTAAAAATCATAGAAATAATCAATAAAGCTCATCATGTCAAAATCGTTCTTAAACCCTACAGCCATAGCCAGGTCCGGCTACGGCGAAGACTACCTCTTCGAACTCCTACAACACAATCCCATACTACGGCGAGCGATAGTTCTGGCCTTGACAGTGCTTTCGCTGGCGGCTTTTCTTGCGGTACACCGGTCAAAGGTTAGTGTTTACCTAGGCACCTTGCTTATGACGAAGAGAGAAGAAAAGCTAAGTAAAATTACGCAGCTGCTCGAGTATAACTGCCAGTATGCCGATTTGCCTCAGTGAGAATTAAGAGGTCTAGAACAGCCAGTGAAACAGCACTTCGTGGTAATAGCAACTCCGGCGAATATCTCTGGTATTGCTAAGGATGATAGGTGGTTGGGAAGTTAGGCTTTGAGGCTGTCGGATTTCTAGAACGATGGTGCTAAGACCGAGGAACCTTTCTTGAAAACTACCTAGGACCTTTCTAAGGAGTAGTTAACTTTCATAACACTTTCATAACTTTAAACTTTACATTTCGAGATTATCCTAGTTTGGCAAGTGGGACTGATCTGCAAGCTCCGTCAGGCGTCACCTGCTCAGGTGCTCTCATACAAGGTAAGGTAGTACGTAAGACCTGACGGCATAGGAGGTACCTGGTACCTATCAGAAGGTATGGTATGTACCCCCGTACCTACCGATTCCGCTAGTCGGAGAGGTTTGAGCAGGGGTCACACAGCAGGTGTGTAAGTGAAATAAATCGGCTTGCGACTATCTAATCGATCAATCCTGTTGTCGACCTGCCTACCGTACCTAACTTAACCTTTTTTCCTCGCACCCATTAAACAATTGACAAGACACGCATACATTCAACAATTGTCCTAACCGCAGATTAGGTTTTAAACCACTACTGCCTTACGTGTCTCTCGTCATAAGTTGAAATCTGTCCTCCAACCTCGTCCAATTTTTTTTTTTTTTTAAACCTTTCCCATGTTTACCCAACACCGCAGCAAAACTTGACCTTGAAGCGGTTTACCACCTTCGCACCTTGAATTACGACTCTTTTCATACAATTCAATCATCTGCTTTATATGACCTTCTACTCCTTACAATTTACCCTTTCAAGGATTGAAGCTCTTACCTTACAATCTACATTATCTTTCTACTCTACAACTCTACAAAAAAAACAGTTATTACCGGTTTCTATTCTTGGCCTGATTAGTTCAGAATGGCCGCAACCGAATCCATCCAGTCGTCAGCTTTGGCGGCTATTTCCACCAAGACCACCCGATCGTCTCCTCCTGCTCAGTCCAAACGCGACAAGAGGCGACAGACCGTTAATGACCGTCTAGCTGTCTTGGCTGATAAGTTCAGTCGTGACAAAGACAAACACTACCGGGACGAACTTCATAAAATCCAGATCGACGTCAACCTCGTTGGCCGAGTTGATCCCTACGCTGACCGACCTTTGGACGCAATTGATCGCGAGTACCGAGAAATACAGCAAGCTACGAATGCCCAACACGCTGCAAATTCTACCAGTAATGGTAGCCCTAAGCGAAGTCTGCTCGAAATGGCGGGCCCTACATTTTCCGAATGGGTTCACCAGATAGAAGATCTTGTTGAACACCGCGATTATGAAATAACTAGCCACAAGGTATGCTCTACAATCTTGCCAAGGTATTCTTATGACCAGAATCTTACGAGTTTTTGTTTTCTAGATGGAATACGAAAGAAAGCTTCGTGAACATCAGAGGACTCACGCCTACAGAGTCGAATTAGCCAGGCGTGAACATAAGACTCTCTCGAACACTCTTAGAGATCGGTTGATCAATCTAATCACCTCTAAGAAGTACCGATTGGGCAAAGAAAAGGAAGCCCTAGATATTGCCGACGGTTCTGCTCTTCTTCTACACCCGAACCAATACAGCCTCACCAACCCCGCAAGCCCTGGCGGAACCCACGGAAAGCGAAATACCCGACTCCGGAGAGAGATGGAGGAGCTCCCCGGTTACTCAGATAGCAAAAAAAGAAAGCGAAACGGTGGTGATGATGAGGGTTCGCCAGCTCCCAAGAGAGGAGCCCTGGACAGTTCCAATACTACGCCTTTCTGGTCGAGTGAGAGGGTCAGAAACCTACGCAAGGAGACAGGTCCAATCTACAGCATTGATAAGCTTTTCACCGACAAAGAATTGGCTATGACCTATAATGCTGCTGCCCTAGCAGCCCACAAGTATCTCCTGATACGCCGAGACACGAATGGCAATATCGTTACTCCCGACGAGAGTGTCGCAGACGGTAATGACAACGACGACGAACCTGCTGCAGTGGCTATGGAACGGCAGCCCTCTCATACCACACGAAGTACTCGAGGTGGGCAAGGCCAACCCCAGAATCTTTACGATGAACAAGTTGGAATAGAAGCCTTGGCCAATTTCGATATCCCAGGAAATCTCGATAAGGTGTCTGGCTCAGAGCCTAAACTTCCTCCTCTTACTCATTCACAGTACTCGAAGGCTTATAGAAGAGACGAGTCGAATACACCTCCTACCTTGAACGAAAGCGACCGAGATAGAGATCTTGCGGTGATGAAGCTGTTCAAGTCATATCAGATCAAGCACGGTGTTGGCGCCAACCTTGATGTTGATAACGGTGGTCGGAAATTACTTGAGTCTATGACTGCGCCGTTGCAAAGTAGCAAGTACGTACCATATACTCAAACCCGGAGGACTTTCACGGATGAAATGTCCGAATCGTTGGGCATCCGGGACAGCGTTATGAGAGGCGAGGCCACAGGCGCCGAGCAGGAGAACGGCGGGAGTGCTAGAGATTTTCCAGCCGTGGGAAAGGATTCCGCATCGGGGATTCCGATGAGCAGACAGAGTAGCCTGGGAGGTGTTGCAATGAGTCGATCGGGAAGTGCACGAGGCAAGCGGAAGGCCTAAGGGCAGGAGTTCCTTTTGATTTCTCCTCTGGATTCATTTTCGTTTTATCATGTATCATGGCAGAGATCATACGGCTCAGCGTTATCATGTGAGGTGGATACCCGTAAAAATTAGGGTGGTTTTTTTTTTTTATTTTTATTTTTTTTCGTCATTCAGGCTAGATAAATCCTGGAGTCCTACGGGAGAAGCGGCGCACATGCATAGGATATATGTCAACTAGACATATCCCGGATCGCATAGGATTGGTACCATCCCACGAATAGGCGTTGGGAGGGGGAATTAGATTTGGATTTCACTACAGATAGCGGTCTTTTTCATAAAAGTAATGTTGAACGATACCATTATTAAATGCCCTACCAAACTACCTAACCTAAATGTCTACCTAACGTAAAGTGAACCGTAACCTTGTGAAATATTTATTTTGCACCTGTTACATCTTTTTTAAGGTCCGAATACTAGTGCCCGTACCTCAATACTCTCCCTCCCTTCCGCATCAGGCCTCGTCCTAGGGTCCTCGAAAGCAGTGTGCGGCAGCCGCCCACCGGCCACCCCGGAATTCTCCTTGGTCCCCTCGCTATCGAAGCACTCGAGCAGCAGGCGCTCGTCGCCCGTCATGCCGCTGAGGTAGTGCCACTTCTGGTTGGGGTTGTAGGCGATGGCGGCGGTCTGGCCGACGTACCCGGTGTTGTACCTGTGCTCGACGGGGATGACGTCCGCGTCGTCGAGGGTGGAGCTGGACGCGAAGGCGAGCGGCGTGGCCTCGACGGGGTTCTCGTTCAGGGTGCGCCAGACATTGACGATGCGGTACCGCCCCTTGAGCAGCGCCTCCGCGTCGTCCCCCATGTGCCGCCGCACCCGCTTCTCCGCCGAGTACGGCGTCTGGTCGATGTGCGCGAGGAGCACGGCGCGGCGGGGCGCGGCCGGGTCCGCGCGGCGGATCGTGTGGTCGAAGATGTACACCCTATGGCTGCCGGGGATGCTGTCCAGCAGCAGCTTCTCCACCTCCGGGTAGTACCTCTCGGCGATGGAGGCGTCGTCCGTGAACCCGGAGCCGGACCCCGTCTCCTCGGCCGACGGCGGCAGCCCCTGCACGATCTGGAAGGCGTCCTTGTCCAGCGTGTACTCGGCCTCCCGCCCGCGCACGTCCGCGATGGTCACCTCGTGCGTGTCGATCCCCAGGTTCCGCTGCGGCTGGCCCGCCGGCGGCGCCTCCACGTAGTTGAAGGCGACGACGCCGGGGGCGGGGCGCTCGTTGAAGTTGATCTTGGCGGTGACGGGGCCGCGGGGCACGGTGCTGGTGGTTGTGGCTGTGACGGCCATGGTTTTTATTTTATTTTATCTTTATGGTATTTTATATTTTATATTTTATCGTATGAAAAGAAGGGGTGCTGGGTGTTAGGTAGATGTTATAGCTATGAAGATATATATAGAAATTAGGTACGAGTATATGAAGAGCAGGCGTGCGAAGATGAGTCCTTCAAGGGAGAAGAGGAGCTTAGATTGGGAGAACTTGATATGAGCTGGTGGTAACTATGGAGACGTCTTCCACTTCAACTTTGACGTCGGGGCTTTAATTTATATATCCTTATAAGTGTTAGATGTTAGGAGAGTAGGTAGTACCGTCTGGCTTATCTGATCCATCTCTTGCGTTCCGCATTTCAAAGCAATCGAACGATGGAGAAGAAGCTTAGAATCACGTCATTGTCCTTTTTGGGGAAAGGGACCTACCCGATTATTTTAGAGGGATACTTGGGGGGACAGGTTCGGGAAGATAGAGTTCCCCTATGCGCATTGTTTCTTGTAATCAACGGATAGACAGGCCATCTTATGTCGGATATAGGGCGCATAGGTACCTACTGTATTGTACTACCGGCATGGGTTAGGTACAAGTACCTAAGGTATTCGCCGTTCCATAAGTGGTTATATTTGCCGCCTTCTACCGCATAGGTATGCGCTTCGATACAAGCAAGGTTGTGGCTTCGATGTCCCGAGCACGCAATCGTCCTTGCTGCCATCTTGGGATATTTATATCGAGCCGAGGTTTTCCCTAATGCCTCCATTTGGGTTGGTTGTAGGTAATGTTAAACGTCTCGGACGATGACGTTATGAAAGGGTTACTAAAGAGTATAATTATCCAATTAAAGGTAAAATAGCCTTGATTAGAAATAATTGCTTAGATAAGAACATTTAAACCGAGGGCCCCCCGTGTAGGGGACCACAAGAGCCCGACTTTAGGAGCATATCATAGTCATTACATAAGGTAAGTACTAATGTATCTTTCTATTTTCATTTATTTTCCTAATTGATCAAGTTTTACTCTACTTTTAGTCTTCCCAATTTGTTAAGCGAGAATTTCCTATTTGAGTAATCCTTCTTACTACATTCCGACACAACATCCCTCCTAAAGTCGGGCATAAATCGTATCGGGATTTAGTTTATTGAAGTCGGACCCATATTATTATACCTTGGCTTCTGGATCTTTTTAGATCTTGTACCTTCGGGCTTAGCGGCAGAGCGGTAGAGCGGCTTTCTTTTGAAATTGCCCCGCTAGGTCTTGTAGGTACAGGTACTTGCACGTGTCAGTGCGTTTAGGTACAACTTACTTGTACCGCTTGTATCGTTCCTGTCAGCCTTGCCCAGCCTGCCTCTTTTAGGCCCCTTTACATACGAAGCCTATGAGATCGCGCTAAAGTAAAGTAATTCAAAGTAAACAAACTGCTCCTTTTGGGTTTTCGGTAGCAGTTAGGTACCATCCGGCGCGTACCTATTCTGCGCATCCTCCGTTATCCTTGCACATATTGAAACTTTCACAACTACTACCTAGTAGGAGTTTTCATTCAATACCTACCTACCTGTAAGGTAATACCAATTGCATCATTCGGTATCTAAGGTAACTACCTAACCTCAGGTACTTACCTTTACCTACCTTACCCAAACCTAACATCATAACTATCGCCATCGTTGCCCATTATCATGGATGAGTCGTTATCATCTCCTGACCCGCTAGGCGACGAACCTCCAAGCTCGGCATTTCCATTTACGCGCCGCGCGGATAATAATACCCTTACGCACCACGACCTCTCCGCGATTTCTATTCCTAAGAGTCAAATAAGAAGATCATCACCAGTGAGGAATTCCCCTAGAAGGAGAATCTTCGAACTCGATGTTGGCAACGAGCTCTCACCAAAAAAGATACTCGTCACGGTTGAAGCCGAAGAAGCTATGAGGCGGGGTATTAACCGAAGATTATTTCAGTCACCACATCCACCATCTTCGCCTATACGAGGCCCTCGCCGTAAAGAAACTGTTATGACTACCACCACCATACCCCTTAACGATGAGATTGAGAATGAAGCAACTCCGCGACGACGTGGCCGACCGCGCGGCACCGGCACCGGCAATGGTAATGGCACTCCGATGCCGAGGGGGAAGAAGAGGGCCGCAACCCCTATGAAGGAGACTCGGCGCACGCGACAAAAGAACGACCCGGAATCTGAAGCCAGCTTAGTAGATGCGACGCCAAAAGGGCCTCAAGTAGATTCGGTCGCGTCGAAGGCAAAGGCGAAAGTACGAAAGACTCCTAAGAGCAAGTTAACCACAGAGGTTATACCGTCGTCGCAAGTCTCCAATAATACGATTAAGAGGAGACGTGGACGACCGCGAAAAGCCCTAATGCCCGAGGAGGATGCTGTACTAGCAGATACCGGCAATATATCAGGAAAGGGTGTAGCCAGCACCAATGCCGCCCGGTCTGCATTCGATGATTTAGAAAACCTACCGCCGCCAAGTCTAAGCTCGGTTCCAGATTTGCCTGGCGAAGAAGAAGGACGACAAGTGACGACTAGCGATAATCTTATCGATGATATTCTGGAGGCGAGTGGAAGGACACCGACGCCGAAGAATATCTCCAACATATATGAGACGAAGCGCACAGGGCGAAATCCGGAATCAGAGACAATGTCATATCAAGGGGAGCCACATGATAGTGATGACGGTATGGATGATGGCTACCCGGCATTGATGGAGACTCATAGCGATGTGGAGTCGGATTTGGATAATACCGAACAGATACCTCACAGCGGACAGGACACACTCGCACACGCCTCCGACTTCAGCATGATCGCTGTGGAATCCCTCCCATCCTTCCAGGCGAATAGAAGTGCCTTCCTTTCAGATCCACCCGAGATGGGCGAAGAGACAAATATGATAATAAACCAGACGCTAGAGTCATGGCGAAACAGCACCCGAACGGAAGCAGACCATTCATTAGCACAATCTACCAGAAGTCATGTACCGGCAGAGGAAGATCACTCTGGCGTACCAGATCGCTCAGGGATGGAGGCAAGTGACCGCAGTCCAAAGGATCGAAAGAGGAGCCCAAGAAGACAAAAGCAACTCCCATTAAGCCGACAAATTTTCGCCGGTAAAGCGCCTCATGTGGACGATTCCTTTTCGAGTCTTCCAGACAGTATTCTCAAAGCAGCGACGCCAGGACGTCTACCCATGAAACTGACCTCCATAGCAGAGCAGCACGGAGATACTACATATGACGACGAATTTTCGGAAATCCCGGATGCCATTCTTGAGGCTGCGACCCCTAAACCAGCAAGTCGCGTTAGGAGTCTCGCGGAGGGAAGCCATGCAGAAGCTTCAACCGTTGATGACCAAGTCAACTCTGTCAATAGACAGACAGGCTCTAATTTTGGGTCTAACAGACTACCAACTCCTGATGATACGTCGTCCTCGAATGCTGGTTCTAGAAGAGCTCAAGAAGATGAACCGGGCCCGTCTACGAGAGAACAAGACGTTGCCGGTCCCAGTTCTAATTCGGGCTTTCAATCTTCACCTCCGATTATAAATCGGCCGCGAGCAATGGATTTTGGCCCATCTCGATTGGACCAAGAAATCAATAACAATACACCAGAAATTCAGCATTCCTCTCCCCAACTACCTCCTTCTGCTAAAGCACTTACGGAACCCCCTAAGGCATTAGAGCCTCCCCCTCATAGCAGACCATCGCTCTCGCCGATCGTACGTGTTGGACGAACGCTCCAAGATGTCATGTCAGACAGACCATCCCCTGAACGGCGCGAAAGCAGTCTTGGAAGTCCATTTAGAGGATCGACTTCGAATGACCCTTCGCAACCTTTCCCTTTGGATCAATCTGGCCAATCATCCTTGTCTAAACCACCCAGTCGACATGGTCGTAGCGCTTCAGCTCAATTCAATCCCCAGTCTTTGTCTGGTCCTAGTGCTGCTCTTTCTCAAATTCGGAGATCCAGCCTGTCTCATGGTCAATCGTCAGCACAAGGTGAGGTGGTTGGTAACGTCTCAGCCCCGTTTGGCCCAGCTATGGGCAATAGGTCACAAAGCGGAATATCAAGGAATACTAGATTTGACACTAATGGCCGAGCGCCGGAACTAAGTCGTTCATTCGATCAGTCCGTGTCTAACTCAGCTAGGACAATTCCGTCAAGTGACAATGGAATAAACTGGGCCGCAGACGGTGATAATCATCAGCAAGATGTGAAGCAAAGCTCAGGTTCCCAGCCAACACGTTCCCGGAGCCCGAATATGTTTACTACGCACGGCTCAAATGCAAGCCGTACAGCAACCGAGGCTCCGAATCACGAAGTGACAGAGCAGCAGGAAAAAGGATTCGAGGAGCAGGGTGATAGCGCGCTAGTAGACTACGAGGCGGATGATGGTGACCTCTGGGATTTCGAGGCATCAAGGGTATCACCTAGGAGGACAGAGCGCACGCGACGCACAAAGGTTCCAAGCCCCTGGAGAAAAACTAGCAGACGTCTCATTTACCGCGAAGAGATTGCAAGCCCTTCTCAAATAGAGATTGAGGAGAATCCGCAGAGCGAAACGGAAGATGCGCCACAAGTGCGACAAAGACCACGGGCTTCAGATGCTCACTCCATACTACAGGGATGGAACTCCGAGGCTACTCGCATTATTGAGAGCTCGTCTCCCGAAATCGAACAGTCAGTTTTGGATCCTCGTCAGGATGTCCAGGGCGTCCAGGAGGAGCTAGAAGCCCAAGGAGAGCCGGAAGAGGAGGAGGAGGAGGAGCAAGAGGCTCGAGAATATTCAGAAGCACGGGAATTATCAGCAGAATTAGAAGAACCGGAAGAACCAGCAGTACAAGAAAGACCACGGGAAGAACCGCGAGAGCCTGTAGAGTCCGCGAAGAGTGTGGAAGCCGCCGCGGGGCCCGCCGAAGTGTCTGAGTACTCAATGGTAGCAAAGCAGACAGGGGCTACCCCGGGGACTCAACAGAAATCTAAATCTCGACTATTCGGCGGCTTTGATATATTGTCTTTCTTCTCATCGCCAGCTATATTACCTAAGAAGACTCCCGAAGCAGGGGCGGCAAATACAAATAACGTAGTCGAAAAGGTTCCCCAGCCTATATTCCAAAAACTCACTCATAAAGAAACGACAAGTCAGCCCCCTAAGGAGCCGCAAAAGTCGCTTTGGTCTACAGGGCTCTTTTCTTCAATCCCCCAAAAGGAATCCCAACCGAGCCCAGAACGACGAACTGATCTATCATCTCCGGCACCTCCTTCGCAGTCCAAAGATACTATGCAAAATTCTCACGTCGAGGCTTCGCCCTCACCTGAGCCTTCGCCTTCTTCTGAACTTCAATCCCCCGAACCTGAATCTCCTGAACCTCCTTCTCCGCAGTCACCCGAACAAGTACCTCAGCAGTCCCCTGAGCAATCTCTTGAGAGGTCCCCTGAACAGTTTTCTGAGCAATCACACGAATCGTCACCAGAACGCTCGCCCGAAAGATCGCCTGAACAACTGTCTGAACAATCACCCGAGCCCTCACCTCACCCCTCAACACCTAAACGTCAGGTCTACCCATCAATCCAGCAAAAACAAAACTTCACGCCGCGACCAGGCCAGTCTGGTTTGTCGCTCTTCAGAAGCGGACCGGCCCCAAGCAGGAACGAGAGCAGGAACGAGGAAGAAGACGACGAAGACCTCCTTCTGCTGCCAAGTGATGAAGAAGATGAGCATGACGACCGGATTGAGCAAGATAAACAATATGAAGAAGACGGACAATACGAAAAAGACGACGAAGACGACGAAGATGAGCAGCAAGAACAGCAGGAATCATCAGTCTTGACAGATGGAACGGATTATGAGCGGTTCCCTCCAAGAGAAGTCCCATCCCGGTGGGACCGGACGCTTTCGCCGTCGAAATCGTGTTTCCGTTCTCCCATGAAGCCTACCACGCCAGGTCGGGTCGTGGCTTTTGTGCCTAGTGCGCTTTCATCCACCGTCCAGGCCGAGATTAACACCGCGAATCAGCAGAACGGCATAAGGAATAATACGGTTCCCCAAGCACCCGTTCTCCGATCCATCCCGGAAAACGCGCACGACGAAGCAACGGATTCTTCTACTTCGTCCTTTTCAAGTCGTAGCACCGACGCCACTTCTCCTACCACTACTACCAACCCTTCCACGCAGGCGCCACCACCACAAAAAGGCGACGGCAAACCCGCCACGCAGCCCTCGTCTCGCCGACCCGTCGCTTTCACCCTATCCAAGACAGAATGGACCCGCCACCACTGGGTCCGCCTCGACGAGCTGCTCCGGCTCCGATGGTACGACCCGCTCGCCTTCCAGCAGCAGCAGGAGCAACAGCAGCAGAAGCAGCAGTCGCGCTTCCAGCGCTGGTGGCGGCGCCAACCCCCCGCGCCCGACGCGTCGGACCTCGTGGGCAGGGCCATCGCCGCGCAGGGCGAGACCCTGGTCCTCGAGAGGTGGCACGTGGACGTCGTGGAGGCGTTCGCCAGGGAGGTGGGCGGGTGGAGCGAGGCTTCGCTCGCGAAAAGGGTGTTTGCGCTGGTGGTGGGGGAGAGGAGGAGGGCGGCGAGGGGGAGGGAGAGGGTGGATAAGGGGAAAGCGAGGGCTGTTGCTTGAGTACTGGTGTACTGGTACCTATGCCTAGAGTTTGAACTGAAGTTTGCCCATGGGAAGGATGAGTAGGTAGGCAGGGTTAAGAGGAGCCCCTTCTCCACAAGGACGGGAGACGGAGCAAAAGGAACAGGGGATACGATGTTTGTTTGGTAAGAGGAAGGGATATGCCGATATACTTCGCGAATTTTAAGAGGGTCGGTAACTTGGTCCGGTCCAGTCTAGTCTGGTTTTACTTCATCCATTCGTCACAGGGGAGCGAGCATGACGGACCGCATCCGCATCGCACTGACGGCGCATTATCACTGACATCGTTGGTTTATTCCTTGTACATAACATAGCATAGCCCGCAGGGCCACCTTTCGTACCTATGTAACCTACCTTGCCTAGGTACCTAGGTATGTATAGATAGGAGGTAGCTGGCGTTTTTTGGGGGGCCTAGGCAGAGTAGCCGGGCAGGATTACAATTGCATTGCATCACATTCAGGAGGCGTACAGATGTCGGAAAAGGGGGGGCGGATTGGGAAATGTATAATGTATACCTTCCGTGTAGGTTAGGTAGTGAAATTATATGGGACATTAGCCACCATATGTTTTCTGTATTAATTCAGATACCCTTCTATTCATACTAACTACCTACCTACTTAGGTACCTGTAGGAGGTTTTGTATGATTTATCGGTGATTCTTTCGCGTGTATACCTACTTGGAAGATACCAACAGTAGTAGCAGAATTCAGGGGGCGAAAGACGTGAATGAAAGCACATAATACAATACGTCCGTGATACGCATACGACTTCAACTGACACAAGTCCATGTTCATTGATATATGTACGAGTGCCATCGCAGCCTCGGCGCCGTCTTCATCATCGACTCGACGCCGAGGACCTTGCTTGGCCTGCTACTTTCTCTCTCTCCCCTCTCTCTTTGTCTCTCTACCTAGGTAGTAATATTACACCGGCCGAGTTTACTTATTTTATTTCATTTACTTCATTTCATTCGTCCCCTACTCTCCCTTCTTTCCTCGTCATCTCAGCGCGAAACTTACTTTCCTTAAGCTACTTAAAGAAAATAAGCTTAGGTAGATAAGCCCATCTCCGATATTCTCCCATCCTACTCCAGCATCGAGGCCTGGTTCGTGTACAGGACGTCCACGACGTTGCTCAGCTTCTCGATGGTCTGGAGGGCGGCGTCGTACGACTCGTCGCGCTGGGTCTCGTCGAAGATGATGAGGCAGCCGGCGCCCTGGTCGAGGACGCCGATGATCACCTTGTCGAGGATCATCTGGGAGAGCTTGCGCTCGACCTGCTGGGTGTCGAGGCCGACCATCTTGGCGATGTGCGCGATTTCGACGCGGCTGAAGGGCTCGATCACCTTGATCAAGTTCTGCTCCAGCATGGCGTCGTACAGACGGCGCAGGTGGTTGCGGATGAAAGCGTCGCTACCGAGCTCGTAGCGGTACGTCGATAGCGCACGCTCGTACTCCTCCAGAGATCGGTTCGAATGCGCCCGAGCGATGGCCTTCATGGCCTCGAGGTTCTGACCCGCGTACTTCTGCGCCTGCTTAGACGCCATCAGGTTGTTGACGTCGTCGACCAAGTTGAGCATGATCTTGCAGAGCAGCATGTATTGCAGCGCGGCGGTGGCCTTGGCCGTCTCATCCTGCGTGTGGTAGCCGTCGAGGGCCTCGATGAAGTAGGAGAAGGCCGTGTTGAAGTCCTGGTCCATGGTGTGCAACATGCCCGACTGCATGTCCAGGTTGGCTTGGAGTAAGGGAGGAGTGTAGACCGAGGCGGCACTTGTCCTCGCGCTGGTGAGGGCGGCACGGGCCTTAGAGTTGTTTCCAAGGGCGTGGTATACTCTAGATTCCAATAACTGAACCTCAACCAGCATTAGCTTGTCGTCGAGACGCTTCAACTCCCGCAGGAGACCGTTGATAAGGGTAAGAGCATCGTAGTAAGACTGCTTAGCCATATACAAGGTAACGAGTCTGGTCTCGAGGTTCTGGCGTAAGAAGCCCCGCCTCTCGGAGGTAGCCCATTCTATACATGACTTGGTGACGGCGATCTGGATATCGGTTGTGTTTGGGATAGCTTCGAAGAGGTCGAGCAGCTGACGGACTATATCATAAATAGGTCAGGATAAATATTCTTATCTTAACATTAAGAATGAAGGGGAGCTAGAGCATACCCAATTTGGCGGTCTTGGCCTTTGCGAAGCTCGAGAGGACGGTTCTGCTTGTGGTGACAAGATCGACGAGCTCTTGGGGTTTCCTGAGCATAAATTGTCAGTTTTCCAGAACACAAGGATCAAATACTTAATACTAAAAACCACTTGCTTACTTTTCATCCCGATACAACTCTCCTAAACTTATCAAAGCAGACTCATATTCCCTTATCGCGGAGTCGGAAGTAACAGAAGGAGGTTTGGATATGATTTCTTTATAAATAGCTTCAGCTTTTCGCGGGTCGGAGCTGGCAAGCGCTTGCGCCTCCTTCACAGACGGCTTCTGCGAAGCCATGTTGATTGGTGTGCGTATGTGTTCGGGAAGATAATAACTGAGACCGACTTGGATTATAGTATGGGAGAGAATGACTCTAAATTATGGGCGTTGTGGGTTCGAATTGGTGTAGAGAAGTTGATTAGAGAGAGAGAGGTTAAAGGTTAGATACCTGGTAAGGACGTCGTCTGAATGGGTAAGAATTATTGAAGGGTGGTACCGGAGTACCTAAGTACCTCCTAGGTGCAAACTAAAAGCTTAACAACCTTAACTCGCCCGCTGTTTCCCAGTAGGTAGCTCCAGCCTTGCGATTAGGTGATAAAGTGGGTACCTAGTGACGCAGCTCCAGACTGCCTGAAATGCCTCCCATTGCCCAAGTCCATAGGTACCTAGCTACCTACATGTACCTAGGTAGGTAGGTAGGTAAGTAAGGGAACGGAATAACCTACCATTCCGTTTCCTCTTCTCCCTTCTTGAGGTACCCAAGTACCTAGTTGAATAGTAAGCACATTATACTTCTCACTGCATTGCTAATATGAAGCCATTCAATGTTAGCTATGAGTAACACTCCGCGTAGGTATTAGATTGCTACCAAAAATCATTCCATTTCCCTTTTTTCTAAAAAAAAAAAAATATAAAAAAAAGTAACAAGTTCATAACCCATCATCCGTACGATCAGGTAGATATTGACACATTGAATAAGATAGGCGGCTAATATCCTATATAAAATCTCTCACCCTATCCCCCTCCCCTTTTTTTGTTTTTATTTTTTCCTTTCAGAACGAGAGTTACCACAAGCGCCGCCGATATGTTTATTGACCACGTTAAGCTTAAAAGTACCATAACTCCTATGCGTTCGTTATATACTAGATTATAGGCTATCCCTTCCCCCTAATCCTATTTTGCTACTTCAATTTCCCCTGAACTGTCATACGCTTGTCGTTTCTGTCATGACGCCCCCACCATGTCAGCTTTCTCTCTACGTCGAATTAGTACTTGGGATGCAATCATTACCTGCATATACATGAGCCTGCCAAGTGCGCACCTTGTTTACCCGGGCGTTTGTGGACTGCGAGCCGCTACCACCGGGCATGTCCACTTCCCGAACGGAGCTGCTGCTCATCGGCCGGTAAGAACCTGGCCGGGAGTAACTCGATCTCGCTGGGCCGCTATGCCTCCTTCCAGTAATATTAAACCCTTCTCCTCCTCCACTGATACGCATGCTCCCAAATCCAAAATCCCAACCGTCATATTGATGGACGCAATGCGGCTCTGTAATCTGGCAATTCTCTGTCAGGATTTTGTACGTGCATTGCTCAACCTCTTGGGCTGTTGGCCTCTCGTGTGGAGCTCCTGAAAGCATTTTTGCCACCACCTGCAGCATAGGCGCCACGCCACGGAACACCTGGTCATCCTTCTTTGATGCATCCTTAGCAAGGCTTTCCATCCACGATTCCACCTGTCCCAGGTTCTTGTGGAACGAGGCGTCCAAAACAGCTCCTCCTCGGCCAGCTTGCTTATGCTTAGCAGATCGATGCGAGGCAAAGGATCGAGTCTGACGTTTCATTAGAAAACTCAACAATTCTAGTATGACGCATCCCAGCGAGAAGATGTCCACCGCCTGGGGGTCGAGAGAAGGTGTCGGCGTGTGCAGCATAGAAGCAGGGTTTCCGTTTTCTGAGTGTCCTCTACTGATGGAAAATGTCGAGTTATCTGACGACGTTGATCCAGAAGAGGTGACGAGAGTACTTCTTCGGCTGCCGTGGCTAGTTGACGGCCGATACCACTGTTCAGGGGCCGCATAGTCGTAAGATTCTTTGTCGAAGGCAGACCTATCCGATGCACTAGCTATCGCTTCTGCGCTCAAGTGACTTATATCTGCGAAGAAGACGTGATTTTCGTTGTTGAAGAGCACTGTCGATGGTTTAATTCTGCCATGGGATAGCCCGCTCCCATGGAGGTAGCACAGTGCGTCAACGAGGCAGTGTATCCAGTTCATGAATAGACGCCGTCGATCCTGCTTAGCCAATGACTTCACTGAACTTGGCGTTGTTACCAGAAGGGATTTGAGGCTAAAATCACTTGGGAGAGTGAATAAAGCATAAACAGCACCCTGGTGCGCGTACGATCCGTAATAAGACATGATATGACCATTTTCGATATTCCTTGCCCTATCGATCTCGTAGAAAAAATCCTTTTCGCTTAGCAGGCTAGAGCCCGTTCCGATCGGAATGCGACGTCTCGAGAAGATTTCCCCGGGTCGATTTGCCAACTCCACCCTATTGACAACGTTATTGAGGCTTAACCCAGGGCGCTTATCGACGGTAAGAGGCACAACCTCCGGGTCTTCGTATACAATATAGTCGCCCTTTTCTATGAATCTAAGCAGATAGTGAAATTGACGGGAATAAAACTTCCTCTCAAGTTTATCGTCTTTGGTGAGCGTAAGCGATAGCCGTTCGATCTGGTCGAGCGGAATCGGGAGGTCATCGTCGTCCCAACTATCGTCGATAAGTCCGAAGATTTGGTCTGGGACACCTAAGTCAAGAAGAATAAGAAAGATGCGCTTCGCTTTTTCGTCAATCCATTCCCAATAAGTCCCGTCCGTCAACCCATCACCAAAACCCAGCGGTAAGTCCAGGCGATTTATCTCTTCGGGAAGGAGGTGTGAGCAGACGAACTGTCGAGTGACAGTCGCTTCAATCCGCGACGGATCCCACCACATGGCTACCATGGATGGAATGGGGGTAGCATTACACCATATATCCACCCAAGGTCAGTCCAGTTAGTGAGTATAGTCAAGCGCCGCATATAATGTGGGTTGTAAACTATGGCGACAGATTCAAATGGGGCTCAACTTTGGTGGTGTAAGCAATACAGGGGCGTAGCCCGTTTATAGGATCTACAATCAGATGCGACACGGCACCCGACCGAGGGCGGCCGTTAAAGGTGCAACACACATGAAGTAAGTCCGCACAAAGCAAATGTTGCCTAGGGGCGAGGTTTTTTTGGGGGGGGGGAAGGGCGCTCAGAGCATCTAGGTATACATCCGAGCTCCATAACTTGCGTAGTAAAAGCTTCGACCAAGCAGAAGCACGCATATGATAGGGATCCTTCGCCTTATTGCTATTGCTATTGCTAGATACTGATTACCTCGTGCACTTAGCAAATCATGTTGGTGGCCATTTAGGGCGAATATTGGTTGGCTGGGAAGTGCGTGATTGGCCGAGTCTAAGGCAATAGATAAGAGATATTTTAGTATCCTGAAGTTGATAAAACATCCTTGTAAAACGCCACTATTAGGGGGGTTGAACGCTTAAGAGGCTCTCGTGAGATGCAGCTCGAGGCGTCTGCTAATGTAATAATACCGGCCAAAAGCGGTCTCCCCGGAAAGCCCCATTCGTGGCAGCCAAGCGGGAATATATTAATAGCTGACTCGGGTCACCGACAAACCTGAGGCTGGAATGTAATAGAGACTATATGTGTGTGTGAGGTATGCATGTATGTATGTATGTATGCACGTATTTCATGTATTCGTACGCCATCACTTGGAGGCCTGCGAACTGCGAACATATTAACCACGTTTTTTTTTTTTTCGGGGGGCCATACTGAATGAAGGTGAGTCCGGACTCTGCCGGTCCCCCACGCATTTTCTACTGCAGTTTGATCTCCTCTCTCTCCGCAGCCTGTTTGACTTTGGGGGGGCACTTGGCAGCTAGAGACATTGTGACCAGTCTACAGCCAGACGGCACAAGGTACGACATGATGGTCTTAATAAAAAGAATAAAAAAAGACGATCGCTTCCCGTATGTCCGATGTATGTATATGCAGGTGCGGTCCATACCCGTCACAAGAGGAATGTGAAATATGATAGCTGATGAGCGTACATATTATCGTCGATGGCGTGGTGATGAATATTAGCATAAGATCTGAGGCCCTTGGCAAATATCAAACGGGATGACAGGGCTAGAATAGTAATCATCCCTTGAGGTGATTCTTATCTTTAAAGCCACACTTGTGGTAGGTTAGCATTAGCATGATGGCAAGTTCCGACTAGCGAGTTGGGGTAAGGTAGTGCGTCTAAAATCATGTGTTTGGTGTTGGTGTTTTATTATTGTATTATTGATATTTTTGTACTATTGATATTTTAGCTATGATAAGCTTCAAAAACTTGAACTGCGGGGAAAAGGGGGAAGGGACTTCTGGTAGGCTCCCTAGCAGCCTGGCAGCCTGGCAGCGGCTCCCCGCTTCTGACGGATGACTAACAACAATCAACCAGAGAAGGACAAGGCCTATCAGTTGCGATTTCCTTCGCTATTCAGTCCCTTTTTGGTAATTTCCATATTCTTTCCTTCCTCTCATCTCGAATTGACAAAGCCTGTAATACCTGTGTACGTCTACACGATCTGTAAGGTCACGTTCCCAGCCTTCCTTTAACATTCATGTAGGTACCTACCTAAGGTATGCTTACGGATTATGCTGAAGTCATGTTTAAAGTTTTGTTCACGTGTCTACCTCTGCTTAAACCCCACAGGTTATGTTTTTTTGAGTTATCTTCATCATGCAAGATAAATTAAAACACTCCGTAGGATCACAGTACGTAGTATTTTTTAAAAAGAGGAGTTTGATGCCCGGTGTGTATGTAAGATACCTATTCACTCCTTTTTTTTGACGGCAAGAGCAGCTTTACACCGAATTCACCATTGGATCGTATCCTGTGTAAAAGCTTGGAAAAGGAGGCTTTCTAATTTATGCTGTGCGACCATCTCATCTCGGGTATTATAAGTTGCACTCGAAAGCTATAGGTCGAATGGCGTCGTATGTTCAACATCGAGGCTGACAGGCTCGACTCACAGCTCACCAGTTGAGAGAAGAGGCTCCTAATAGGGACCTCATACGATTGGGTCAAGAGAAGTTACTCAAAATAGGTATACAGCATAGTTAACTGGAGAACCTAGAAATGAAGTAGTAGGTGATTCCTATGTTATATTGCTAACAAGGAAATTGACTATCCAGTTGTATAGGATAGGAGGCCCCTCGAAATGTTTATCTTATTCCCTACCCCTCGGCTATCTCAAAGCCTACTTGATGCAATATCAGTTATTATATTCAGCGCCCATTACGACATTCTAGGCCTTGGCTTACCTATGCCTTGTTCCAATGAAGCGTCGAGCCCCCAATATCTTGAGATCCCGGTGTAGAAATGGACGCAAGGGAAAGAAATTTTTTCTTCAGGGGAGATACATACCTGTATATTAATTGATCTAGGTATTAGAGCCACACTCCACACTCCGCACTCCTACACGAGAGATGACGTTCGTCGACCGTTAACACCGGGTGTGGGCGAGCCGGAAGTACGAACCTGATAAGCCCGCTGTACGCAGCCTCTGCATGCTGCCGCGTGGGCTCCAAAACTTCGGTGGCATTGCTAGAGGTACTCGGGCCGACCTGCCCATTTAGAGCTCGAGGCACTGCGAATATCAAATGCAGTGCAACATGCCTGATATGCTTGATCAAACCTAAGGATATTAATGGCCAGCCACAACATTTCAACATTGTGACTAGTAACTTTCGGTCTCCTTCTCCTAATTAGGACGCGAGTACGGTTTTTGCTATAGTATAGATGATACTAACACGGACAGTTGCTTATTAGGATATAGAGCATGAACCCCAGACTGGCTGAACGGTTATACAGACGTCCACCACAAAATTCGTGTACGGCCTCGGGAAAACCTCATTCACATTTCAGGAAATTCTGTCGATGATCAACTTCCTATGGGAACGCGTGTTCTCTGCGTTTTACTATACAGTATTTACCCTACACATTACTGCTGCTATTGCATCTTGACAGACTTGCGGACGCCAGCGCTCCATTATCTGGTATGTATCAGTATTATCGTAAATGTTCTCTTCCATTAACCAAATATCTTTATGTTGAATCACCCGCCAATTTGCAATTTGCGATGGATGCTAGATCAGTCTCCCATTCTTCTCGCTCGGCTGAGTCCCCCTACGGCCTATGAATGTTTTCATGCCGCTGTCTACGCCGGAAAGCTTCCGCGCAATCTTCTGGAGGCCCACAGGCAACACGTTGTACCAATCCACCCAGCGCGCGTAAAGGGGCATGCCGATGTGATCGCTTAAGCCGAGATCGATAGCCTTTATTATCTCCTTGGCAACGTCTATGGGCTCGACAACCGGGGCAATGAATGAATTAGGAGTCTTCACGCCGTGGAAGAGTGGTGTGCTTAGCTGGCCTGGCGTAACGAGAATGGTCTTGATCTCTGGGTATTCCTGCAGCTCGGCAGCTAGAGACTTGTGTAAAGCCGTCACTCCTGCCTTGGCAGCAGCGTAGTCCGTGAGTTGAGCTGCACCGAGGTGGCCAATAACGCTGGAGAGGGTTACAATGGTGCCGCCAGTGTCATTGCGAATCATCCCCGGCAGAAAGGTCTTGATGGTGTAGAAGTGCGATAGGAGGTTCGTTGTGAGACTCTTCTCAATTTCCTCTAGATCCATATCGAGCAGTTTCTTGCCAACGACCTCTGCGGCATTGTTAATTAGGACGGTAGGTGTTCCGAGCTAGAAATCAGATTAATTGAATGTGCAAATGAACCAGTAGAAAAGAATACCCACATCGCGCTCTATCTCCGTTGCAACTCTAGCAATATGTGCCTTATCTCGTACGTCGCACTTATAATAAGTAATACCGCGGGCTTCCGTACTCTCCAATTCGGTGATATCCAAAACCGCAACGGTAGCCCCTCGCATGCCATATACTTCAGCAATTAAGAGGCCAAGACCGCTAGCACCACCTGTTATTACGATGACTTCTTCGCTCAAGTCTACCTCCCGGTGCATTCCATACGCAATCTTGTGACTTATAACATTTCCCATCCATAAGAGAGTGACGAAGATAGCCCACGCAATGCTAACTACCATAGGGTTGGTGTTCCACGCTTGGTGCTCGGCGCGGAAGCAGAGAGGTATAATCCATGCTACGAAGGGATGCAATATCGTAACGTTGAGAACCTTGAGGAGGAGATCGACAGAAATGGGCGCCCACCACGATTCGCGTACTGGAGGTCGAGGATGATCCATAATATCGGAAAGATGTAATAGACACGAATGCTGGCCAGCAAGCACTTCGAATAATTACCTGCTAAAGAGGTACCTAATAGACGAAAAGAAGTTTATACACGTATTTTCGGGTTGTTCTGGGAAAGAAGAAAAAAACAAATACCTCGAATTGAACGGAACCTAAGATTGAAGTAGATGGGATGAAAAATGGATGAACCGGCTCCGTGTCCACAATCATAAGTTGAGTCCGTCGTCGCAACTTCCAGCTCAGCTTCTGAAAAGGCTCCTGGACCCTTGAAACAAATGGTCCAAGCGTCGTAAGTTTCGACTAAGGCAGGTTCAGATTGCACTTGGCCAATCGGCTGTATCTTCAGTACCTTAATAACAGGGGTCTCGCTAAGACTTTGTCAGCTTGTCAACCCATACCTAGTAGGTAACTACATTTTATTATGATTACACGAGGACCCGTCTCCTAATTCAATGAAGAATTTAATAATCTTATAAACTTAGAGGTTGTCTCAATATACTGCAAAATCGTCCTCTTCTTTAATCCTAGCCTAGCTCGTTAGGGCACTTGAAGAAGTTATCAGTTTTATGCTGCCGCCATCCGACATGCACTTTAGCAAGCATACATGTGCGTACCTCCCTAAGCAGTCACTTGATTATTCCTCTTGACGATGAAGTGAAATATCTAGAAATAAAATATGAAATGAGTATATATTTTGATCCGTTGCAAGAACGTAGACGCAACGTAGACGCAATCTATCGACGTCATGCCTGGTATCGAAGTATTCCTTACCCCTTTTAACGCCATGTAAATGCAATTCATAAATACCTGACAGGTAACCAGCTCTTTAGAAATGCAATCCGCAATCCGCAATCACTTCTCTCTCGCAAGAATAACCTTATCACGCTCACTCTTCCTCTTCTCAAATTGCTGCCTCGTGTGCTTCCTTTCATTCTCTTCTCGTCGCTTAATAGCCTTGAGCTCCTCCTTCTTGATCTCGCTTGCTTTCTTAATAACCTTCGGAAGATGTCTATGACGCTTAATTCGTCGTATCTCGGGCTGTTATCGTTTATGTTAGTACACGCTTTTATGATATAGAAATTAAAACCGTAGGAGGTACGAGCATACCATGTGACCATATCTTTCAGATAACGCTTCATTGTATTCCAGAGCCTGCCGATGTTTTGCTGATTTAACACCTTCCCGTTTCGAAGAATTTGCTCTCCAAAGACGGATATTTCCGTCATCCGATCCACTCAGGAGATACTTGGAATCAGGAGTCCATCGAGCACAGAAAACTCGCTGCATCCGTTTCGTATGATATACATCCCTTGAGTGACCCTGATCGCGGTTGAAAAGTCGAATCGTGCGGTCATACGAGGCTGTGACAAGCTCTTGTCCGGTCGGAGAGAACTCTACGTCCATCACTGCCGCAACATGGTCCTTGAGTACGTTTAACGCTCGGTCGAACTTGCGCATATCAAATAGATACACATTATGGTCTTCGCTTGCTGCAGCAAAGTTCATCGGCTCCACCGGATTCCAAGATAGCTTATTGCAGCTAAAGTTTAGGAATGTTCGTGCGAGTGGCGAAGCCGTTCGGAGATCGTATAGAATAATCGAACGGTCTGTAGAGCAAGAGGCGAGAACAGAAGTCTCACTTTGGTTGAAAGAGACGGAATTAATTGTTTCGCCAGATGAGGGCCAGCGAAGAATTTCTGGCGCAGCTGTATATTGGTCGAGGTTGTAGACGGATATGACATCGGAAGAAACCGCAAACGCATTCTTGGATCTATGAACACTCAAGCTTGTGAAGGCATTCGTACCGAGCCAGGAGTGTATAGGTGGCGAATCGTCACGGGTATTATAAGGATCGTGGATCTTTACCGACCTATCAGCAGCACATGTAAGAAGCTTCTGATCTGTCGTCCATGCCATCCCCTTCACAATATTCTCGTGGGCGGTCGTTTTCCAGACCTGATCTCTACTCGTCAAGCTCCAACATTTTATAACGCCATCACCGGAGCCCGAGGCAAATCTATCGAGAGAATTGGGATCCTTTGCCAATGAGTAAACTCCGTCAACATGTCCAGTTCCAAGCTGTGCGATGAACGGCTGAGCGAACATACGCTCCAGCTTTACGGCATTGAGGGCGCGTGTATATTCTCGTGCTCTTTCGAAGGGATGGATAGCCGGGTCCAAGTTTCGAGGCGCCTTGAAAATAGTAAGAAACATGAATAGCAAAGGGCAAGTATTTCCAGATTAGTTAGGGACTTTACCTTTGGGACATCCGACCCAGGCGGCTGATACGCCTCTGTTGAGCGGGTTAATGCTTTTATCTTCTATAACAGGAGTCAGAAATACTGCAGCAAGATTGGATGCGCTGTGCGACTTACCATAACTGCGAAAGGCGAAGATGTTGCAATGTTGAAGCTGGTTTCGCATTCAACGCGATAAGAAAAAAAAAAGTTCAAAGTTCATATCCCACTTTGCCGGCTGGTGCCATCTGTTGGCCTCCGATAAGTCTTATCGGAAATATCAGGTTCTTATCGATACGGCCGTTTTTATCTGGTGTACGATTCGTACGGTTTGCACTACATAGTACATGTAGGTTACATACCTAGGTAATTTATACGATCACTTTCATGCTCAGGTAATCCGTATAGAGCAACTACCTATTATTATTCCAACTTATGGTAACACCTTTTTCTTATGTTTAACAATCGGAAGATATGTAAAGCAGTGCAACATATCCAAAAATAACCAAATAATTTATGTGATTTGCGTAACTAGCCTGGTATTAAACTATTACTCTCACCAAAGCTATATCAACTCTATACTACACCTCAGAATGCAGCAAGCCAACAAGAAATGTAATTATATACCTAAGGTTCCATTCACAATTCTACATATAACACATTCTTCTACTACGTCATGATGCGCATAAATAGGGGTGAGTACCCAACGCTAGTGGTGTCGGTAAGAAGCGAATGGTACCTACCTAATAACTGGCTCTGTGAACGGCCAAGCTGCATGATTGTCCAGCTCGCTTTTTTGAACATTTAGTCTAAAGCGCTAACCTAGGAAGCTCCCGACATGCTCGGCCCATCAGAAAAAGTTGCATATCGGACCCGACGTGTACCTCTATGTTGACAATTCGGATCTAACCTTATTCCATACGACACCTGCACAACCTACTGCTCCAAGTAATGCATATAGATCTGTGCAACGCCCAGATGTAAGTCTCTCCAATAGGTATATCAACTGAATAATGTATCTGAATAAACCGTGCATCTGAGTACACCCGAGCAGAAAGTCTGAAACACGCGACCTCACGATAGGATGAACCAATAATGATGTAACAACTAGAGCCGTTTGCAGCAACGTTTCACCTTTGATTAGTATGGCCGGAATGCTCGAATGTTATAGCATACGCGTCTACGGTTTTACTACCTAGATACGTATGCCCGAGTGTGTTAGTGATATAGCACTAGATAATCGATGGGAGCCGGTGGGAGCGATCTTTCTAAATTTTCTTTTCGTCAGAACAAACGACAGGGGGGTTGGTCTTGTCGATCGATCCCCTCTTATCCTTGATTTCCGACTTTTTAGAGGAGGCCCTAAATCCCTATCCAGGTATGTAGTGGCAGGCTTCCCCAAAATCAAGGTAAATAAATCTCGTATGTACCTAGGTACAATACGTACAGTACTTACTAGGTTGCTTTTAGGAGCAGGATCCGCTTCTTCGATTGGTCAACGGGCGGTAGTGCGTTTGAAGGTATGTAGATACAAGCTGGGATTCACGCCTTGCTAAGAGAACCTTATTAGTTGAGAACCTACGCTGCGACGCTATTATATCACTTCCATATTTCTTCTCCGGATTCTTTAACCTTCCTCCCTTCTCCCCACTCTTCACCCTCTTCACCCATCCTGTCTTATCCATATTCCACTTTCGGAGAGGAGTAGAGACGTGAGGTTTGGTCGAGTCGAGAAAAAAAAATTCGAAAGGGGGAAATCCACAAAACATTCGTTTGTCCATTCGTTGCTAAGTTTGAGCTGGAGCGCATTCGTTTAGACTCTGGGGCATTGATCCTCTTTCTGGCCTTCGTTAATCAGAATTCATCCCTAACGACTCGACTCACACTCGTTCAACAATTGTTGTTATTCAACTTTTCCAGTTGCCTCAGAACCGTGGAGGATTCCCTTCCGGTTTTTTAAAAGTAATTGTCAAAACCCATAATTCGCATTATCTTCGCACAATTGCTACCGATTCGAAACAATGCACTCTTCGCTACTTCTAGCGCTTTGCAGCGCTACGCTATCATACGCCATACCGACAATTGAGGCAGTCGGTGGCAAGTTCTTTACAAGCGATGGCGATCAATTCTTCATCAAGGGCGTGGCTTATCAACTTACCGAGAGTAAGTTCAAACCGAAACACGCGCGATCTATCAAACTAAGTTGTTATCCAATGCTGACTTGTATTCAGAGGACCCGTTGGTCGACGCCGAGCAATGTAAGCGGGATGCCTCGCTCATGAAGAAACTAGGTGCCAACACTATTCGTGTCTACCACGTCGACCCGGAAGCGGATCATGACGGTTGCATGTCTACTTTCGCCGACGCTGGCATCTATGCTCTGGTAGACATGGATACCTTTGATACTTACATCTTACCCGTAAGCTTAAAATTTAGCAGAAGACTTATATAAGTCTTGCTTCAAATTGACGAGTACTAAATTGCTTTAGAACGATCCTTGGTGGAATCAAACTCAATTCGATGCGTATTCCAAGGTTATGGATACGTTCCATGACTACGACAATCTCCTTGGCTTATTCGTGGGAAATGAAATTATCGCCATCAACAATCAGTCGCTAGCCGCACCCTTTATTAAGGCAAGCGCCCGCGACCTAAAGGCGTACAGAGACTCGAAAGGATACCGCAAAATCCCTGTTGGTTACTCTGCGACTGATATTGCTGAGCTTCGACCTTGGCTGCAAGACTATCTTACCTGCGGTGGTAATGCGTCCGAGAACATCGACTTTTACGGTTTGAATTCGTACCAATGGTGCGATCCTACCGATTATCAAACCTCCGGTTACGCCAACCTCCAGGAGCAGGCCAAGAACTTTCCTGTACCTATTTTCTTCTCCGAGACTGGATGCAACAAGCCTGGCCCGCGATTGTTCAATGACCAAGATTCTATTTTCGGTCCTGAAATGGTCAATGACTGGAGCGGAGCTATCGTGTACGAATGGATCCAGGAAGCCAACGAATACGGTTTAATTTCGTATGGTCCCAAGGTCGATCCGACTGTTACGGGTAAGGATATTGTTGGTGGTTTCACGCGTGCAGGCACCCCAACACCTGTCAAACCTGATTTCGATAATCTGAGCAAGCATTGGGCCACTATTACGCCCACCGGAGTGGCTCGATCGGAATACGATACTAAATCGGTCTCGACACGTGCATGCCCAACTTCCACTGCCAGCGGATGGCTTGTTAATGGTAACGTCGCTGTGCCAACCTTGGGAGAAACGCTTACCGCCAGTTCTTATTCGTCTGTTCCTAGCGCCACCGGTACTGCTGCCAGTGCTGAGCCGTCAGAGACTCAAAATGCCGTCTCCGGGTCGAAGGAGATTGCCGGTATGGGTGCAGGTCTTGTGGGTGTAATGATGGTCTTCACATTATGGCTTTAATCCGACTTCAATTCGACAGAAAGATTTTAGAACTACAACTTTTTCAATCTTGACGCTCTGTTACGCCGTGCTCTCCTGCGTCAAATCCCCTTACAAAGGAGGTTCTACAGCCGGCGTTATTCGTCAAGTACCACCTAATTCTTCCTTTCAGCAATACCGTTAAGGAAGTTTCTTCAAGACATCCGCAAGGCATTGTACACGGCGTTTATCGCCTTGCGTTGGATAGCTCCGGGCCGTTACCTAATGGCCGACGTCCGTTGTGGACATTTGTACATTTTTAGATGATACGCTTCGGAAGATGATTGAGAGGAATGTGCTTCGATCTGCATATGAGGAGAATGAGTTGAGATAAGAAGTTTTCAGTTAAACGACACTCACGATTGTCACGAAGCAACAATTACATATCAGAGAAAGGCCAGGTTCCTGGTTTTATTTTAATGAAAATGCCGCTCTGGCTATGATACCCTTTATCGTGATGGATCGTTCTATTGTATTATGATTATCGCAGATTTACTGTTTGTGAGAAGTGAAGGAAGTATCGATACGCCATTGGAACCCTCAGATACCCCTTCAGCTACCCGAAGGAGGATATTGTCCCTTCCATGAATTTTAATCTGAGTCCTTTGGTAGGAAGGAGGCAATAAGTAGCATATGCCGTCTGTCAACATTATGCTTACCTGCTCATACAGTAGTTGGGTCTTAAACGAATTGTCTCGGATAATAATTCTACACAACTTCATTTCCTCCTACACCTCAAACTCTTGTTATTACCTAGAAGATCTTCGAATCGAGAGTACATCTATTATCCAATTACAGTCCTAACCTAGATATTTTCAGCACAGAATCCATTACCTAGCCCCTACACATATATATATGGCAGAAGAAAGTCAACTCGAGCCCCAACAGCAACAACAACAATCACCAGCAGCAGCAGCAGCAACAGCGGCAGAAACACCAGGGATCCCCAACCAGCACTGCGACGACCACCGGCGCAAGGCGTGGAGCATCAAGAACAAGAACTGCCTGCGAGCGAAGCTCAACTGGCACCGGTAGTGCCCGTTCGAGAACCGGCCGACGCTGCGATGGGTCTTTCTGATCTCGCTAGTCGTCGTCGTCGTCGGCGTGCTGATCACCGGCGTCGTCTTCACCGTCTACTACAACGCCATGTACTATTCGCGCGGCGCGTTCCTGCTGAAAGGCAAGAACCATACCCAGGCTCATACCCAAGTCCAAGGCCAATACCCCAACGACCATGTCGTCCAATATTCCCGCCCCGCGGACATCATCGTCAACCCAGATGCCACCCCTCTCCCCCTCCTTCTCGGCCGCCGAGACACGGGCACCGCGGCAGCCGCAGGTGGTACTAATGTGTGCGGCGAGAGGAGGGATAGCTGCCAGGCGTATAACCAATCTGTTCGTATATTTTCCTTTGTATCCTTACTCTAACCCCATACTTCACATGCCTACCTAGGTAACCTACCTAACCTACCTATATCTCGTTATCTCCGGGGGATCATCGTCAACATTTCACAAAAAGAAAAAAAACTAACAGCTAATAATCGAAGAATCTATGCTGCCCCGTCGGAATGATCTGCTACGCAAGCGCCTTCTCGCCCTCGGGGGTGTACTGCTGCGCATCCGGGTCCTCCTCCTCCTCCTCCTCTGACGATGATGATGATGACCCCCCACAGCAGCAGCAGCAGCAGCAGCAGTGCCTCGCGACCCGGTCCCAGCCCCCGCGGTGCGACGGCCGCATGAAGCCCTGCGGCGCGGACCTCGGGGGCGGGTGCTGCGCGCCGAACACGGAGTGCGCGGCGGCCGGGTGTCTGAAGGTGTACCGGGCGGAGCCGGGGCTCTCGGCGACGGCGGTGCTCAGCGGGCCGCCGACCGCGATACCGACGACGACTGTCACCAGGACCACGACTGTGGTCGGGTTCGGCAAGGGCGCCGACGGCGGGGTCACGGTCACGCAGGCGAAGATCGCGGAGACGGGGCGGAGCGCGGGGGTCAGCGTGAGGAGGACCAGGGGGGTTGTTGGTCGTAGTATGAGTATGCTTGTCGGGTTTGGGGTTGGGGTTGCGTATGCTATGGCTTTTTTGTGAAAGGAAGTGGATGAGTTAAGTTGAGTTGAGTTGAGTGGGTGGGTGGGTGGATGAGTAAGTGAGTGAGTGAGGTAAAGAAAGACTTGGTGGTTAGGGCGTTGAGTTTCGAAAGAACAAGAAAAAGGGGGGATACCTGCGCAGTATATTCCTTCAGATTGTATTGTTTTCACAGCATGGGTTTATGAGGTAGCTATTTCGTACCTTTCTCATAGTTTACTTAAGTTGGGTAGGTAGGTACCTACCTCCTAACTCTGGTTTACTTGAAAATGAAGCTTTCTACACATATTCAACGTTTCGGATCTCGAAGGAATCGGAGATCGTCTGACGTTCTTTAATTCTGGAACCAACAATTTGAGGTTCTTGGTCCTATTCCCTCTCGAAACCCTGGCGCTACTTGATATCTACATTCTTTTTATCTTACGTAGTTTACGGTGATGGCTGAATGCTCATGAAAGCTTTAAATTTCGAAGATGAAGCATGGAAATATCTTAAGCCTTCTCGTAGGTATACCAAACTAATATTTACGAAGAGAGTTATCTTGTCGAAATAAATCGAGTGGAATATAAGCGTGGGTATCAAGTCTTTAGGATGATGTATGAGAGTCCTCGTCGGAATTTAGTTGCTTGATATGCGAGTGCTCTGTGGTCGGATTAAGGTTGGTTACATCTTGACGTGACAGGTAGGTAGACAAGGATATTGAACGTCTGTGTGAGAGTCCAGACGTATGGAGATTTGTGTTTCGTTAAAACCAAGGTTGGTGTCATCTGTTCCACGTACAAGATTGCTACTATTCTAGGATGTAAGGGGCAGCAGCCATCGATATGCGGATTTCATGATTTCCGACGTTCGAGAGACTGTCGACAAAACACCACAAGGGGAGAGTGTAGGGGATAGCCAACATCATAGGAAGAAGCCAATAAAAATGATATTTCCTAGTGTATCTATGATGATACGGAATTACCTCATCCCTCCCTTTTCTTGAAGCCGTTGTGCTACGTGAAAGTCTCTAATATCTGTTAACTTCGCCAACTCTATATGTATATCTCTTACCTAGTATAAGAATATCCATTTATTTCTCGGTTACGTACGCGAAGTTCTAAAGGGTAACAAAGGATGGCGTAGAAGTTCTAGACCGCAGTTCGACGCTCCATAGCGTGCTTTCGTCCTTGTTGGTATCTTTAAGACAGCTACGCCCATGGGAACAGCTTGTAGATTCGAATCCAAAAGCACAAGCTGAACAGATAGGGTTGGATGATAAGAGTGGCTCCCCGAAGAGGTGAGAGACAAGATACGACCCCTGAAGGTTACCCTATGAAAGGGGGGTGTGCAAACTAGTGGCTTAGCAGATGGTTTATCTGGAGAGCGGTAAGTTGAAATGTATCGCAAAAAGTCGGTCTGGCAAAATATATTCGACGTCTCCACGGTCAACCATAATAGACATTGGAGAACTTTGCAAGACAGACTTCGTGTTTACGTCGTTGTTTGGCCGAGTTTCTTGGTTGTTGTAGTGTGGACTGGTTCGGTGTTGATACCCTCTAATAATTAATATATTTTAGATATAATCTAAAGACTGGGTTTGTATAAGTTGTACAAGTTGTATTACACCATACCTAATAATTTACATGTATTTAGGAGACAGGTCTTTCTAATAGATATGTACTTGAGTACCTCATATGAATTATGTGAGGCAGGTTTGTTGGTAAGCTAGGGGGTAAGCACGGGTCACCGTCGCGTCATGTCACACAGCAGTTCTAGCCAGTCCGGCCTGTAAGCTGTGAACCTTAAAAATTCCGAAAATTAGCCGAGCCGTTAAGCGTCGCGTGCTCAACTACCTACCTAGGTACTTACCTAGCTTATACTTACTATGTACAAACCCGTACCACTTGAACCTTTTATTATCGTACATGTATTATAATATTTAAAACCCGAGACAAACTACGAGACTTTAATATTATAGAAGAAAGCTGTATAAGTCGGAGCTAATGCCGTGACGAATAAAACCTCTATTATCTAAAATATGGCAAGCCCAGCGGAGGCACCCCTGTTGTCACATCAGGAGGACGAACTAGAAGAAGAACTGCGCCCGGATGACGAGAATACAGTTCCTGAGTGGCCTCCTGGTCGCCCGGGAATTTTTATATGGCTCTTGACTTTGTCTGCTTGTATTAGCGGTCTCCTATTTGGATGTGAGTATGACACCTACACCTCCAAAGTCTTGTGCAACTGCTTACATCTTGACAGACGACACTGGAGTGATTTCAGCTACCTTGGTCTCGATAGGTACTTCGCTTTCCGAGAGGATGTTAACCTCTCTTGATAAATCTCTCATCACGTCGTGCACGGCACTATTCGCACTCATCTTATCACCCATCTCGTCTGTTCTTGCTGATCGCTTTGGCCGAAAGCCCGTGATACTATTATCGGATTTACTCTTTGTATTCGGAGCTATAGTACAGGCCATGAGCGCCACCGTGTCAGGTATGGTTTTTGGACGGTCGATAGTTGGAGCCGCCGTCGGTGCCGCGAGTTTCGTGACACCGTTGTACATTTCTGAGCTGGCCCCACCAGCCTACCGTGGTATGCTCGTAACAATGAACGTCCTATCGATTACTGCTGGACAAGTTGTCGCTTATATCATTGGGTGGATATTCTCAGAGTATAGTCGTCCTTCTACGGGATGGAGGTGGATGGTTGGTCTTGGGGTTCTCCCAGCTGCGTTGCAATGTCTCCTTCTGTTATTCATGCCCGATACTCCCCGCTGGCTAGTGAAAGTGGGGAAGTCTGCGGATGCTCGGCTCGTCATAGAGAAGACGTTGGGTTATGACCCATCGTCTCGCAGGCTAATCGATAGTGTCGTGAAAGATATCGAGATGGAGCTTAGGGAAGAGCAGGGCAATTTGGCATTGGCAAGCAACGGAGGGAAGAATGGTAGTACCTTGCTTAAGGGATGGAATGAGCTTCTCAACGTGCCGAAAAACCGACGAGCGCTGGTTATCGCATGCTTGCTTCAAGGGTTACAACAGCTTTGCGGTTTTGTAGGTCATCCCACCCCGCTTATATCGCCTCGGCATTTTTTTTTATTTTTATTTTTTAGCTAACGGCCAAGAACTCGTTAATGTACTTTTCCGCTACGATATTCACTATGTTGGGGTTTTCGGTGCCGACGCTCACTTCATTAACAGTCGCCGCCACAAACTTCGTTTTCACGGTATTCGCATTGCTCTTGATCGACCGCATCGGTCGTAGGCGGATCTTGCTATACTCATTGCCTTTCATGGTGATGGGCCTTTTGCTGTCAGCCTTCGGTTTCAGCTTAATCAAACTACCGCCTGATGGTACCGGTGTCGGCGGGCGCGGCGCACCCGTTGTTGACGATACTGTTCCAATATCGTCCCAAGGTGCTGCCATTGTCATCTTAGTAAGTATAATGATGTACGTTGCGGCTTACGCACTTGGACTCGGTAATGTCCCGTGGATGCAAAGTGAGCTCTTCCCGCTCAACGTGCGCTCACTTGGCAGCGGGCTGGCGACATCTACTAACTGGTTGGCCAACTTTATCGTTGGGTTGACATTCTTGCCATTGGTACGTATTAAATATTCAGACAACTACTTACGACTAATTTACTCTATCGAAGTTTAACCACTAACAAGTCTTATAGTAAGTGACCAACTGTTTTCTCAATTAGGACCCTATAATTATAATGAAAGTCATAGCGTAGCCTACGTTACATTTCTTTAATGTGGAAGCTAACTCATTTGTTCATTGTAGGATGGACCTATTAACTCCTTCGTTGACGTTTAGTTTATATGGCGTCGTCTGCGCTATTGGCTGGTACGCTATCTGGAAGATATATCCGGAGACAGCGGGATTGACTCTCGAAGAAGCCACCTGTTTATTAGAAAACGGCTGGGGCGTAAAATAACCGGGATTTATATATTTTTGACCAGCAGAGTACATAATCTTAGAAAGCTTACACTTCCCTCGGAAAGCGAATTCGGTGTAATAATAGAATGTATGCCGTATATCGCCTTTCCTCACGGTAAAATAAACAAGGTTGTAGATGTTATCTATTCAATGCACAGCCACAGTCAGCTTTAGCCTATGCTCCACCTGACGGTAAGATCAATCACGGTCGTACAGCTTATCGCCGGTAACACCGTCTCCGAACCACCGTCCGATTCGGCACGGCCGTGAGGGAAAGGATGTGGTTAAAAATCGGGTTGATAAGCACCCCCGAACCACCCGCATAATACTGGTTTAAAAGGAAAAAAAAAGAGAAAAAAAAGAAAAAGCCATGTGGGGTGGAATGTTTCAAGTTAGTATGCCATCTTGGCCATTAATAGATAAATTTATTATATAAGAGTCGGCGCAATGAATATTATGTATGTCCGAATTTGTACTACTACCTACCTAGGTAATCGCCTATAGTGGTGTGATGGTTTGTAAGCTACTATTACTTATGTCCAACACTAGTTGAGTTACCCACCCGGAAAGACAATACCGTACAATATAACACAATGAAATGTGTACACTAGTGTTACATGATCCGAGTGCTGAGGTACTGCCGCTGTCGCATACTCTAGTAACTTTACGTCTCATTGATGCATTACTTGAGAAATGATCTGCAAATGCTAGATATCATAAAGGACGGATTCGATCATAGTGAACTTACTATGGTTATATCGTGACTGATGCCAATACTGTTTGCCTCTTGGTCTTTTGGTTACACATTACTCTATTCATCGTATTTCTTACGTGCGCTTATATGTTTGAGGTACGTACATTCTTTTTTTTGTTTAAGGGGTTCGCGAGCCGAGGCTGATGATTTTTCTTAATACTTTTTTTTTCTTTGCGGTTATGGGAGATCGGATTACAAAGTCTTTTTTATTGTTCATTGTTTAGCTTGTTTAGCTCACCGCTGGGAAGCGCTTCAAACCGAGCCGAGTTTACTAGCCGTGCAGGGATCAATGACTGATAAAACCAAACTTTGAGGCCCGATCTTGAATCTCGACTCTTTTCTTAAGCACCTTTGGGTCTCGACACGCCCTTAACACCGCACGTTTGACGGGGTTTAACGGGGGTTTTTAATGGAGTTTTTTAATGGGTCAATGGGTACGGGTGGAGCTGAGGTTTGCGTACAAATCAAAAGATCTAAGATACGAAGGGCCCCGCTATCATAGCACTTTTTCCCCTTCCTCTAATTTACACCTCGGCCCATTCTACCCTTTCAGTCGGTCCCCCCCTACCGAAATTTTTTCATGTTATTTTCAGAAATCCATCCAACAGGTCAGAATCGGTCAGAATAAGTGTAGCTAGCTGCTTTTACAAGGTTCCCGTTATTCTATAATTACGAAGGGGATCTCACTTAAGCATTTAGAGGTAGGTATCAACCAAAGTACGATACCTATTAGAGGTAACCAACAAAATGTGATGAAGAATCCTACTATGTAAGTGGGTAAGAGGTAAGAGGACCGCAAACAAAGAAAGGCTCACACAAGAGAATAGGGATGATCGAGTCATTCAACTATTGCTTAATAAGTCAGCCTTACTAGTTGCTCAACTGTTATTAATGGTCATGCTGTCATAAAGCCTACTATGTAACGGGATAAGGGCGCGGGATCGGGGGTATTGGATGCGGCCGTACCTAGTAGGTAACCCAATTGGGTCTATTCGCGTACTTTCTAGAAAAGCGGAATAGTTAAGCTTTCTGCTAACAGGTACCTAAGAAATGATAGTGCATGCATACCTTAGCGTCTTGGGGGGGGTTTTTTAAACCGTATATATACCGCTTATATACGACTCAAAAAATTGAACCGCTTTACACCGTAAATGGAAAACATCGCGCTTATATTTTCAAACGTTAAACCTATTTGAACAGTTTAAAAATTATTAAACGTGTTAAGATAAATAACCGCTTAGCTAAATTGAGCCGCTTACATGATAAAACGCACCAATTATATTGAGCCATATTTTTGCTGTATATTTACGGCTTAAAATAGCTGAGCCGCTCAAAAATTTTGAGCCGTTCATATGGTTTACAAGCATATGTGAAAAAAGAAGTACCGCACCATTTCAATTATATGGTACTACCATACTAATCGAATGATGCAATACTATTTTTTTATTATATTATTATTATTATTATTATTTTACACAAGTCACAAGATTACATTAATTCAATTGGTCAAGCTACAGACACTTTTCAAATAGACCAATAGCTACGAAAGGTTTACGTTAGATATTACGTTACGCGCGTACGTGTGACACCTTTATTGGGGTATATATGCATCTAATAGGCAGCTTCGCACCTACTACCACCACATACAAGACCACACATACTGAATTGACTGAATTGATCGAATTGAATCTAGTCAATTAAATCTTGTCAATTGACTTGTAACGTGTAAGCCTATTGAGCTGTATACATACGGCTTATTTGATTGAGCCTCTTGAATTTTGAGCGGCTCAGCGTTTTTGAGCCGTAAGCATACCGCTCAATTCAATTAAGCCGTATCTATATGGTTCTAAAAAGTGTACGTTTTACAAATTTATAATGTTAAACAGGTGAGCTGCAAGGATACCATTCAACTAATGAATCGTGGAAACATGGATACGTTGATAAATTTAAGCCGTTCATTATTATAAGCCATATATATACGATTCGATATATTGAGCTGGTATATATACCGTTAAATCAACCCCCACCACGACGGTAAGGTACCTAGGTAGATTTAGGTAGGTTTTGCATATACACTAATTTTATACGTACCTACCTAAGTACCTACTAACCATTTCAAAGCAATATGGTCAGTTTCATGCGACAACCCCAAGGGCAGGTACGACAGACAAGACCAAGACCAAGACCAAGAGGACTTGTCACAGCCCAACGAGAAAATACACTAACTCCCGGCAAATTTAGTAGACTGCTTAGTAGTTTTAAGGCCCAGTGGGAAAATCTTAGTGTATCCCCTGGTCAATCCTTCGTCATTGAAAACCCAGAGCTTTCCGTCCGGGTCCATAATTTTTTTTTCGAGTTACTACGGCAAAGAGCGAATGCCGAACCCCTACGCATTATCGCCTCTGCCAGATATTAACTTTTCTAATTCCGATCCAAAGTATCCATTTCGTTTTTTCGTTTCCTTTATTATCAGGGTACCCCCGTGTCTTACTGAATATTTTTTACTTTTCTTTTTTTTTTTTTTTTTTCGTTATCTTCAATTCTTGTTGAGTCCCTCTCCAGCGGTGCAAGTGCCTTCGGATCTCTTATATTATATTATATACTACGAAATATACTCGTTGTTTCACTACTCGAGTATAAACGAAACTATACCTTTGTTTAAAATTCATAAGGGAATTTCCCACTTGTCACTCTGACCGCTACCACAACAAAAGATTTAACCACGCCAAGCAATAGTATTTTAATAGCGGTTGCGGATAGATTTCCCATTATCGGTTGAATAATGGAGGAGGTTGACCGCGAGCTCATGCGAGCTGAAGAGGATGCCTTACGGCAGATGGCACCTTCTGTATCTAAAACTAACGAACATCCCTATCGTCGAGCTAGTAATGAGGTCGAACGAGTTGTTTCGGCGTCGTCTGTATCGACATCTTCTAGTGACGATGGTGCGGCTCACAGAGACATGGGCGGCATGAGCCGCATTCCCACACATCGAGACCTCGAACGAAACCCTACCGAACTTAGCCGTATTAACACCGCCCGAAGCCAACACAGCGCTACTGTCGGACGAAGTCTTAAGAGCCGTGATTCGAGGAAACCTTTACCTGCTTTCGGGGCCGGGAAGCCATTCCCGCCCCCTTTACCAGACCAAGAAGAATATGTAGTTGAGTTTGATGGTCCTAGCGATCCTTACCACGCCCAGAACTGGTCGCTTAAAAAGAAGTAAGTTGCATATAATCACAAAATAAAAAAATCATATAATTGTTTCAACTAGCTAACCTGAGTTCTTATAGATTACTTACGGCCGCTATGCTCGGTTATACTACTATGACTGCAGCTTTCGCATCCAGTATTTTCTCGGCTGCGACACCGTACGTAGCAAAGGAATTCGGCGTCAGTTCCGAAGTTGGTATATTAGGTGTTTCTTTGTTCGTGGTCGGTTTCGCAACCGGCCCGACATTCTGGGCGCCGCTGTCCGAGTTAAAGGGGCGGCGTCTGCCGATTGTTATAGCCATGTTCGGATTTTCGGTCTTCTCTATTGCTTGCGCGACGGCCAAGGACTTACAGACTCTTCTGATCTGCCGATTCTTTGCTGGTTTCTGTGGCGCTTGCCCGTTGGCTGTTGTTGCTGCCGTCTTCTCGGATATGTTTAACAACGCCACGCGAGGTATCGCCATCACCCTTTTCTCCATGGCTGTCTTCACCGGTCCCTTGTTAGCTCCATTTGTCGGAGGTTTCATCGTGACCTCTCACCTCGGATGGCGCTGGACCATGTATATCGCGAGTATCATGGGTTGGCTCGCCTTCGTTCTTGATTTCTTCTTCTTGAACGAGACTTACCCTCCCGTGATCTTGATCGAAAAAGCAGCCGAATTGCGCCGTCGTACCAGGAACTGGGGTATCCACGCCAAGCAGGAAGAAATCGAAGTTGACTTCGGCGAGCTGATTCAGAAGAACTTTACTCGCCCCATGCGGCTTCTGTTCGGTGAGCCAATTGTCACACTGCTTTCGATCTATATGGCTTTTATTTATGGACTACTCTATCTCTTCCTAACGGCCTATCCTTTCGTCTTCCAGGGAGTACATCACTTCAATTCCGGCCAGTCCGGTCTGGCCTTCTTTGGTATGATTATTGGTCAACTACTCGCAGGTATTACCGTGCTGCTCGACCAGCCTTCGTACCAACGTAAGCTAGCTGCCAACAATGGTGTTCCTATTCCCGAGTGGCGTCTACCCATCGTCATTGCTGGTGGTGTATCATTCACTGGCGGTATCTTCTGGTTTGGATGGTCGGGTTACCGCGCGGATGTTCACTGGATTGTGCCTGCTGCTTCAGGTATCCTGACTGGTTTTGGCCTTATGGGTATCTTCCTTCAGGCTCTCAACTACCTTGTTGATGCCTACCTCATGTTCGCCGCCTCGGCTATCGCAGGTAACACTTTCCTCCGATCTCTCTGCGGTGCCGGATTCCCTCTATTTGCCACATACATGTTCAACGGACTTGGCATTCAATGGGCGGCTACGTTACTAGGCTGCGTAGCGGCAGTACTGGTCCCTATTCCAATTCTGTTCTACCTATATGGCCACAAGATCCGTGCTAAGAGCAAGTTCGCGCCATCTCTCCCTGGCAACACCCCCGGCATTGCCTCCAACTCTAGTAACGATACGGCAGTCGATGGCGACGGTGCGGCAGACCACGCTGCGGCGTCGAGCGCTCCAAAGACTAATGTTGAGAGCGAAAAGGTTTAAGCGCTGTGGTCAGTTTTATTAATTAGATTAACTTTTTGGAATCCTTTTCAACAAAAGGTGGGGTGGGAGGTGGGGTGGTTGAGAATTGCTAGGTGGGGATTATACATATAATATGATTGGGTTTAGACTTATAGATGTTACGGATGAGATGCGTCGTTATGAAGGACGTAGCTGAACTTATACCAATACCACATGTAGCTAGATGACGGATGGGTAACTTGTACATACTTGTCGGGTACATATAGTATATAGCTGTTACTACCACTACTACTACTACTATAGCTATAGCTCGCTAAGAGTAATAATTTCGTATATTATCAATACTGCTAATGATCACTGCTTGTATTCTTGCTTTGTGATTAAGTTGAGGAAGTGTATGTTATCCCAGGCTAATACTAACTTGAAATTGAGTGCTATACTACATGTATACTTCTTCAACTTAAAGTGTATACATAGTATAAGTTATCGAAGACTATAGTTACACAAGTTCACGCCACTATTCAAACCCCGCCAATGGGATCAACATGCATCACCCAATGCGCAAAGGGGCATGCCCTGTTTGCTTACGGCTTACTTACATGGATATTCAAGACTGGCCTTCCTTGCCTATCGATCGAGATAGATATACGTACATACTACCTTTGATATGATAGGTCATTAATTACGTACATTAGGTAACAAACAACAACATTAGAGATCATACATACCTATTTGGATCCTTGCTTTGTCGTACAAGAAGGGCGTTTAAAAAAACAGCCACCGTTCGTTCAATATTTCCCCCGCAGTTGCCCCGCGCTCTGCGGAGGACAGAAAGGATACATATCCCTCATACATAATATAATACATAATAATAGAACAGCTGGAAGATAAGATATGCGAGCAGATACCTAAGATGACTGTACCAGGTAAGGGTTACGCGATCCTTCCCATGCGGATGTCCGTACCTACCTACCTTAGGTACCTCTTACATACACATAGGTAATCATTAATAATGCAGCATATTACGGGAGAAAGATTTATGAAAGATGAATAATATAGCTACAGCTCGGGCTCTGTATATATATATATTATAAAAAAATATCTACCTTTTACATTAATACAATATATTTCATATACGGCACCGCTAAAAACAACCTGTCTTACGCATGCAAGTAGCTGATTATCAACTGTAACTACGGAAAGGGAAGAAAAAAAAGAAACAAACCGAAACGAAATCATGAGCGCCGCCGAGGAGAAAGTCGAAGACAAGAAGAAGGAGGAGAACAGCGGCACGTACGAAGCCGGCTGCCACTGCGGCTACATCAAGTTCGCCGTGACCTTGTCCCCGCCGCTGCCCGAGTACAAGGTGGTCGAGTGCAACTGCTCCGCGTGCACGCACCTGGGGTATCTGCTCGTGTGTAAGTCGCTGGGCGGCCGGCGTTGTGTTCTGCTACATACAAACATACCTACCTACCTACCTACCTACCTCTTGCAAAAGATTCCCATGATTGGAATTGGATTGGAATTGTATATGATACGATACTAACCCACGCGTTAGACCCCAAAGCCTCGGAAATCGTATGGCACAACGACGGCCGGGGCCGGTGCGCCAGCTACCGCTTCAACACGAAGGGCAAGGACCAGATGTTCTGCCCCAAGTGCGGCACCAGCCTGGGCATTGACTTCTTGGACACGTTGGAGGACCATGTGTATGGGATTAGCGTAAGTTCCACCGCTGCTGCTGCTGCGAGAGAGAGAGAGAGAGAGAGAGAGAGAGAATGGGTGAGATCATGAGTATGAGTATGAGTGTGTACAGTATACGGTGAACAAGAGAGAATAGAGAGTAGAGAGAAAGCGAGAGGCTAGATCCCTCCTGCCCTCCCCCCCTCCCCTTTCAAACCCCTCCTCCATCGTGCTAACATCCACGAAAAACCAACACGCAGGCCCGCTCGTTCTACGGCATCGACCTCAGCACCCTAAACTACAAGAAGCTTGACGGTAGGACCAAGGTCCCGCCCGCGCGGGACTTGTCCGGACACGTCTGGGACGAGGAGAAGCAGCAGCTGACGTAGTCGGCGGCGGAGGCGGAGGAAGAGGAGGAGGCAGGCGTGTTGGAGTCCGAGGGTTAGGAAGGAAGGGTGGAAGAAAGAAAGTGTTGGTATGAAATTAAAAAGAAGGGAAGGAAAATAAGATAAAAAAAATATTGTGATGAGAAATAGAAATCTTAGACACTGAGTTCTTCGGAAAGATAATAGGTACATATATACCTATGTATCGTGATTATTTTTGCTCCTATTCTCTTCCAACCCCCGGGTTCTCCATATGAAATACGAAGCATAATTTGTATAATCAACTTCAGTCATCAACTCATCCACAAAGACCATGGAGCTTTCCGGGCAAAGGTGAATAAGTCAATGTAGAAAACACCCGAGAAGGACAGTCAAGGTAGAAGCAGTAATTCAATAGCTGGCTCATAAGGAATCCATTGACCACGATAATCCCATTCCCTATCTAGTCTTTTTATATACTCGCCCGCGCCCTTGAACCCAGCCGATTTACTTCCATAAAAAGATTTTTATTAGCCACGACCCTTGGTTAACCTTCCCACATCATTGTAGCAAGATAGATACCTCCCCTCATCCAAAGATCAGGGGTTACCGGCTGGCCTATCTCCTCTTCGCTTGGTACAAAGCGGCGCGTGGTCTGACAAGCGATTCTCAAGAACTTTTCAGCCCAGGCCAGTCGACCTCAGGCTTCATATCAGCGCTTCCTTCACCTATTATAGCCTCTAGATCTAAACGCGCATGGTTGATTCAGCTCTCACATAAATCAGGCCTTCTACTTTTGCTGCATCTTCGCGTAGATATGCTCTGCCGATGTAATAGTTTGCGTGTTGGCTCCTAGCTTGTTAATCGTCTCCATCCATTCCTCGTACGGATCCGAATCGAAGACGATTCCGCCTCCTATTCCAACCATTAGCAAGTGAACCATAAAGCCAGAAAACAGAACAAGTGAGTAGAAAGGTCTTACCAGCTTGGAGATATGCAACTCCGTCCTTAACCAACATAGTTCTCAAGGCGATGCAAGTGTCCATGGCACCTTCTTTTTCCTTGCCGTTGGAATCTACGCCGCCATACCCGAAGTATCCCACAGCGCCTGCGTATACGCCTCTCTTCTCCTTCTCGAGTTCGGCGATGAGTTCCATTGCGCGGACCTTTGGAGCGCCTGATACCGTTCCGGCGGGGAAAATCGACCGGAAAGCATCGAATCTTGTTTGGTCAGGCCGTAACACACCTGACACCTGTGACACGAGATGTTGAACGTGACTGAATTTCTCAACAACCATTAATCTATCAACCCTCGTAGTGAGCGGATCGCAGACCCTGTTGATATCGTTCCTTGCCAGATCCACCAGCATGACGTGCTCTGCACGATCCTTTAGCGAGTTCCGGAGCTCACTGGCAAGTTTCTCGTCCTCCTCTGGCGTCTTGCCTCGCTTGACCGTGCCTGCAATAGGATGTGTAATAATGCGTCCCTCTTCTTCTTTCACCAGCAGCTCGGGTGATGCGCCAACGATTTGGAAATCCTGGCAGTTGACGTAGAAGAGGTATGGAGAAGGGTTAACCGTTCGTAAGTGGCGGTAAATGTTGAAGGGATGTAACGAAGTCGGGCGGGCAAATCGCTGGGAGGGGACAGCCTGGATGATGTCGCCAACAACGATGTGCTTTTTCAGCTCCGTCACGTGTGATTCGTACCCTTCCTGGCCGATGTTGGAGGTATACTGCTGGCCGAGCTTGATGGGCTGCTGTTCGGGTATGGGTATCTCGGGAGAGTTGAGGACGTCAATAAGCTCGTAAATGGTTGCTGTGACCTTGTTATACTCATCCGCAAGGGTATCTAAGTTCTCGGGGACGCGAAGGTAGGTGATGACCTTAATAACGCCAAAGAACCTATCAAAAGCCACGATGGTGTCGAATAACATGAACAGCGACTCTGGTATTTTGAGGACATCCTTCATAGGACGCGCCGTCTTCGGCTCGAAGTATCGGACGCAGTCATAGCCCACGTAACCAACGGCACCTCCAATAAGAGGAGGTAGTTTCAGGTCGGGGATCTCGGCTACGACATTCTGCGCCAACTCCTTCTCGAGCGCAGGTAGCGGATCTACCGATTCTCCATGGCCCTCTCCAGTCTTGAGAACTTTACGTGGGCCCGCACCAATGAAGCTATATCGACCAACCCTTTCCGTAGCGGCACTCTCGAAAAGGAAGGACAATTCTGTCCTTGAGTGTTCCGAGATCTTTAGATATGCGGCGGATGGTGTTATTAAGTCGGCAGATATTTGGCCGTATAGAGGGACTAGATTTGGTTTCTTGGGTCCTGGCGTGGGTTTCGATAATATTTCCTTGACGGTGTCTAGAGACGGTAGAATCACATCCTATAAGTAGACGGATAACCTGTTAGATGACTTTATATATATTTCTACGATGTAGTATATAATGCACTGTATTTTATGCAAAATTGACAGGTTCTTACCGCTTGAGCCATGGTGGGCAAAGTTATATTTATTTTCAGAAGGGTGGTAAAAGAGAGAGAAGAGAAGATTTAGGTTAGGTACTTCCCTCACTCCTCCCTTCGCTCTCGTCTCAAAGACTACCTATAAGAAAAGTAAGAAAAGTAACACCAAGTGTTGACTCAGCATAAGGATCCAATGCAGGTGCTTCCAAGTTTGAACCCGCTAAAAGCTCCCTTAAGTTAAAGTGGCTCGTCCCTGAACTTTTCGGTACCTTGCATTGATTGCTCTTGCACATTTTATCCGAAGACGGAGCTGGCGGAAGGAGGGGCATTTCCGATGATAACTTAGGTACTACCTTAGGTAGGTACCCCACATAGTCTTATACTATGTTAGGTACCTATCTGTTATCTTATCACACGCAATCTTTATCATGTTCAGCACGTTAGTGACTCGCATAGCAGGTACACATGTATGCCATATGGTTCTCATCATGGTATATGATATATGTATTTCATATGTATTTTACTATTTTCCCCAGTAGGTAGCCATCATACTATGTATGAGGTAAGTATGTATGTAATTCAAATTTCGCAATCAACTCTCGACGGCCAGCGCCTTAGCGCCGACAAGCTTTGCGCCCGAGCCACTACCCTCCGTCGTAACGACCCAGTACTCAACCCTGACGCCTCCCTTCGATACCCGGTACACCCTCACGTCGTTGCCCTTGCCGGCTTTGCGCACCGCATCCAGAATCGTCTTGTACTGCCCTTGCGGGTCCCAGTCCGCGGGGTCTTGGATTTCGATTTCCGCATTCGACGGGTCCGGATGGTGTATCAAGGATGCGAATTCCTCTATATGGGCAGAAGTTAGCCTTTGTAGATAAATAGTAGTATATATATATATAACTAGGTATATTCCTAGAAGTTTACCTACCTTCGTCTGGTAAACCTTTACCACTTTCGTCCCAGGCTAGGTAAACAGGTACGAACGGTTCATCGGCGTCGCTAATGTAAAAGGTATCTTTTGTTGCCTCCTGAATGACAGCGGGGATTTGCGCTCCTTCGTCAGTCGCCTTAAACTCTTGCTTGCTCGTGCTCGTGCTCTGTGCTTTCGCATGTCCTTCGCTTGGATCCTTGTTCGCCTTGTTTAAGAAGGCCATGTAATCGTCGTCGGATGCCATCCTGAAGGCGTTGCTTGTGGTGAAGCTTCTCGAGTAGTTGACGGTTGCTGGTTGGGGAAAGCGTTTGGTCTGTAATGTAATCGTATTGGTGGAGGGCAGCAGCAGCCAGTTAAGTTGCTTCCCTTCGGAGATGTTAATGGCACGATGTAATGCCCCAGCTCTCGGTGCTAACCGACAGCCAAGATAGCGATAAAATGATGTAGAAGTAGCACTTTGAAGGGTTAAAAGTGGTGGTGATGACATTGATCCGGGTTATTAATTAGTAGGTAAGAATTGGTATATCCTCTATTATTTAGGTACCTAACATAACATACCTCCTACCTTAGTAAGTAGATAAAAAAGTAAACTTGGAAGACTATCTTCCTGCTAGTTAATCTAATTACATCATAGCCGCCAAGGACTCTGTATCCTTTATAGCAAATACCCCTTTAATGCATGTTTCTTAGTTCCTCCACCTCGGATACTCCCCCCTTTAGGTAGTAAGTAATTGTTAGACGGATATATAATCATTAGTTAAATATAGAAGAATGCGTGGTTCATTGTTGGCTGACTGGTTGGTTGGTTGATTAGTTGATTGTGAATAGTTAGAAATACCTACTAGAAACAACAAGAAAAGAACCAACTTTCCGTTTACGTTCGAGACTACTAATAAAACCTTCATACAGAACTATTGTGTCCAAGTTCTTTTTGGTTAACATAGGAAAGAGGCCTATGATATTTGATATTTCAACAAGAATAACCCGCTCTCAATCTGCGTTACTAGTTGTTCTGATCAGTTGTCATATACATGACCAGCATTCCAATGTTACCTATGATTTATCACGTACTATTGTTAGTGTACGCATGTACTTGGACTAGAAGATGTATGTTTAGGTATGCAACAAAATATTGTTATAACTCGGTTATCGCATTATAAGCTACGATTACTTGTCACGAATGTGCAAAGGATACAAGTTCATGGCTTTTACTTCATGCATTTGTTCATTAACTTCTTTTGAGTCTCAAATGCCAACCCTAGACCCATGCCCATCGCAGCAGCCGTAAAAAGGGAACCAGGAACACCGATGCAAAGACGAGATAAAAAGGAGACGTGTTAAACTCTTTACGAGCTTTGGACGAGATCCTTCTTGAGCGTACCCTGGAACTGCTTCTTCTCCGCGTGAGTCTGGAAGACACCGTGACCAAACTCGGAGGAGGTGTCGATCCATTTGAGCTCCACCTTCTCCAGCGCCTTTCGCGAGGTGTGAGTGAACATAGACTTCCTTAGCGTCGTGACACGCTTCTTGACACCGGGAACGGATCCCTTGAGCATGACGAAGTCGTTGTTGACCTCACCATATCGGACGAAACCACCAAGACTGCAGAGGCACGTTAGCAAATGTGTCGGGATAACTAGATCTAGTGATAACTCACGGAGTGATAGTCTTCTTGGTGACGTCCTGCTCGGTGGAGGCGTTGGCCTCGTTGTCACCCTTACCAATGCGGTAAATCTTGTGGTTGACAGAGGTACGGTGGTGGTAACCCTGCTGACCAGCACGGGCAACAGTCCACTGGACGTGGGAAGGATGCCAAGCACCGATACAAGCAACCTTTCGGAGACCCTTGTGAGTCTTACGCGGCAGCTTCTTAGTACCCCATCGGGCAGTAACACCGTTGAAACCGTGACCCTTGGTGACGGCAATGACATCGATCACCTCGTCCTGCTCGAAGATGGTGTCGATGCTGACGGGCTTCTCGAAGAGACCGTGGCCGAACTCGACCTTGTCGGCAACGGAGCCGCCGTTGATCTGGATCTCCATAAGGTGGGCCTTCTTCTGCTTGAGAGGGGTCTTTCGGATCTGGGTGTGGGCGAGAACACGGACGACGGTGCAGTACTTCTTGATGCGCTCAAGCTCGCGGGTGATGGAAGAGCCGCTGTTCTCGGAGTGCTTCTTGGCGTACTTGGTGAAAGCCTTCTTCTTGCTCTTGTACCAGTTCTTGTAGAATCGTCGCTTGAGTTCGTCGCTCAAGTGTTCGGCCCAGACGGTGGTGAGCGATCGGAGACCACGGGGAGTCTCAATGTAGCCCACAAGACCAACAACGATCATCTGTGAAGATGTTAGCCATAGGCGCAAAGCCAAGCGGGCTGCGTTGTTCGTACAGGTGGAGTGTCAATAATGGTGACTGCCTCAACAACCTCCTTCTTGTGTGCCTTTGCGCCCGGTCGGTCGAGGTCACGAACGATCGTGGTCATACCAGCCTTGTAGCCGAGGGCGGCAGTAAGGTGGACAGGCTTCTTGGGGTCATCCTTAGGGAAGCTACCGGATAGCAATTATATATTAGTACCTGATTCCAAGACACTTTTTTTTGCGCACAATTGCGATTCGATAGAAAATGGGTATTATTAACTTACGACTTTACCTTACCCCGATGACGGGCAGCACGCTTTCGCGGCAGGAAGGCAAGAGAGCCGTGACGAGGAGCCTCGAACTTACGGTGCGACATCTTAGATTGATCCTTTGTTGTTGAAGGAAGATGTCAATCGGCAAGTGGGTGGGAGGTTTAAAGGATAGAAGAAAATATTCAAGACTTTTTTTTAGGTGGTACCTAAGCGTAGTGGGTAGTTGCAAAAAAAACAAAAACCTGTGGGCTATGAAAATCCGAAGAATAGCCGAATTCGACAAGCAGAAGAACCCTAAAGCTTGGACCATGCTATTAGAGAGAGCTTTTCTTGATCCACTACCTACAGAGTAAGCGGCTAGCATTAGGTACCTAGGTACTTACATGAGTGGCAGGGGGAACAGGTTTTACTAACCTCCAAGGTTCTAAACAGACAATTTCCCTCTACGTACATAATATACCTAGGTAATTAGCTACCCGTGTCACACTAAATATACTACCTATGTAATACCTTAGGTACCATTGTATAGATATTTGCACATGATCTAAAGATATTATAACAGGTAGGTGATATTGAGTTTATTGAACTGATAAGCAAATGTTTAGAAACGATAGACAGACTTCTCGTCGCCTTGCCAGTATCTAACAGAAGGCAGTTCGCCAACTTTCACTAGTGATATACATAGCATCGAAATAATCCTGAACAATGAAAAGGGTATGTATCGAAGTTCAGCATTCACTGCTGACACCTTCCAGTCCTAAGCATTTCCCTCCGCTTTGGGCGTAGGCCCCATTATTCCATTGATGCTAGCACTCGTCGGCGTCGTATTCTTCAGCTCTCCAGATGTTGAGCCTGGCCCTGATGCCGCACCATTAATTCCCACCTTCTTCTCTTCTTCCCCGCTGTCGTCATAATCGTCGTCAACATCCATTTTCCTCGCAGCACGCTCTGGTTCATTCATTTGCGACGAAGTAGGAGCAGGCGGGTGGTCTAGTCTCTGCCGCTCATCTTGGGGGTAATCTTTTGGGGCGGGACTTGGCTGCGGTCCGTCATGAATTAAGCTTGGCAATGGAGGAGGCGGGCCTTGCTGCATAGGAGGTAGATGGTTTGGCATTGAATGTGTGGGCGGGTGATGGGCGGCATCCGATGGGTGGTAACTCTCAGCTGCGTGTCGCTGCTCTTCAACCCGTCGCATTTCTTCGACCCGCCTCTGGTCATCAACCCGTCGCTGCTCCTCTATGCGCCGTTGTTCTTCAAATCGGTGGGCGTCAGGGGAACGACGGTAAGGATCCCGCGGCGGCGGCGGAGTGGATTGTCGTCGGTGGCGTATATCTTCCATTCGAGCACGAGTCTCTTCATTGGCAGGTTTTTTGATAGAGGGCTCATCTTCCCACTCTCGCAACCTCTTGGACGCGACGGAGGCCGGCCTATCGTGATCCCGATGGATATCGGGCCCAATTGCTCCTTTTGGGTGAGCCCCCGGTTCCATGCTACCCGGCATTCCAGGCTCTTGTTGGTGAGGGAACGGAGCTTGGTGCTGAGGATATGCCGATTTTGGTGACGGCATGCGGTTATCATGCATGTGTCTTGGTTCTGAGCGAGGGGAGCCGTTGCGGTAGGTCATTAGGGAATGCGGCGGGCCACCATTAGGCGGACCATTCGTGGGCCCCATGTTTGAAGAAGGTGCTGGAGTATAATTGGGATTGTTGACTCTAGCCGGGCCCTGAGCAGGTAGGGGAGGCTGCTGCGATGGTCCTGGTAGAGGCGGTGCATATTGGGCGGGAGGACCCGGAGAAGGACCTCTTCGAATTGGTGCTGGGCCCGGACGGCTTGCCTCTCCGTATTGCCTCATCTCCTGCCTGGGACTGGGCTGTCTTGGCAGTGGAGGCGGCGGACCACGAAAGGGCTCGCGCTGCTCATAGGGGTTAGGTGGCTGTGGTGGGTTGATATCACTGGTTCTTTGGCCCCAACCATTAGCAGCGGCAGGTCCTGGGGGTGGTCTGTGAGGGCCAGGTCCGGATTGCTGCATTGGCGCGGAGCCAGTCCAGGTAGGTGCTTGCGGCCCCTGAGCTCCGTAGGATTGGGGGTGAACGTCGGTGGGCACGGCCTGGGGAAGGCTTCCTGGAGTTTGGCCAGCCCTTAGAAGCTGCAGTCTCGCCTTGATGTGTGGATTGGCGGGATCTAATTCGGCAGCCCTTTGGTAGGCGTCTAGAGCATCATTGATCTGGTTATTGCAAGACTCGTACTATAAATATTCGTTAGAGACATGCTACTTATAGAGGATAGCAAACAGGACTTACTAGAGTACCCAAATCATACCAGACTTCAGATATATACGGGTTCAGCCTTATCGCTCGAGAATATGCGTCTAAAGCATCACGGTACTGATTGATCTGGTAGTAGAGCACACCAATGGAGCACCAGAATGTGGGGTTCCTCCCGTCACGATACACTGCTTGCTGATATGCTTCGTATGCCTTGGGATACTTCTGCTGTGACATGTAACATCGGCCAAGGAGGTACCAGCTTTGGGCGTCGTTGTTATCTGCCACGTGTGAGTTAGAAATGCACAAGTTTCTCTTATAGATTTACTTAGCACCTACCTGCAGCAACAGATTTCTCCAAGTATTCGATAGCTCGTTCCTGGGTCTGGAAACTGCTGCTTTGCTGATGATGGAGCCAACCCAACTGTTGGAGGACCTTGGCATGGTTGGGATCGCGTTCAAGAACCCGCATATAAGCAGCCTTTGCGCTATCGTACTATGTTTTTATGAGCATATACTCCAATGATATATATCGAACAAAACTTACATCTTTCTGTTGTTCATGGACATGTCCAATTTGGAACCAAATGTCCTCTTCGGTCAGCGGCGGTGGCGGAGAGTTCACAATGTACTTAAAACACTGTAACGGGTTAGAATTAAGTGGACAGGCGATAATCAATGGACAATACCTCTAAACTAGGGCCATATTTCGACTGTTGTTTATAGATTATACCGAGGCGGAAATATATCTCATTGGCTTTCTCGAAATCCGGTTGCATCTGCATGACTTGCGAGAAAGCTTCCTCGGCATGATCAAGGGAGCCGTAGCGGTCATATAAAATACCTATGCCATACCAGAGCTTGGGTTCCTGTTGCATGTCAGCTGAGTAATGGATAATGGGGATTAAGGCAAGTATTTACTTTGGGGTTGGGCAAATTAACTAAAGCGGATTGATAAGCAGCATACGCCTGCTGCAAGTCATCCATCATTAGGTAGCAGTGCCCTAAGAAGAATGTTAGTTAAGTGGATATACGCGTGTATAAGATGAGGTTGAGTATACCGAGGCTACCCCAAACTTCGCCATTGTTTGCATCTATCTTAAGTATGGCTTGCAAGTACTCGACTGCCTTGTGAAAATCTTCACGCGTCCTGAGGATCAAACTGATTGCATTCATCGCAGGAATGGAGTTTGGGTTCGCGTTCAACGCGTGCTCGTAAGCGATCATAGCTTCGTCTAAGTTACCGAGGAGTTCCGAGAAACTACCTATATCGATTGTTAGTCTAGTTACCTGGTCAATGAGTCTTTGGTATTTTACTCACCAATCTGCATCCAAAGTGCTTCGTTGACAGCGACGATATGGCGCGACGGTGCCCATTGACTCCCTTGGGCTGGGCCGGGAGGAGGAGGAGGCACTGGCGGGCCATGATGCTGAATTTGCATCGCCATTTGCGGCGACGGGTGGTGATTCGCCATAGATATTTCGACTTATCAGCAGAATCTGCCTCACCGAGGCGCTTAGGTGTATTCCAGCTTCGGTTGAAGACGGAATTGAGTTAAAGTCTTACGAATGCGAAGAAAGTCGTTTGCGACGATGTTATACGAAGAAAAGGTACATCAAATATGCAAGTACCGAGATACGTGAAAGGGAAGTACAGCTTCGCGGTGTAGTTGCGCAAGGGACGTGGAAAAGACGGATAAGACGCTGGTGATTATGCGGCTGTGGAGTTGTTCTGAAGATTCCACGATCGCAAGGTGGTAAATAAAGATTTGATGCGGGCAGAAAAAAAAAAAGCGCTTAATACCAGCCGCTAAGTACCAAGCAGTATAATATTGCCCGGGTCGCAACTAAGCGGGAACAACGTCTACAAGCGAGAAATTTAATGGTCGTGATAGAATAGAAGAAAGTGCGGAATATGAGGCTCGATCTTTGTCTTGATGGCGTTATTTTGCTTAGGGGAGGGGAGAATAAGCGGTGGAGAGGCTGGACGGTAGGCGGGAAGAAGAGAAGAGTTGGGAGAAGGCCTAAGGAGGATTTCGACGGACAGCAGCTACCCTAACCCACGATAGCACCTGCAATATTTAGGTAGATAGAACTAGCATGGGAGTAATATGTGGGGCAAGGAACGAGTGTTCCTAGACCTGGAAGTCATCTAGGTTAAGTAACCGCAATGTACACAGTAGTATAAGTGGGCCAGCTAAGACGTGCATGTAATACGAAGTCCACTCTTCTTTTATTCCAGCCCCAAAGTTCCCAATACTTTTTCCTTCACCTTTTCTCAGCTAAAGTTGGACCCTTATTACTCCTTCGCACCCTAAATATATACACTATCTACATACACATCTCACACAGTTTGGTTGTCATCATTTAGGTAGTATTTTTCAATACTTATCGTGAGTTGGACGATGCTCGGTTATCGTATACATTATAGATACGGCAGTGCATCTGCTTTGTACTAAGTATATACATTAACTATTAAGCATGTGCCTTTATACTTTGCTAACCTAGCTTATCAATATTTAGGAGAAATGCAATTCGAGTCCGTCAAAGTATGCTGGTTTATGTAGGAAACATGCCAAATTATGTACGCAATAGCACTCCACACTTATTATTATTAGGTTAGGTATTTTTCGCTGTTAAGATAAGCACACTTTATTTTTCCATTTTCTTTATTTACTTTTTTTTTACTCTTCCACATTTAGTACGTCCGCGGAGTATGCGTCGTCATTCTCCTTATGTGTTAGAATATCTTCCTTACAAAGTTTACCAATCTTTGCTGAAATCAAGTCGCAATACCCTTTTTTTTCAACCCTTTCAAGTCTCCACTGTTGTGATGTTTGGTGCAAAGATTTATTGAATATTGTCCGAGATAACGGGCGGCTAGAAAAGCGGCTATAAAGTAGAGGGTACACTCTGACCCTGATTGAAACCAAACTCTGCAATGATGGTTCCTGCAAGGAAGAAGGGGAAGGGTACAAATCAGTTACCTTGTGGAAACCTAGGTGATGGAGCGGGCAAAGTTCCGAAACTCCTACAAATTTGGACAATCGCCGGTGGTAGCGGCTCGGACGGATTCGCTCTTACCTTGCCGCTTGGCATGGGCGAGCCCCAGAGAGGAGGGTTGCTTGGAAAGGCAAGGTACAGGGTTTGAGAAAGGGCGGGTGTGTGAATGGGTCATATTGCGGCTTGGCATTTGAACCGCACACCCTCCATCTCATGTCCCATGTTATGTACGAAGTACTTCGTACATTAGGTATGTACCTAGTAATGTAGGTACCTAGGTCCTATGTAGGTAAGGACCAACATGTATGGGACCAGTTAACCTACATTGTAACTTACATATTGTAGTACGTAACATACATAGTGGTAGACCCGCACCTGAGCACCTGAGCAATGGGGCAATCCTTAAGTATTGCGTACTACTTAACCTCACGTAATACCATGTACCTAGGTACCAACCTAGGTACCTACCTACATGAGGTATAACATCCTACACTTTAGGTAGTTACGTCGCAGAACGAGGAGGAAACCCAAGGGGACCTCAAATCAATTTAATTTTTTTAATCTTTTTTTTTCCAAGGAACGCTTATCTTTCTATCGGAGTATTTATCCTCATCGAAGCCAATCTCATGAGAAAGGCTTGACGCACAGGATCGAATTACCCAAGACAGCTAAAGCCGTGTCTTAACAACAATTCCGACGTTTTGGCTTGACACTTGTCAAACATACAGGCCACAACCACGCACTCGCCCGCACCATTCTGACACTGGACTGGATTGGAGTGGACTGGAGTCATTCGCCCATTGGTATTTATATTATTACGAGCACGGATTGGTTTAGAAAAGGAGTGGCCATTGCAAAGGTCAGGTAGTGGCCATTTAACGTTAAGGATCCGCACTTCGAACCCATATCTTCGAACCTGTCGTCGGACAGACGTAGTTTTAACAACATTGGTCAACTCGAGACAGTGGGTCACCAACACATCATGTAACTCTCCATTGCCGAGTTTTCGTTACTGCAAATCATGCAGAAGCTCATCCAAACCACCCCGTCCCTGAGCTTATATCGTATCATCGATAAGACCAAGAACCGAAGACGCGCCATTGATATGGATGACTTTATATGACCGTGGATGGTAGCATCGTTGAAAGAAAAACGAAAGAAAAAAATAGACAAAAGCTTGTGAGGGTATTATGGACTTTTTGTTACTGGATTGTGTCAGCAGGGAAATGAGGTGGAAATAGCCAAGCGACCAATCTCGTCATCTCCCGAAGATCGAGGGTGAAGAAACACCGACAATGTGGCACCAATTTTTATTTTTATTTTTATTTTTTTCGTTCTTCCAGATTTGAGGTGGGGAAAATAATAATAATAATAACAATGATAGGTAATAGGAATGATAACCATTCCTGTTAAGGTAGTGTAGCTATGAGCGCTAATTCGTTTCTAGGAAGCCCACGTGTCATGACGAGAAGGGGGCTGGAATCTGTTCGTGACCTTCAAAAAAAAAAGAAAAAAAAAAGAGCTGTTTGGGGCTTATTACTTACTTTGTCATAGCGCCCTCCCGAAGAATCCCTTCAACCGCACAACCTTACTAAATCTACTCTATTTGTTTCATCACCTCGGGCTTTTCCTCATCGACGTTGACCCTGCTGCCCTGCTCCGCCTTAAGCTTCCTACTTACCTATTCAGGTATTACTGCTACATCAAGCAACGGTAAGTCGATCCTATCAGAGCCAATGTTTCAAAGCCTGCTATGAAATCATCACGTGTACCTGAGTACCGTCTCTTATTACATAGTCCAACACGCTACCCACGCAGCCACGCCGCGGCTTTTTTTGTTTTTTTCGAAAAGCAAGTCGGGGGAGTGGGGTTTAGTAATGTCCCCCTTCCATAGGATTATTTATGGGGTTCATGAGTCGGGAAGTTATAAGAATGTCGCCTTTTCGATAATCTACTTAGATTGATTGATCATTTGGAAGATGGCCGGTTGGCTGATCACTACATGTGTGATCGCCATCGCCAGGCATTTAAGAGGAAGCTTTCTCCCGCAACCTGCACAGCAGTAGGTACATAACGCATGCAATATGTGATTGCCCGGCATAAGTGTCCACGGAGTGGGTGTTGGGATCTATCAATCGAGAGGGAGTGAACGGAGAAGACTGCGGCAACGGTTGCACAATGGGCAAGTTAGTTCGAAGCGCCCCAGGAAAAAAAGAGAGGTAAGTTAATAAAAAGAGTGGGAGAAGGGGAGGGAGAACATGTCGAAGGGGGCGTGTGTAGTAGCCGGTGTGACTTTTCCCATTGCCCATTTATGTACAATACATCCATACATGCCTACCTACCTAGGTAGTATATTATATACCTTACATATGCGGGTTCAATACCGTATTTCGGTCCAACCCTTTTTTATTATTAGCTCAGCCAGATAGCCAGATAGCCAGATGAGGCCAGTGGAATGAAGAGTACAAAGGTACGAAGCCGCTAGATATGTGTGCTGCATATGCAGCCGTTTGTTGCGTGGGCTATTATTCGCCAAGATAGCAGCGGTCCGTACGGTTGACGTGCCACACCTCCAGATACAGATCACCCTACCACCCGTGTGAATGGAGCTGTCAACCCTGGCTTAACCGTCCTGCCTGCCTGCATCGGGGCCCCGGCGGTCTAGTAATGATGGTGATGATGATGGTGCACTTTAAAACTCACATGGTACGTACTTGTCCTGCGTCGCCTAGGCACACCTGGGCTTGCCTGGCACACCTCCGGATATAAGTCACGTACCGAAGTAGGTAGATAGGTAGGTTACCTAGCCCCGATGTGTAAATGTGTACGTACATAATCTGTATGTATCTGTAAGCGCCTTTTCATCATCACCGCTCAGCGGGCTGACGATGGGCGGCAGCGATTTATTTCGGGACGGGACCCAGTATTAAAACAAGCGAACAAGCAAAGCCGATCGCCCAAGCCGATCGTCCAAGGACCAAATGCTGCATACCTAGGTATATACCTAGTACATACCTGCCTACTCACCAGGTAAGTATATCGCAGCTGGAAAATGGAGTATATGACCCCCGCCATTTTAGCATATGAATGAATGCATTTCCCGCCTCGTTTATATCTTGCTTTGGGCGAGAGAAGTACGGATACGGGATGGTTTCTTCGCCGCATCATCAGCTAGACAGAGAAACCCTCACCAAATCTCTTACCGCATTTGGCGCTTGTATTCCCTGCAACATGCAACTCCACAGACCGTGGTCTATATTACAACTTTGCAAAAACCTACATACTTACCCAGCCAACGATTTGATGAAACGACGCTTACCAACCGGCAAGACCAAGCGAACTTTTTTTTAAAAAAAAAATGTTGACCACGAACTATACGGAACAAGCAGATATGTCAACGTTAGGTTAGGTGGGTTTGCAGCATTTGCTTGCTAAGGAGGAAGAGGAGGAGGAAGGCGGGTTGAAACAGGGCCGTCTTGTTTTAGTACTATGTAAAAGTCGTGGGTTGGGCAAGGTGGACGCGGGAAGAAGAGGGCTGTCCCTAGTTCCGCTAGCACAGCTGGCTACCTAAGGAAAGGAGGAGGAGGAGGAGGCGGAGGCGGACAGCAAGTGAAGAAGAATGATAGGATTTTTCGGAGTGTACAGGGGCTTACACGAATCGAAACGTTTTGAAGGACAAGCGTAAGTACTTAAATTGCTTCATTACAATGTTCTGCGTGTATGTGTACAAACGTTAGCTCCCGAGGAGAAGAGAAGAGAAGAGGAAAGAATAGAAAAGAAAAGAAAAATAAAAAGAAATAGTAACTCGTTAGTTAATGAAAAATAAAAAAAATAAAGGTGTGAGATTTGCCGATTTACACACTCGTCCAAAAGTCACATGTAACGGGCCTGAATGGCTTCGGGGATAGGTAGTGTCCGGTGCGACTCACACTCGAGCGATACGTGTGCACATGTACTCAGCCGATCCGGTTGTACTCAGATGCAGTGGAAACCGATTATGATGAGACAAATGCCCAAGGGGTGTCAGTGTCCAAGGATGTAAAGTTGATGTGTACCTGTTTGAGGTTTCCCCAAATTGACGTACGGCATAAGCCACCGAGTAGACCCACTCTTTTCGAGATCCACTCCTGGTGCAACCATTGAACCCCGAGGACAAGCTATGTCATGTTCCATGTTCAATTCAATGATCTAGATAAGCCACAAATACCACAAATGCCACATCTCAAAAAGCCACATTAGTGTTAACCTTTATTAAGCTTTTTGCGCCGGGGTTTAAGACATTCCGTATATAGACGAATTAGATTAACTAGGCCTAGATTAGGCTTAGCTCAGGTGAGTACTACGTATTCAAACGGCATCACTTAGGTACTAAGTCGAGAGTAATCCGTACCTAGGTAGTCCTTCTGAACTCAATAGGTACCTAAAGGTAATCGTTAACGGTTATCTTATGGTGTGGTGGTACGCGTAAATATAAAAATGTTGACACAGGATATAGATTAGGTAGGTATAGGTATACGATAAATATATCTCATACACACGAGAATTACCAAACGAGGAGTACAAAATAACCAAAAATGTTTGACTACCTACCTAAGATGAAGTAAGTAGGTACCTAAACCCACCTCTTTCTCCCAGTATCATGGGTTTAACGGGCTAGATATAAGACATGGCTTCGGCAAAGCCCTGATTAAAAATGTAAGCTAAACATTGTTCGACGGTTATTCCCTTCCCCTTAGTGTCAACGGCTTATATACATGGTACCGGTAGGTACTATCGGTAGGTACTATATAACTAGATCAAAGACAACTAATACCTAGTATACTAGCTAGTGTACAAACGTCATATACATTACCTAGTTAGGTAGGTATATACCTCCAGCTGCTCCCTTTCTCTTTGTCTATTATTCTTTGACTCCCTGTAAAGCAATGATCATGGTAGACTTCGTAAGTGTAAGTGTGATACCGTATACCACTGAACGTTACACCACGGCATACGCTTGTCAACGACAGGTGAATATAGGTAAAATCAGCTGTGTGGACAGTATAGTATGTAATTCCATGCTGTACTATCCAAACGTTAAGCAGTGCTGATATTATATCTATGGTAGAATTGACATATAATGCTGCGTGTTAAGCCCACTCTGCGGTCCTCAACATAAACCAAACGGGAATATCAACCGCTGTTTGTAGAAGAGCAATCAGACCTAAATGCTGCAGCTATCCGACTCATATGTGAACGTCGCAGTAGCCGAAACTTTGACATTACTTGATTGAGGATGTTCCACCCGTCAAAAGCTTAAAACCCATATACCTCATCTTCTAATGCCGACTCCGAGCTCGCAAGTGCTCCCAAGGTAGAAATACACGCGTATTCGGACATAAGGCAAAGGGTGCTCTGAGATCCAAATACTGGAAGCCCACACCAGCCCCCGCAGAATACCAAACGTCCTAAGAGTCGCTCTTATCGGAATGATCATGATCAGGATTATAGTTCGTTTCTCCCAACACGGCCGTCGGCTGTGATGTCATCACCGCTTGAGCGTTCGGCTGCTGATGCGTGTGCGCTCCCGGGCCACCTGGTTGGTTAGGAGGCTGTGATTGGCTTCGGGAGCCACCGCTGGGTCCTGCAGTGGCAGCATGGAGACGTTGGTCAAGTACCTTGAGAGCTAAGGCTCTCCGCCTTTCAGCTTCGGCCCTAACGCCTCCATGACCACTGCGCTGTATGAAGTTACTGCCTTGCGCAGCGGAAATATCGACCTGCGAGAAAGGCGTACATATCCTCATTGCTACTAACAGGTTGAAAATCGGTTCGGTAATCGCGGCAACAAACGGCTTCACCGGACCAGGGAAGAATTCGGCAAAAGCAAACGTCTCGCTTGCATCGCCACGTAGGGACGTCGGTTGTGAAGAATCGAGATCCGGGAAGATGGTCTTATAGAATCGTAAGTACGTCCAACTAGCAAGGAGACCAAAGATGGATAGAAACAAGGAAGCGCTGGTAAGCAACGGAGTTATAGATAGCACGGCGACAATGCAGATGTAGATGAGAGGGAATTTCGGTACACGCAAAGATAGAACGCCTCGGAAAAGGGTGACGGTATGCGCGGGGACGAGTTGGCTAAAAGCAACAAGAAACGAGATTTGGAGGGGTATCGTGCCAGCAATAGTAGTCAGCCTAAATGTTTATTCGTTAGCACTCCGAGCTACACGTAGCTAGAACTGAGGATATCTAGAAAGAATGCAGGACTTACGTCCATCTCTCATTACGAGTGATAGTAAATAATGTGACAAGAACCAAGAAAGTTAAGGTATTGGGTATTAGGGATGCCACGAGCAGGAATTTAGCAAATTCCCTCGAAGACCAAGCTCTTTCCAAATATCTACCGCCATGGTAAAGGGTCAGACCAGCGATGGCTAAGGTGAAAATGTTATTTTCAACCAGAGTAGCCGTCAGAAACGTCCAGGGATAGAAGAGCGACAGCTGAGGTATGAGGGTCAGCCATTCGACGACGATCTCGGAATGCGCAGACCACTGGCGGTAGCGCACGGCAGCACTTAGAACGGACTGCAAGAGCAAGACCACTAGTACCACGCGGGTAACAGGTGGGATGTTTAGTCGCGGAGGCATGGCGGCGAGGTTGGCGTATTGGGCTTTGAACTTTGAGGTAAAGTTTGAGAGATGTCGGTTTTTCGGGATCGCGTTGAAGCCGCACATTCACCTTACGAGGTTAAGTTTGGCCAACGGCTGATGTGGCCAATGCGTTTACCGTCAGCCACAGATTTGGTAAGCTGGTATTACATAGTAGCGTATGTATGTACCTAGGTACTGACATGATATGTTATGTACATCTTCCATGTACATCTTACATAACGTTGAAGTCCTCAGGCTAGGATGTTACCACCACCTCTCCCTGAGGTAGCCAGCCAAGCAGCCAAGCCTTTGGATTGCCCTGTGCTTTAAATGGAAAAAAAAGAAAAAAGAAAACATCAAAATTAACCTTTACGGATGTGCCGCTCCTTCCCTCCGGTCAGGTACCGCGGATGTACATGGAAACAATTATCTCATCTCAGCACGATACGAAACAAAAGGCTTCAAACAAGCATTGTTAATCTACTTTAAGTACCTAGGTTTAGATAGACCTTTGTATAAAAATTTCTAACATTTCTATACTTCACATTCGCACCAAATCAATCATCCATCCATCCGCTGCGACCTGAACAAAGTACCAAGTACCTAAGATATATTATGTTAGCCCCGGTCTTTAGGGCCACGAATTTTCTGCAGGGGAGGCAAGGTTCGAAATGGTTTCGACTGATAAAAGCCGATGATGTGTAACTCGTGGAACCCATAGATTACACGTCCTCCTCGTCTTAGTGCAGGCACATGCATACCTAAGCGTACGTACATGGGTTTACAACTCCATAATCTAGTTAATAAGGTCTTATGTACGGATTATTTCGGGTTACAGATGTTGTTGTCGGAGGTTTCGCGATCATGGTAAAGTAGTATGTAGTGCCTATGTAAACCGTAAAATAAACAGACCTCGGGAATAGGTTCTCTCTTCTCCTCTCTTCCTTCTCTTCTATCGTTCGCGCTACCTCAGGTAGTTAGGGCAATCTTCAACTTTTAGCGTCGTTGCATATTTACTACATGTTTGGTAAGTATCTAGAGCTGCAAAGTAGGTACAATCGTACATTATTGTTGTACTACATACATACATACATAGTAGGTAGGTAGTATAGTAGGGGTTGTTGGTGATGCCGGGAGAGGCACAATGCTATTTTCAATGCACTAAGCCTCAAGCGGCTAAGGTGATTCGCTAGTCGGATGGCAAAGTCTTAGAAAGATCATCTGTTTCTTCGCCTAAGCTTGGTACGCTACGCTACCACTTTCTCTGGTACGTATTCTCCTCAGCTCTAGCGGCCGCCGAATTCGAACTCCTTTTCTACTTATACAGTATACGCTCGAAATACAGATAGATAAACTTTGGGTTTGATAACGGTCACTGGATCTATTCATCTGTACCATAAACTAGAAATCATAGCTAATGCAGCTATATTTTCCTACGTATTTCTCTCGTGACCAAACACAACCGATCTCAGTTTTTTAGATCCTTTCCGATTGCGAATTTCCGGGAGTACCCCAGCCAAGCTAGCCAAGCCAGGATGACGGATTAATAAAATGACAAACCCTGTCTGTCGTCTGGAGTTTCGCTGTCGTTTCCATTGTTCAAAGGAAAACTACCTCATAGGCTAAGCCGTCTTGTCTCCCTAGCAGAATAGGGTCTAGCCTCTCTCTCCATGCCTCATCCCTCCCTCCAACCCGACAGAAAAACAACCTGCAGCGCCAGGAAAAACGCCCTACTGCCTAGGTACCGCGTGGATCATCAACAAGATGTAAAAAATAATGATACTGAGACATACTGTATGATAAAAAAAAATAAAAATAAAAAAAAAAAAAGGCTAAGACGCCGAACATGATTCGGACAAGGTTTTCTATTTAAGCGATGCATAGTAGGTATCTGAGTATGCAGTAGGTAGCAGAGCCATTCGACAATGCAATGCAATTTGATGGAGAGTCATTCACATCATTCGCATGGTAAAATGGGGTCCTAGGTATTTAAAATCTTGCAGCGAAGCAACAGCCCTACACTGTACAATCAAAGTCGCCCCGAAAACAGACCCCTTGCAAGTCGAGATATTTCCCATTCATCTCTCTCAACCCCGTAATACTGTTACGAAATGGGTAGGCAAATTAGCTGAGAGCTGAGTTAAACGTGCGAGCTGTTTTTCGTTGGTCGATTTTTTTTCAGCTGGATAATAAATGTAATAAATCTCTCTTGTTCTATCATCTAGGTAGGTTAGGTAGGTATCCTCAAGTCGGTTGCCGTCTGTATTGTACCTAGGTACTTACCTTTTAGTACGTACCGTTAAATAGGGTCTAATAGAGGTAGGTACTTCCTAAAGGTTGTTTTTAATCATGCAAAGTTGGGTTAGATTTATTGGTACAATACATACCCTGTAGGTACCGAAGGTATTGTACCGTTGAAAGGTAAGGAAAAGAGGTAGGCTGTACCTACCTAGGCTGCCCCCCCCAACTGGCAACGGCGTGTAGGGCATGTACAATACTTAAGCACTCCGTACTAAGATGGATTTGGAGTGGATCTACCAGGAAGACAGTACCACAGTAGCTTGGCCCCTGCCCGTGGATGCATCTCAATCGTTCAAGGCCTGACAGCCAAAATCTCGTTGTCTTCTTTCCTTCACCATCCTCATGAGAAAGAGATCAAAATACCGCTTATCCCAGTATACGGACACTCGCTGTTCTATCTATTAGTATTCTAACATCACACCCATTCATATAGCTCCTCGTTTGTGATCATGAAGGAGTATTTAGACTCAGACCGAGTCAATTTCTTGATTTGGAGGTATGTTTTTTTTTTTCTCACTTAGGTATCTCCGGTTTTCTTCACACACCAAAATGCCTTGTGTCTTTTCCCCGTACCCCCGTTACTCCTGTGCCGTCGCTTTCTACCGGGTCATTGACATGAAATCGCAGATATTTAATAGAAGGCAGTACGTGTTTCTCATAACGTCGCTGCGCATGCCCACGCCCACGCATCTTGACGCATCCTTGAGCTATGCGATGATGCGCGCGCGTGTGTGTACGCACAGCGATGACGTTGCTATGGACGGCCGCAGTCAAATTAACCTGAGGTTACAGATTATCGAGAGACAGCCGTCAAGTTCCAAAAGGAGTGGCACGTCGAGGAACCTCACCGACAGCTAGATTTCGCGCAACATGTCAAAAGTCATGCACTAGTCAATGTCATAAACAAGGGTCTGCTGTATAACTCGTTAGAAAGAGAGCATGCACAGTCGCAACAGGTATGTCGATGCAAAAATTAAATTCGCCGTGGCTATTTTCTATGAGATGTGCACTGCGCGAAACAAATCTCTAACGCGGGTTGTTGATGGGAGTCTAAAAAAAAACATGAATTTTTTGCTCTAATCTCGCCCAGAAATCCGGTCAAATGGGCACTGACAGGTTTCTTCTGCGTAGTTATCCCGTGGTGCCGCTGCGGCGGCAGTGGCCGAGGCGATGCAACTAGGTATTTTTGGTCCACTACTTCCAGGTCCACCGCTTCACCAGCAGGAACAGGAGTCACAGCAACAAACGGAGGAAATGGATCAGGATGACGAAGGAGAAGCAGAAACGGAAGCAGCACCGACAACTACGTCCGGCGTTGATGCAGAAAATACCCGAAAACGCCAAATTGAAAGGCAATCACAAACGGCGCTTCTGAATGGTTCTCCGGCTAAGCGACCAAGACTGAGTAATGGGTACGAAAATGGGGTGGATGCAGCCACAACTCCAATGGAACTTGACGGGGGGCAGAACGACAACCATGCTTACCCTTCCCCCCAAGAAGGCGAACAGGCGCCAACGCCAACTCCCCGAACCGACGGCCCTGACCAAGGCACACAGGTCGATAAAGTACAAGAACTGACAACTGAAACCACATTTATCCCCCTGGGCTCTGGTCACGACGATGCGCCAACATCTTCGCCAACCACGGCGTTGGCAAGAATGAATGGCGAGAACGCGCCTGTGCTACTGCATTGTCAGTGGCATCCCCGAGATCCCACCATCTTGGCGGCTGCTGGAACCGATGCGCTAGCCCGCATCTGGAACGTTTCTCGTGGAGCCACAACCGACCCTGCATCCAATGGTCACGTGAATGGCGTCGCTCCAAGTTTCCATTCTCTTGTTGAAGACGATATCAAGTCTACGGCTACCGTCACCTCCATGGCCTGGAATTTGGACGGAACTACCATTGCTATCGCTACAGATTCGGAATCGAGGGCTCGAATTGACCTCTGGAGTCATGAAGGCTCCCATCTACAACGCTTTGAGGTTGCCGAACCTCCCGTCTTTAAAATGCGCTGGAATCCTAATAATGGTGCTATCTTAGCTATTGCGCCGGACAATGAAGGTGCATTAATAACTATATACCATGCTTCGTCGTCTAATACCCTGACATATTCCCTGCCACGACACGACCTTGATTCGGACCCACTGGATGCTGCATGGATTAGCGAGACCGAGTTTTTAATTGGTGGTGGTGATTTATTAATGGCGTTAAGGTGCGGTGATGGGGAAATTACCGAAATCCGGAAGTTCGACACTCGCGAAAATGATGCCTTAACTCATGTTCAATTTGATCCGAAAACTTCGCTGGTGGCTACTTGTGGAGAGAAAGGCTTTGTCGACGTAAGTACTTTCTCTAATCGAAATCGGACCGCTTTTACTTTACTGACAGGTGAACTGTCAGATCTGGGATAGCAAAGGTAAGCGACGCGAGATAGCAGCACATTATGATGCGGTCACGGCGTTGCTTTGGCAGCCCTTGCAGCAAACACCACCGGCTGACGAGCGGCTCTTGGCTTCCGGTGGCGAGGATGGCGCTATTCTAATATGCAACGCCTTAGCTCTCGATGGGAAGCCGAAATGCTCCATGACTATGGAATCGCCCATAGTTTCGATGGCTTTTACACCCGATGGTGCATTTATTGCGGTAGCTACGGCTGAGAAGATTTTGATTTGGAAGGTCGGCGACTGCAGTATTCCTCGAGCATGTTGGAGTCGAGCATCCCATCCTATCTGGCTAAGCCCACGAAATAATCCCGATTCAGAAAAAGAGGATGAACACTGCTTGGAGTGGGATGCCACAGGCCATAAACTTGCATATGGAGTCAATAACCGGGTAAGTTGCGCTATCCAATTTGTTCAGACCCAGGCTAACAAAAAAACAAGCTCGCAATTATCAACTTCCGATGATAGACCACAGTCGTATTTCTGTTGCTTTCCATTAACAGGCGCAAAGGGCTACGCTACATCCCAGTCGTTGCTGAGATGATAGCCATTATCATAGCGTGTTGCGGTATGTTTATCGGCTAAAGGCCCTTCAGCTGGTCGCCGGTAGCAAAATTAGCTACTTAAGGCACCAGTATCATGACAGCATTGTTGAGCGCATTATCTAGCTCCCACGAAACCGTAGGACTTGTGATCTAGTACCGCAAGGTATTGACACCCGCTAGTGACGATTCGAAGAAATCTAGGAAACCAAGGACGGAAATTATGGGCTGTGAAGCGAATCGTCGCGATAAGTGTCATAAAAGCTACTGTGGGAACTGTCATGACAAAAGACGACGAGACGACTCCTGGGTATCGGATCGGCATGTCTGGCTATCTCGGAGGCGGCGGGGCGTTACTATCATATAGCTAGGAGCATTGGGGCGAGGCATTTTTCTCAAGTACACATAAGCCAACGGGTTGTCCTTTTTGTATAAGCAAATGCACCTGTCATCCACATCCAAACCATGTTGGCGTACGAACTGCGAGAGTCATCAGATAATTTTTATTGTATCGTTTGAAGCAGAAGCCAAGCTAAGCTAAGCTTTATGACTTCCATCTTAATAATGTGAACGTGTGCTTTGCAAACTTATATTTCCCTTGACCGTCCCATTTCCCTTCCGACAAGCTGACCTCTTCCTTGCCTTCTTTATTCGTAGAACTAACCTGTGCTCCAGACACAGTGTACACAGTCACGTCGGTCCCAACCCCTTTTAGCTGGACAGCGAAGTCTTCCGTCTCGCTGATGTTGACAACGGCTAGATTCACGTAGCCGTCGTCACCAAGGGCGGCACTAACGTCGAGCCAAGGCGCGCCCGCCTCGCCCAGCGTGCCTTGGAGCCAAGCCGGCGTCGTCTCCCCCTCGTAGGCGCCGGACCGCACGTGCGTCGCAACGGTCCAGCCGCGCATGTACCTGCTGAAGAGCAGCAGCGGCCACCAGGTGGACTGGCGGACGAGGCCGCGCTCGGTCGTGACGAGCGGGCTGATGACGTTGACGGTCTGGGCGATGTTCGCCATGCCGAGGTACCGGCTCTGGCGGACGAACACGTTGAGCCAGACGCCGACGGCCAGGGCGTCGGACAGCGTGTACTGCTCCTCGGCGCCCCGGTCGCCGGGCGCGCGCTCCGGGTCCCAGACGTTCCACTCGTCGAAGCAGATCTTGGTCGGGGGCTTGGCGGGCGGGATCTTGTTCTCGATGCGCGCGAGGTCGACGAGCGACGCGGTGATCTGGATGGCGCGCTCGGCGGCCAGCGGGGCGGTCGCGTTGCGCAGGTGGTCGGCGGACGCGGTGTAGACGTGGATGCTGTGCATGTCGACGCAGCCGACGCACTCGCGCAGGACGTGGTGGTCCCAGGAGCTCTGGCCGTCCTGGCCGCAGAGGACGAGGCGGATGGCGGGGTCGAGCAGGCGCAGGGCCTTGGCCCACTGGGCGGCCTTCTTGGCGTAGTCCTCCTTGGTCATCTGCTCGACCTGCCAGGGGCCCCAGACCTCGTTGCCGAGGGCCCAGTAGCGGACGCGGTAGGGCTCGGGGTGGCCGTTGGCGCGGCGCAGGTTGGCGTAGTGGGTGTCGCGGGTGCCGTTGCAGTACTCGACCCAGGCGAGGGCCTCGTCGAGCGTGCCGGTGCCCATGTTGAGGCAGAGGTAGGGCTCGACGCGCCGCGGCTTGCCGGCCGAGAGCTTGTCGAGCCAGCGCATGAAGTCGTCGGTGCCGAACTGGTTCGTCTCCGTGCCCAGCCACGCGAGCTCCGGGCGCGAGGGCCGCTTGTCGCGCGGGCCGACCCCGTCCTGCCAGTGGTACGTCGCGACGAAGTTGCCGCCGGGGTACCGTACCACGGGGATGTCGAGCTCCCGCAGCGCCGAGAGCACGTCCGTCCGGAAGCCGTCCTCGTCGGATAGCGGGTTAGACGGATCGTAGATACCTCCGTAGATGCATCGGCCCATGTGCCTTAGTTTTTTTTTGTGCTGTTAGCTAGCTGTACTGTCTTGGATAATATATATATATATAGGCATATATATCAAGAGTACCTAGGGTTAGATGTGTCTCTTACTCGGTAAAACCACCATATATCATGGGATCTATCTTAGACAGGCGCTTAGCCGCATCCACCTCGATGAGGGGAGTCTCATCTCCCGTGATCTTGGTGAAGGTGGTCATTATTATTATTATGGCTTGGCTTAGAATAAGTCTATTAAGTTACTTCCGTTTCCCTTATTATAATCTCAAGCCTGAAGGATGGGTGGTATAGGGGAATGGACTTGAGAGCAAATACTATCATCAGTCCGGGCTCACTTGTTGTTCATATAGCATTAGGGTGCCCTCCGCTACGCTCCTCTCCCCTCTCGTATCAGGGTCCACCGTCGACCGGAGCGGGTACGGGGAGAGTTGTGCCATTCGGGAGAATCTGGTCCGCGGGGGTCGCCGATTGGTGCGCATAATGAGGCGCGACTAAGGAGTTCATCTGGTCCCGTGTTCAGTTATTTTTTTTTTTTTTGGTTCGACAGAGGCCGAGATGAGAAAGCCAGGGGTTTATTGTTCCTGAAACGTTCGTTATGGGTCTAAGAGAGGTAACTAGAATAGGTAGTTGAATGTGTAAATATTTCCAAGGTTGTTTCCAAGGTTGAAGAAGTGAGATGAGAATGGTTAAGGGATGAGGGTACGTAGATACATGCTAGCATTATGTACGCTAGGTTAGGTAAATTCTATTTACGTACCACTCGGCTTCTTATCAAATCCAAGATCAGATCTGTTACCTTACTCAGGTTACCCCGCGGCTAGATACTTCGTTTTTTCTTTTTTTCTTTTCTTTTTTTTTTTTTCAAGTACCAAATTACTTATGTAGGTACCTAACCTAACCTATGTACGTCAACCTGCCCCCCTGCCCCCACACTAAGCCCGCAGCCCGTACCCGGTACCGCGGGAAGGAGCTTTACATTAGGTACCTAGGTACTACATTATCTGTGCCTTATTACTATTTTTTACATAGAAGGTAACGTGAGGTAATGTAACTAACCTAACATTGACGCCGGGGCCAACTCGCTACATGGTACCTACACTACCTACACTACCTGATTACTGAGCAGTGAGGTCTCTACCTCCTACCCCTAGCAGCCTAGGTGTTCTTTACCAGCTGGGCCGGCTGAGGTACCTCTTACTATGTATTTATTGTACATACCTAGGTATGGACCTCCATCTGGATTATGTACGTCCCGTCTTACCTACATTACAACGTTAGGTACTTTGTACTTTGCACACATTCACACTCATACACACGCATTAACAGTGCATTCATCCTAATCCATCCATCCATCAATCAAATCGACAATCATTAAACCTTAACCCTTTCACCCCACAAAACCGTAATCATTGGATCAAACTCTCTTATACGTTATACGTAATACCTACCTAGGTATACTATAAGTAGGTAGGAGGTAGATAGGTATTCTACTGACCGACGACAACCTTCACGCCATCCTTGAGAGGAGAAGAACAGAACGCACATCAACAACAACAATACCTAAAGTAATAATAATTATAATAATTACTATAATCATGAGCAACTACCACGTTCCTACCGGCAGCTTCACCCCCGGCGGAGCGGTAGGCGTCGGTATGGCTGTAGGCGTGGGCGTGGGCGTGGGCGTGGCAGGAGCCGCGGGGACGGCGACGATGACGGACGACGAGTTCACGGCCGACATGCGGGACCGCCAGGCGCGAGGCAAGGACCCGTACGAGTCGTCCGACGCCAGCAGCAACTGGACTCCCGAGGGGACTAGGAAGCACCGCGCCGGCGGGTATGTCTTACGCCCCCTTCTCCCTCTTCTCCCCCCTTTTTTACTTACTCACACCTAACCAATATACTCCCCTCCCCCCTTTTCCTGTACCAATGGCATACAAGTCTTGTATGTTTTGTTGTTATTATATGTCACCCCAAGAACTACCTAACGTACGTATGTCTGCTATACAGAGGCAAGGAATACTGACACGGCAGTTCCCATAATCTTCCAGCGGCAAGGACGAGTCCTTCTCCATGACCGAGCGCCGCCGCGTCGCTTCCCAGGTCCTGGATAGCCCCGAACTTCTGATGATGGCTGCGCAACGAGATAACGAGGTATTTCTCTTTCTCTCTCTCTCTCCCTCTTCCCCCTTTTTCTTTGTTCTCCCCACGTTTTTTCACTCTTATACTCTAGCTCTATCTCCTAGTATCCAACGTCTTTCTTTGTTTTTGTCTTCTCCCATTACTCCTACTCCTAACACCTACTATATATATACACCTATCCTTTACTAAAACGAACAAATACATGTAGAGTATACCAGCCACCCGGCTCCGCTACATCCGCATGCTATGCGGTTTCGAGGAGCCTCCGCAGCCGCAGTCCGCGCGTAAGAAGTCGCACCGCGGCGGCGGCGGCAGCGGTGGTAGCAGCAATGATTCTTCTCGCGCGTCGGGGGGTTCGACGCCTGGACGTTCGGGGATGAAGGATACCCGGTGAGGCGAGGTGATGTGGTGTGGTGTAGCGGCGAACGGGTGGACGTAGTTGTGGTAGCAGTTAGGAAACGGCGAGGAGAGGAGAAGAGAAGAGAAAAAAAGGGGGGGAGGTGGTGTCTAATTCGGTTGTCTGGGCTGCTATGCGACTATTGGATCTATCTATTCAGTTCAGTTCAGTATGGTTCATTTCAGCTCAGCTTGACAGAAAGAAGAGGGGAAAAGGAGTTCGTTGATTCCTATATTATTTATTTATTTAGACATAATATAGTTAGACGCGGAGTTGGAGTTAGAGTCTAAATACTTAGATGTGTCGGAAGGAAAAGGGAAAATAAAAAAAAAGGAAGCAAACAGGAAAGAAATAAAGAGAGAAAAAAAAAAAAGGGGGGGGGGGGGGGGGGGGGGGTTAAAGGGTATCGGATAAAATGCGCAACGGTAAGGAAAACGTTGGTGGGGTTTGAGGCACCAACAAAGCAAAAAAAACAAAAATAAAAAAAACATTAAATCAC